GAGGAAGGAAGACCACTTTTACGTTGGGGTGACGATCCATAAGTAGGGGCGAGTGTCCAGGTGCGTTGTCAAGGAGCAACAAAATATTGAATGGAACATTCTGTTGCTCGCAGAATTTCTTCACGTCGGGAACAAAACAGTTGTCAAACCAGAAGAGGGACAGAGAAGAGGACATCCACGCCTTACGTGCGGTTAGCCAGTGGACATTAAGCTTGTTCATGTCCATATTCTTGTAGGCGTGCGGCTTGCGGGCTGTGTGAATCACCGATAACTTTGGTTTACAGGTACCGGAGGCATTGGTGGTAAACAGGACGGTGATGCGTTCCTTCTGCAACTTCCGACCCCTTACCTTGCTGGCAGACTGGACAACGAAGGTCTTGGAAGGTAACTTTTTCCAGAAAAGACCAGATTCGTCCATGTTAAACACCTGGTCGTCACTGTACTGTCCTTCCTCCATAATCTCACGTAAAAACGGAGGAAAATCTCTAGCCGCCACACGGTCAGCACTCGCTTCCTCACCACCAATGTTGATGTTGGTGATCTTGTTCCTCTTCTTAAACCTATGCAGCCAACCAGAGGAAGCATTGAAGGGTTTGGGCTCTGCAATTCCCAGTTTACGTGACACTGCTGCGTATAGCTCACGTGCGTACTCCTGCACTGAGCGCGTGTCCACCGCCATGTTGCGTCGCGCCTGACGCACCAAATAACTCACCAGCAAATTTTCCACTTTTGCCAGCACCCTGTTCTGGCAATACCTGATAGATGAAGCACCTGCAGACTTTGTGATTTTCATGTGCTCTTTGATCTTGGCTGCATCCTTCTTGATCGTACGAATCGTAGATTCGTTGACGCCATGCTGGCGCGCGAGATCAACTTGCCGTCTTCCTTTCTCCAAATCTTGAACAATTTGGTACTTCACCTCGTAGCTTAATGAACGTCGTATCTTCTTTGGCTTAGTGCCGCTGGGTCCAGGTAAGGAAAGGTCTCTCTCTGGGGGCGGTGGTGGTCCGGCGGAAGCCATTTTACGGAACAATGGATGCGCGTTTACACGGTGTGGCCTTGAGGGATGAAACTGCCGCAGCTAGGTCAAGCATCGTCTCTCCTCCCTCCCTCCCTCCCCGGGGTGGTCACGTCATAATACTTTAAGCCAATTACAGCTAGCAGCAGAGGGGGGTAGGGATGCATGGCCAATCACAGTCAGATACGTCATATGACGTCAGTGATAACGCAACAAAGACACACACTGCGCAACCTTACCGCGCGGCTTGCCCAAGCGAAGGGAGGAGGAGGGAGAGGCAGGCAGGCGGGTGGCGCGTGGGCAAAATCTAAAAATAGCGTCTCGAGCCGGACACTCACCGCGTATATGATGAAAAATTCCGCGTTAAGTGAAAGTTCAGCTCTGGCGAGGCACCGCGTATATGATAAAACGCGTTAAGTGAAACCGCGTTAGGCGGGGTAATACTGTTGTTGAACTCGGTAATTTTTACAATTCTAAGACACTTTCATACGAGGCGGTAGACTCCCTGAACACTGAGGCTGTGGAGCTCCTCGGTTAGGTTAGGTTAGGTTGAAAACTGTTGTTCCGACGGTTTTTGTGTCTTGAACACTTTTTACCTTGATTTATATAGCCTTATCTAGATCTTGAGATGGGAGAAGAGCGATGGGGCCTATCTCAGAAACTATTGATTTTCCGTCAGAAATGAAAGTCACCTTCGTTCATAACACAAGAACCATCGGCAAAACATAAGTATAAACTTCGATTTCGCTTAATGGCAACAAGTGAAAATTTACCTCTTATATATGTATGGACTTAAGAGTAAATGGTTAAAGACTTTATTGATGAAGCACAGAACTACAGATAAACAAACGATCAATACAAAATTATAAGGAACATCTGACAACAACTTCACCAGACTGACGGGCATATAAATGGTAATTATGAGCATTGTACACTGGCAAACTTGTATGAGGTTCAATACTGTTCACAGATTGATTCATCATACACTACAATACTACCATGCTGTGTATTTTATTTCGCTTTGTATATATCTTCTTGACAACACATCAACTCCCACATACTAAAATAACTTTGTCATCTGCAAACACTGACATCATCATATCAGAAAGTCCTAGCGATTACTAACACACACACACACACACACACGTAGACAGAATGGTGTTAGATCCGGATTTCACAGCGAGTCATTCTATCTGGCTACGGAGTCCTAGTCATCATTCTGCCAACAAATCGGAATGGTCATGCACACATTCCTCTCCCTCTACGGTAATTCAGCCACTCACCAAAGATCCGGCTCAGGCGCGAAGGAGAGTTATGACGCTCCCTAGTAACCTCTCGTGCCCACCATAGTGTTCCTGGCTTCCTTTTGTATACCTATTTACTTCACTTTTATTCCATCATAAAATTCGAGACCCTTCCTCCTCCTCCCCCTCCTCCTCCTAAGAAAAATTTGACTACGGAAGCACAGTGATAACACGAAGGGAAGTCCCGTATCTTATCTAAGAGGACATCCTTAAGCGACCTTCTGGGAAACTGAACATGTAAAGAAATAAACATGAGGAACTAAACTGGATTGTAGAGAGAAAGATCAAATGAATGAGACACAAACAGAGAACGACGAAATATGGTTTGTTTTGAGGGTTTTTTTCAGCATCACAAAATATTCCACCAATTACATAGATCTATCACAAGGAAGCTGTGAAGGCACTATCCCTTACACCATCAGAAGCCTTACTTTCCAGCTCAATGGTAAGTGCGATAACCAAACCAAATAAAGAGCTGGCTAAGTCACTATCACCCGATACTGGTAATATACCCAGTATCTATCCCCAAAGGATCGTCGGAAATTTTTGCAATGTATAGTTGTATGTGACAGACCCAGCATTAGCAGCATCCATACGTTGTGGCGATTGTGTTGACGGAACACAAATTGATAAGATATATACACTGGCCAAGATAGCGACAAAAGCTTCTGAGAAAAAATTGTGCCTCCTTGGGTCAGCTGAACCTTCTGAGAGGTGCAAAAGGCATGTTGGCAGCTGCTGAATCAACATGCTCAAGAATGATTGGTAGCTTTTTTTTTTTACGGGGATTAGCCCACCCGGGCACAGGTCACTGACCCATCGGGGCCTGGGGGGGTGAAAATGTAATAACAATTCATAGTAAATAAAAAATTTAATAAAAATACAAATTTAAAATTAAAATAATAATAATTCACAGTAAATAAAAAAATTAATAAGAAATACAAAATTACAAATAAAATGGTAATGATAACAATAATAATAACAACAACACCGTAATAATAATAATAAAGAACCATAAAGAAATACAAAAATGAAAAAAATTAATAGTGAGAAACGATATACTGTATGTATGTTGTGTTGTCAGTAGTAAGATAAACAATTGAGACCCTGCAATTGTGTGTAAATGAGGCAGAAAGTCAGAGCAGCAACCTGGGACTTGGTCACAATTTTCGTGATGCCATATGGCAGCAGGGTCTACCATTAGACAATATATTATGCTTCCAATATCTTCCCAGACGGTAGTACCTCCCTGTTTGATAGCTGCCTAGCACCGACTCTTTCAAAACAATCTTGATAAAAAAGAATTATCTGGTCACAGTTGGCACAGGTGCAAACACTGGAGAAAAGAGCGGACTTTGGTCACTGATGAAACAACTGAGGACAGAGACAGCAACCTCAGGTGAAGACCTGTCCCCTCTTTTGACTGGGAAGCAGTCAGTCATTCAGTCCAAGAAGTCAGTCACATGTTACAAGATCTTACTGCAATATGTTCTTTCTTTCACAAGTCTGGTTTAAGCTCACAAGAGTTACGAGAAATAGCTGCTGAAACAATCTAGCTTTGTTGAGACTACCAAGGAATTTTGAAGTTGGGTGGACTGAATTCACTTCGGACCTACTGTACAGAATGCCGTTCTGGTGTCATTGAATGTACTTGTGTTGTTCAAGAAATCAGCAGAAAAAGAAAGTGGATTTCTTAGATTCCCAACAGATATTAACATCCTTTCTCTTTTCTCACCTGATCAACAGCAGCTGCAGTCTAACAGTGTGACTTGTGGGCGTGGGGAACACACAGATAACGTAACAAAGAAACTATTTTCCATGAATGAGACACCATTACTAGGGGTCTGGGATGCTACCTTGAAAGACCAGTTAGTACAAGGTGAGAATGGTGAACTGTGATTAATTGAGATGAGCTTCATAAATCAGCTGCTCGTTGATGCAAGGAACACCACAAGTACGTCACAGATCACCGAGACAAAAGGAATTCAAAACTGAAGTGATTAACTTACTGGTAGAATTCTTGACACAGATTCTCAATTGATAAAAACATTATTTCCATAATTCAGCCATTTTTTGTCGAGTCCAGATGCCGACCAAAAAACAGTGCATCATGCTATTTGCCCAGACTTGGACCTGGATCAATTAAGACTTGAATATGGAGAGCTCATGGAACTAGAGAACCTGGAGAATATCAGCAGGAAGTCATACGACAGCAGCACCTTCTCGAATTCTAGCTTCAAAACCTCACAGTGCTGATGTAGAGCCTCTGATGAGCCTGAGCAACATTTTGAAGTCTCCTGGAAGGTCACGTACGAGTGTGGAAAACAAACCTCCATATCTATGTACCACTACAACAAGCCACTTTTGTAGGAATGGGACCCAAAGTTAGCAGTTCTCTTCTGGTTTAAGAAAACTTCAAATGGAATGAGAGACAGGTGCATGGAAAAAGAACAGATCTACTTCAGGAAACATCCCAGAAACAAAAACATCTAAGATAATTCGGACAGAGAAACAGACGAAGAATCCTCAAAGAGCCAGCCGAAGTTAAAAGAGAAGTTTAAATTTAAAGTCAACACTAAGAGCTAGTTAGTTCAAAACCGTCGCTGGCAACTCGTAACTGTACTCGTCTCCTCGCCGAACTTGGTTGAAACTGTTCAATCACTGAACACCGACTCACTCAGTGTGTCGTGAAACGTTGTGTAGGCGGTAGTGTGCCGCTCCGCCCCGTGTACGTGTGTGACTGGGAAAACGTTTATGTTTCTATTAAAGTAAAATTATATAACAGAAACAAAGTGAACGGAACATTGCATAATTTGCCTAAATCTCTTGAACTAATGAGAGTGAGAATGACTGAGACACTAGCCTGGGAGTTGAAATAATATTGTACCTGCGTCGAGAAGCATGTACAGTATTTCAAAGTTCGTACGTTAAGCTGACCACTTTACGAGTGATATATGAATGCATTTTCACTAGCAAATTTAAGGAACAAATACGTTATATTCACAATAGCATCAAAATACCTATATACCTTTCAGTTAACGCCGGTTAGACAACAAGATTTACTGTACGATGTTTTGAGTACCCCCTCCTCCTCCCTCCCTCCATTTCGAGTCCGTTTGCCGAGCGAGGATATGCGGTATTCGTTGGTCATTCCGTTTGTTTCACTTGTTAGTCCGGGAGATATCGGGTGTTTCAGCCACTTATTGAACTAGGAAGCGGAAATTTAAGACAATAATAGCCAAGTGCAGTTACATTTTTTGTCCATATTGCACATCCCACCCCCCCACATATTGCTACTTGCTCTTGATTTATATATTCATTCCACTAGGACCTAGGTTGATCAAGATACATAATTAAGGAAAATTATGTTAGGATATGAGAGAAAATGGTGTAATGAGACCGTCTTAAAATTACCCCCCAGACTTGTAAATATCTAGCAACTCAAGAGGTCCTGGATTTTTTTTTTTTATACAATACCTAAATCTACTGGAATCCCAAATATCAAATTATCTAACCAACAGCAACAAAAAACTGACATGAATGAATAAACTGAATTTTAGAGGAGTGAATCCAGTTTACAAATTAGATTATTGGGTCTGGTTTACTACAAGCGTGACTCGGGAAGTTAGAAATCGGCAAATATTTCTTCGGGTTCAGATAATGAAAATCAAAAACAAGGAAAGTCTCGGGAAGCAAGGGTGAACCCGGGCCCAGGTCACCAAGTACACTTACCCTACAAATTACCAAAATGCAGATAATTAAGGTAAGGAATTTTATTTTTACAACTATACGTTAATCTCATTAATTCATATAAGAGTTTAAGGCATGTATATCCCATTAAAAATATATAACACACACACACTTTCCCCGGAGCCGTTGTCAAGATGGTGGTGTTGTGGTTTGCCTCTCCTATGGTCATATATCGGTTCCGTAACATATGTTGTATACGGTAACACATCATCATCTCATATTATACTGTAACTGGGTAATATGCTCTTCGATACACAGTTATTAAGAGCTAATTGTTCCCCCTACTTGTATATTTTGGGAGGATAAATGGATATATTACGGTAAAGTATAAAGTATTTGCAAAGTCATTAACTGTTATTATTATTAAACTTGAAATGGGAAAGAAATATATGAAGAGAGTTGTGGAATTTAGATATCGTACTAGGCTTATTGCAGTCTTGACTTAGCTATATTTATACAACTTAAATTTTCAAATAACCGTAGCATAAAACTGGTTAACTAAGACAAATTTCACATAAATTTCCACATAAATTATACTCCCAATGCATAGCAATAGCAGTTTCCTTATTGGATAGATACTTAGAATAATTGTAGTTAAATTATTTGTCTAAGTCAAATAACTGCAAGTCCTATTGTGTATACTTTTTGTTCGATTGTACTCTCTCTCTCTCTCTCTCTCCCTTTGTATTTCACATAAGGAAGTCGTGAGTGTCCGGAGGGAAAAAACACGTAGCGTGGATGGGAAAGATGACCGAGCGGATGTGACGTCATAAAACAAGTCAACTCGCAGGATTTTCACTTTTATTATTAAAGGCTGAATACCATGACACTGCCTACAGCTGTGACGTAATGACAGTGGTGAGGATGATGTAGCGGAGTGAGTGCCTGGCATAACTTGTGTAATGTAATACTTCCGTAAACTGCGAGGGGGGTTTGTGTATGAAATAATTATAAGACGGGTTTTGTCGCCTTTGTTATTTAACCCTTTCGCTGCGTTTCGCGTTCTTGCCTTTTTATTCTGCCTACCGCCAGACGATTTTATTCAGCTTACGGTAACCTCCCGTAGCCAAAACATTAAGTGCGAGGAACAATTTATCATATTCAAATAACTGTAAAGAAATAATGATAAATGAAAATGATGAAATGATGATAATAGTTTCATCTCACACTTAAAAATGCATGTTAACGCACGAACGATTTACACATTCTAGTCAACATTGAATTCTGTTGTATTACAATTGTAAATGATTAGCATCTGTCAGGTCTAAGATATTGAACGTAGGTATTTAAATGCTAATTATCTTTTAGGGACGTTGTAGTGGACGTCTCCCCTACAACTGCCTACAACTGCGTAGCCACAGCCACCACCTGCTACCGCCTTCCCTAGCAACCAACCAGATGTTACAGTATCCTAGCAACGAAACTAGGTACCGGCGATTTCTCGGGTTTTCCCAACATGACTCATAGCGGCTGCTGGGTATATAAGCTCTGTCTCTCCATTGAGATTGATTCTGACCATTCTTCTTGAACAAGCAACACCTCCTCCTCCGCCGCTGCCTGGCTGCCTTCGCTTCTCCTCGCCTGCCTGGCGGTCCTCGCTCCCGCCAGCGAGCATGGCGACCCACCAGCTGTCCTTCTCTGAGCTTCCTCACCAACCAGCTTATTCATTCTGCCCATCTTCCTGAACAAGCAACACCTCCTCCAGCAAGCTCCACGCTGTCTATCACATAACTTATATTATACAAGAAAACCACATTAGAGTTTCCTTCCATCCTGAGTGCTAGACAACATTAATATCTCGATACCCCTACAACGTAGTAGTGGGGAAAATTTAATTATAATTTAGTCCATATAAGAAAACAAGATATATTTGTGATGTGTTAATTGTACTGCCAGGGCATCAGTCAGTGAGATTGGTTCGTTCCGTTTCTTAAGCTGATAATGGCGTTGTGTGTTCAGGTAAGAAAACAAAAAAGACATGAGAATAAATAGAGAAGTTGAATGAGCAAATAACCAGTACAAGAAGTGATAACAAACAGCGAAAGAAAAAAAATTAAATGAAAGTGGAAGAGCGAAAGGAGACGACAACAGCCAGACGAGTGAAATTGGTCAGCAAAATATACAGTAACTTCAAATATTTCCTCTCCCTTTTTTTTTTCATATTGCGTATTTTGTTTCATCCGTTTTACTCCATATATTTGGGAGCAACTGATGGGTACTGTAAATGTTTTTTGTTTTTTAATTACTGCTATAAAAATCCTAGTGCCTCGTTTTGGCTAAAGATATAGATAAAAAGAATAGGTTATGTGAATATTCTATTGTCACTGCCTTCCTGTTTCCCATTGTATTATTTACCTCACTTCCCTACCTCCTAGTGCTCACCGACCACCACCACTATTACTACTACCACCACTGCCACTCCCATAACCACCACCATTACCACCACCAACACGCGTCGGTATGCCGTCATCAGCCCGGGAGGTAGAAAGGGCCCACCACACAGACACACCTAAATATTTCGACTTGTTCTCTGTTACATCATCGACACACTTCCTCCCGTGTGTTATCTTATCTACTATTATATTTTGACTGCTCTTATATTATGAAACTAATCAGACTGCAAGATATTTGGTCACTCATATGAAGAGCTTTGGCCAAATGTTCGATTGCGCAAGCATTTTTCCCCGTTAAGTTTAGTGGGGGGGGGTTTTTTTGCGTGTTAATTTTTTAATTTGATATATCGTGTTATTTTTTCCCCAAGTTAGACTGGGAATAATAATTTGCTCTTTTTTTTACGGTAGAGTCTCACCACAATTTAGTTCTCATTTAGTTGTTAACTTGTTACGTTCTTTAGCTTGTGTGAACCAGCTTAGACCTAAATGATTTTCTCACACCTCCAGCTTAGGGGAAATAAATAGCGTGAGAACTCTTGACAATCCTGAGTTTTCAAGATAAATTAAAAGATAAACAATAATCTATATAAGAAATAGTGCTGAATCATCATTTGCTTTCTCGTGAGAATCAAGAATGAAAAGGTTTAAATAAAGCGAAATGCTTAACGTTCCACAAAAATACGTGCCCGCTGTCAAAAAGATTCGAGCGTAGAACTTTACCTAAACTAAAGACAGGAGAACCCATTTAACACTTATTTTAAATTCCATACCAAGTTGTGTGAGTGGGAACTTGTTATTGTGTAATGTTTTATTTATGAATGAACCACAACAAAGGGTGGAGCAATAAAAAACGGTACTGTGTTGTTTGTTGTTGACACAGGGGGGGTCCACCGTTACTTTCTCTCATTGTTATCGTCTATTGTGTGTGGAAAGAGTTAAAAACGGCGAGTCAAGCTCAGTCCGTGTCTTAGTACTTACTTACGTTCGGAGAAAGTGAGTGAGAGGGAGAGTATGCGTCGGAGTACAAATAACAATTCATTTTGTCGCCTGGCGTTACAAAAGAAAAAAGTATTACGTGTAAGCGGTGTGTTTTACCAGCCACTTCCGTATGGTGTGCCTAAGTGTTATTTATATATTGCAAGTTTCTTATTTGACGTATCAATGATCGTCTTACTTCAATTTTTTACATCGCTATTTTTTCTTGGAAAACTGTAACTTTCATTATTTGTTATTATAAAGATTAATGGAGACGTGAATGCATGATTGAGTGATAATCTATTGAAGCACCTTCCATTTAGTTTGTCACCTTATCAATAAATTTCCTCTCTCTATTACTTCGCTCCTCCGCCATCCTTTTTTTTTTCCTGTACACCATCAATTATATTCCATTCAGACAGATACACAGAAAGAAGTTTACTGCCTCAAGAAATAGAAACGTAAACTGTGATTATCTTAATTTTTCTAAGAGATGCAGGGAGGTATTACCGTCTGGGAAGATATTGGAAGCAAAATATATTGTCTAATGGTAGACCCTGCTGCCATATGGCATTACGAAAATTGTGACCAAGTCCCAGGTTGCTGCTCTGACTTTCTGCCTCATTTACACACAATTGCAGGGTCTCAATTGTTTCTCTTACTATTGACAACACAACATACATATATTGTTTCTCACTTTTGATCTTTTTTTTTTCTTTTTTTTGTTTTACTGTTATTATTATTATTAATTTATTATTTTATTTTCAATTTTGTAGTTTTTATTATAAATTTTATTTACTGTGAATTATTATTATCATCATCATCATTATTGTTATTATTACTGATAATATTACATTTTCGCCCCCCAAGCCCCGATGTGGGTCAGTGACCTGTGCCCGGGTGGGCTAATCCCAGTAAAAAAAAAAAAAAAAGATACTGACAAGTACAGACATTACAGACGCGGACAGATCATAGTGTTATGTAAGGCACGGTAAAGTGGAGGAGGGAGGGAAAGTGATGTCTGGAGCGTGGTGTGGCAGCCGACCACTGCCAGATGGCTGCAGCTGCTACGTGCTGACTGACACACGTGTACATAAATAACATGTACAGTATACACTTAAGTCCTTATAATTGTTGCCCCTCGTGTAACGAGGATGTCCGGCGCAAGGGCCACCTAGGCGTGAATTTAGAGTTGTCGCCAACACAACAACCACACCTTGAGTTAACGAGTTGCATGACCCAGTGTCAAGGAATAGTCCGAGAAGACCGGACAACTCGCTAACTAACCATTACCCTGTAACACGATCCGCAAATCGATTAACATCCAGATTCCCAGTTACTGCTGGGTAGAAGGAGGCAAGTAGCGTAAAGAACTTGCCCATAGTTTCACACTGCCTAAGATCGAACCAGGCTCCACTCGCTTGCGAGGCGAGCATGCTGCCCATTACACCAGTCCTTAAACGCGAATATTGGAAGAGGAAGAGAACGAGATAAAAGAAGGAAAATTTGAAGGAAACCCGACAGAGATAAAAAAAGGGGGGGTAATAGAAAGTGCTAAAAACAAAATAAAATAAAGATAAACGGTTATACTACAGAACGTACCAAGGTTTTGAGGAATACTTCTTAGTGCTGCGTTGATGTTACTTTCACACATACCGTACATATACAGTATACTGTACTTACATAAGCTTACACGTTTGCATGTATATAAAAATGTATATGCATATAAATATATACATGCATGTACACACATACATAATGGAGCGGAAACTAATTTCATGACTTATATACTGTACACGATATCTCCTATGATCAAAGTATAACAGGAACTGATATATCGTAGTTGAGGGCTTGAGACAGACAAGCGCCAACGCCGGAAAGACTCTGCCGCCGCCCCTCCCGTACTGCCGGTCCCGTATAGGCCTTTCTAGTCACCAGATATGATCAGATCAAATGCAAGTGATAGGGGGGGGGGGAGGTTCAGTGGAAGGATAACTCAGAGCTCACCAACGAAGGTGACATCCCTAATAACTCATATCGTATCATAGCTGGATGATTGGCATACTCGATTCCGAGTGACAGCAAAATAGTAGTGCTGTTGCAAAATGTATCCCACCAAACAATCAGCGTAGCCTCATTATAAGAAAATATATCCTTGGGAAAACATAAATTATGATAGAACATGTTATTTTGGCTAATATTCTTCTATTCCTTACTACAGCTAAAAATACCCAGGGTAGTTTTCAGTTAATTATTCATCAAGTAAAGTGTTTAGGTTGCGAGAAGAATATTGTTTGATTTATTAGGGAAAAATGTGCGAGTGAAACCGCAGGTAATGGCGTAAAGCCTGTATGGTGTATGGCATATTTCTCATCCCCGCGTAGGAGAGAGTGTCGACGGTACGAGGCTTTCCTCCCCTTCACCACCTCCTACGTGGGCGTTTTTCCCTTAAAGAGTCCCATTGTTTTAGCGCGTCTCTCATGAGGTCTAAACACCACCTCAGTACTATTGTTGTTCGTACTCTGTGAAGGATATACGTTGAGGAAAAGCAGTGATTTCTACAAACGGTATAGCTTTTTGCAGAGTTGATTAGCTCAGCGAACGTAATAGTAAGTTCAATCTAACGTATTGTGTTTCGTAACAGATTATGATTCATAATTGCTAAACAACTATTGTGTGTAGCCGCTGTAAAATTTAACAGAAGCATTACTCAAAAGTGGCTATTGTGACGAGGATGAAGATGTTTTATGCAGGTAATTGCACCATTCTCAAACCTATAGTTACTATGGTATCATCCCTCTCTAAGATTTTCGAAACTATCCTAAACTCTTATTTTCTCCGCCACCTTGAACGCCTTTCTATTTTGTCGGATCACCAGTATGGCTTTCGCCAGGCGAGATTTACTGGTGATCTGCTCTCCTACTGCACCCATGTTTGGTCATCCTCTCTTAGGGATTATGGGGAAACTTTCGTCGTGGCCCTCGACATCTCCAAAGCCTTTGACAGGGTATGGCACAAGTCTTTGCTTTCAAAAATTCCCTCTTGTGGTTTCTCTCCCCCACTTTGTTCTCTAATTTCTAGCTTCCATGAGAACCAATCCATGGCAGTTGTTGTCGAGGGATCGATCTCTCGCTCTTTCTCTACCAGTAGTGGTGTCCCACAGGGTTCTTTTCTTTCACCAACTCTCTTCCTTCTTTTTATCAATGATTTACTTCACACTACGACTAAGTCTATCCATTCTTACGTTGATAATTCTACTCTTCACTCTTCTTCACATTTCCCCTTCCCGCCTAATTCTCAAACGTAGGATCTGTTTCTAGAACTGATATCATTTCATCTATCAAAGCGGATCTGTGCAGCATCTCCGAATGGGGAGGTAAGAACTTGGTTAAATTCAACAGTAATAAAGCTCAGTATTTACCAATTACACTTTCCAAATTAGATGATCTCCACCAATCACATTTCAGGACGCAATCATTCTGCCAAATTCTAAAATAGATATGCTAGGCCTCACCATCTCTTTTAATGTGTCATGGAAGTCACACATCCACAACATTGCTAAAGCTGCCTCCCGAAAGCTGGGAATGCTGTACAAAGGCCGTAGCTCTACTTCACTCCTGAGCAGTTGCTTCAAGTATATAAGGGATTCATTTGCCCTAACTTGGGGTACTGCTCTCATATCTGGGGTGGCTCTTCTTCTGTCCATCTCTTCGCCGCAATGTTGCTTCACTCTCTCTCTTTTACAGGTACTTTAACGGGCAATGTTCGGTGGATTTAGCATCCTGTGTACCGCCGGTAAGGCCGTGGGCTCGTAACATACGTCTTGCCCACAGTGCCCACCGTTTCTCTGTGGCTGTCGGTCACACTAGAATAACCCGTTATAGTACATCCTTCTTTCCTCACACAGCCAAACTGTAGAATACTCTGCCTTCGTCTCTGTTTCCATACTCATACAATCTGTCTCGCTTTAAAAAGCTGATTTTCCGGCATCTTCGTGGTGTAGTTTAATATAACCTTTTTCTTTTATGTTTTTAATTTATTTTTAATCTTATTCAACGACATTTTTTTATATATCTACTGCTTCTGTATATACGACCCGGGTTGCTGGTAACCAGTGGTGGAAGCTGAGAAGCGGCGAAAGGGGTGTGTAACGCGGGTATTATTGTTTATTCATGCACTACGCTGTCTCACAAGAAGTTTGTACTCTGAAAACAAGTCACATATGTATGAGGGAGCAGCGAAAGTGTTACTAAGACAAAAATGGTCATGGCATATTATAAATAATAGGACTTTATGCAGGCAACACGTCACATTTGTCAACTCAGGAAGTTGAGAGAAAATCGGCATAACTGTAAAAAGTTTTAACAATAAATACTTTTTCACACTATAATTATCACTGGATTACTAAGTTTTCCTTGAATATTATTGAGATTGACAAATATTATAATTAGTTAGATGCTCAGGATGATTATGTTTACTTATTTTTTACAGTGGTTACCTAGAGTATGAAGTTACTTAGATTAGGTACTGTTACGAGTTGGGGATTTAGAATATAGTTAAAAGTCTACCCAGATCCCAACAGGCAACAACAACAACAAAAACAAAGACAATCGGACTATAAAAGGGTAGACAAAGGATGCGAGTTTTTGTTGTGTATAATAAAGTACCATAAATCCCTTAACAAAATATTCAGCTATCTATAAGGTACCCTTAACCAAACTTAACCTAAACATTAACAGTATATACATATTTATACAACATACAACAATTTTGATGCAAGTGGACGTGGGGAGGCAATATAGGATAACAAATACTTGAGCGCGGAGCTGAGATGGCTGACGAGCAAGGCTGAGTAGTGTAGAAGACGGTAGGTAGTCACTGTGCCGTAGGTTTCCAGGATAGGTGATCCTGTGGTCACTTCCCAGAGTGTATTGCTCTCTCCTCGAATTGGAGCTGACAAAGAAGACTTTGAGGAGGTGACGCAACAACCAGGATATGGAGAAGGGAAACCCGGGAGTGGTAACTAAGATGAGTCATACTCGTGTTTCGTCCCTAGATGGCGTTGCTCGTGGTGCTGGGTAGGTAGATCAGGACAATTGGTGGCGGGGTTCGTAACAGTACTGAAATATTTTTTTTGAAGCACGGAAATGCACATAACGAATGAATTATATATCTTTCTCATTAACACCACTAGCCTAGTAATTATTGGTCAGGTTCAGTAACTCCTCCTAACCATGTAGCATATTACGGCGTTTATTGTAAGGCGTTTTAAGAAGCATCTATACTCCACTTTTTACTTTAACTCTTTACCTTTATCCTTATGCTTGAGCAGTCGGTCAGGTCTCTGTTACACGCTGTTGGCAAGTACTGTGCATGAACTGGCTCCTGAATGTATTTGAACCTGCTCCAGTGTTGGTCAAGTCTGGTCGTGAAAGAGCTCACACTCGGTGCCGTCACAACACTCTCTGGCAGATTGATCCAAGAGTTCACAATTATCACTCCGAAAACGTTTGCCCTCTCTGTTTATTGGACTTGTGGCTTCAAACTGGAGCTGTGACCCCTTGCGGGGCGGGCATCCGCCAGCTCCAAGTATGGATCCTCGACTGAGACTCTGAGAGTGAGAGACGAGAGTTAGTAGTGCTCTCTAAATATCTAATAAGGAAGTTTAACTGACTCACACACACACACACACCAAAACACACATACCCATTATTTTCAGCCGTCTCAAAATTTTACTACTGAGTGAATGTATTAAAAAAAATATATTCATAGAAAACGGGTCTAAAAGCAATCATAGAAAACGATTATTGTTCAGGAGTAACTAATTTTGTCATAACTCCAGCTAATACATTTATTTTAACCTAGCTCCGTTCCAAGCTTGGACACCCTCCCCCCCACACACCCCGAGTTCCGTACCCTTCCAGATTAATTTTCAGAACATAGTAATGGATAGACTATACTGTTTACTGAACTACACTTTTTGAGCAGAACAGAAATAACACTATTTTTTTTATAAGTGCAATGATTGAATGGCTCCTGAGGCTTTATTTGGCTCGGCAATTACTCTGCGGTTTACAATAATTTGAGAATATTCACTTCATATATTCTCTCTTAATTCATTGTCATTCGTCCACTCATATTGTATATGTTGTTGAATGTGTTCTGTCTAGGTATTCACTTTCCAAAGGAGACCCAAAATATCTACTGTATATGGTTTGCCTTTGTCATTTTACACAACCCAGTTTCAACTATCAACAACAGTAGGTGTATCCATTATGATTTCCAACAGGTGCTGCTGCTTTTGGTCCTGGCGACGGTGGCTGCCGATGCTTTCATCTGGCCTAGATGGCTCCCACGACCCACTAACAGACGTAGGCCTCAAGGTATGTACTGTACTGAACAGCAATTCCTCCACGTATTCTTGCCAGACGTTGACTTCAGTTTATACCCGGGGTCAGAAGCAGTATTGATCCCAAATTAAATAAAACAGCACACCCCCACCAGACGAAACAGGGTTAGTAAATTCAGAGACTCATTCCCATGAATTAGTTTCACCACAAGCGTACCAACTTTTGTCAGTGACTGTATTTTATGGTTGCAATCAATAGTTAGACAATTCTAAGACACTGTTCTTCTATGACGTTTCCTATGCAAGTAAATTATATATGCCAGTATACTGCCCTTTAGTGTGGTCACTTAATCCTAGGGTTACTTAACTTACCTCTTAACTTGAGGTCCCTGCCACCAGACCACAGGACAGTATGCGTAGTGTTCTTTAGGTAGATGGCAGAGCAATCCAGCGAATGTGAGTTCGTGTTTTTCATTAATCAAGTAAAGAGAGTGGAAGGAAGGGTGAAGCACCAACCAAGAATTTAACTACTTTATTTCTTATATAAAAAAATATTGCCTAAAGTCATAATACAAAAATAGTTTACCTTCCCCAAGCATTAATTAATGTCACTGCACCATACACAAAAAATCCCGACCTTCTCCAAATAATTGTGACCAAGTCCCAGGTTGCTATTCTGACTTTCTGCCTCATTTACATACAATTGCAGGGTCTCAATTGTTTCTCTTACTTTGACAACACGACTTACACATATCACTCTCCTCTACTGTATATATTAGCCTTGTCAAGTATTACTCCTTAGTCTGTACTCACCCCTGAAGATGTGAATTACACTAAAGCGCTTGGGAACTTCGTGTTTTCTTGTGGTTATCAGCATATGCAGGTACTTGGATCACGCGCACATACAGTGATTTAATATATATATATATATATATATATATGTGCAAGTAAATCACTGTAGGTGCGCGTGATCTAGGTATATGCTGATAATCACAAGAAAACACTTAGTTCCCAAGCGCTTTAGTGTAATTCACATCTTCAGGGGTGAGTACAGACTAAGGAGAAATACAAAACAAGGTGTATATATACAGAGGAGGGTGAGACCAGGTCCACAATGGTCAGGTATTAGGTAATGACCCTACTAATCTTTAAATAGCACCGCAACGGTCGGTAGTCAGGTCAGAGGGTAAGGCCATAACTTATCAACTTGAATTACGTTAAAGATTAATATACTAATGAGGGCAAATATGGCACAACAAAAGCAAAAAACAAATTGACAACTCGGCACAACTTAGCCCAAGGTTCAATCACAGCCTTCATCTCTTTATCCCAACAGTTCAGGAGTGAAGGTTTGGGATTATACACATTACAAAATATTTAAATAAAATTGAATAACCAAAAATTGACCATAATAAGTGTGTAGGCTCCATCATGTACAGATACAGATAAATTAAATCAAGAGAATAAAGAATCAACATAATCCTCAGTAAACCACTAGGTAATATGTACACAGTAAATAAACAATAAAATACTTGGTAATATCATCCTTGATTGCAATTTACACCCATAAATAATACTAGAGCAGCAATGAATAGTTAACACTCAACTAAACCCGATTTGAAAAGGTATCCATCACTGACAAACTCACACGGCCTTCCACCTCCAAGGCCACCAATAATTGACATCAGCAAGGTAGGTAGATAACAGGTAGCCTCACTCCCATAGGATCTACGCTAATGAAAATAAAAATGAAATTTTTATTTACGTATTTTTGAAGGCTTATGATGGTATTAAAAGTTGTATCATAAATGTATGGAATGGAGACTTTTTTTAAATTGGAGCCACTGATTAAATATATAAAATAAATATAAATATCTTACTTGCGACGCTTGCGACCGCTGGATTCCATCCAATGACGCTGATTGGCTAGCGATGACATCACTTATTCAGCTCCGCCCGCTTAGTTACATCAAACAGTAGAAGCAGATAATAATACCTCAATATTACAAATGCATGAAGTGGCAAAAGGGGCGTGGCTTAGCAATCTCAAGAGTAGAGTTACCAATTAGTGATTTCCTATGGGCCTGCATGAGGCTGCCTGGTATCTACCTACCTTGGACATCAGTCCATACAAGGTAGGTAGATAACCTATCTACCTACCTCGAGTCCATATTCCAGGGGACTACAACCCTAATACTAATATTAATTAACTCCCACATTAAGCTACAAAAATACCTACGTACACACAGAAAATATTTTAATGTATCAAGCACCAACCCTGCTCACACACAATTACAAAAAAATATCTTATTTACACTACCTAAGGGTAACATGCCTAAAAAATATTTCACTATGCACAGTGCAACGCACCACTGTACATTATGCCATGCATAACAATAGATATATACGTACTGTATACTGTATATATAATAATAATTAAAATCATAGTTCATGAGACCTACAATATACAATACATTTTCATCCCTCCTTGGAACTCCCCTCCTCCTTGGTCACATACTTAGTTGTGACAAAATGTTTTCAGGGTCATTGTGGTGGCATGAAAAGTCAAAGGAGCGTCGGCAACATACCCGCAAGACGCCAAGATCCCCAGCAGCAGGCAGGCAGCGATCCCAGGCCCCCAGCCGAGCCACCCTCACTGTGGTCCGTGCTGCAACCCAACTTGGTCTCCCAGAGGATCCTGAAGTTAGTATAGTACCTCTTCCTCCACCACTCCCTCTGACTTTACTGCTTTCTACTCCTCTGCTCTCACTCCTTCCACCCTTACCACCTTCTCCTCCAGTAAACAGGAACCTAAAAACCTGTAGGAATAGTCTGATAATCTGATTCTTGCTAAAATAAATATCCTTCACTATTATCAGACTGTATTCCTACAGATTTTTAGGTTTGTTATAAATTACACGTCCTAAAATGTTATACCCACTGTAATTACTGTAGTATTTAGTGTACAGTATTTGAATAAAAAAATAAAAATATAAACTTTCTACTTTGATGGGCTGCAAGAATTCAATTAAATGGAGAGAGCATACACTGCCTGGGCCAGCTAACTCATAAAAATACTTTATTATTGGTCTGTTGTACTGCACTAATGGTTAAGTAAGCAAGTAGTAATAGTAATACTGTACATCTTAATCATATGCATGGCAGAAAGAGTTTGATCAAGAGCTAACAAACCTTGATAATGATTATATAGGACTACCCATCTGCATGTTCTTATGGTATCAATTACCATCCAATTGTGATACTAAACTGAAATTCTCTTCCCCAGTTTACTCGTCACCTGTGCCTGACAACAGATGTCTGCCCATACTCGTGGCAGTGGGTAGAGGGTAACATGCTTAGAGCCATTGTGAGGTGGTCCCTCCTCAGATAGTTAACTTTATGTATCTTGAAAAAATACAGTTAAAAAAAAATATATACGTATATATATACAGTACATATTTATTTTTTGTGGGGGGGGAGGGTTAACAAATTTTAGTTTAATACTTTTTAACGTGCTGGGTACAAAATTATCAGAGCAAGCGATAAATACTGTGTACAGTATTTTAATGTTTGTCAGCTGTACTAGACTCTGTTGGGGATGTGTAAATGTTACACTTAAGACTACAGTATTATGAAACGTCATTAATACTGTACAGTACTGCACCTGCAACCAAATATAACACGTCATTATACAGTAATATTATACAGAAGACACCCGAGTAAGAGGAAAACACTGTACACTTAACAAAATTAAATCAATTAAGCTTTTTTAATTCGGGTAAAGTATATGTTGAAGTACATTGTGGGTATACTGTATGTGGCATAGTGATATATTTTACTAAATCTAAATGTAATTTTTAATAATGTATTTGCTGTTCTATATCCAAGATAGACTAAAGTGAGTCATGAACATTCTAAAATGAAAAACATTTACTGTACTTCCAAAACCTTTATTTGCAATTTATACTAAAGCAAGTATTTCACATTACATGAAAAAATATTGTGGCTTCAAAACTATATACAGTATTGACTTAGTTATATGCATATCTTGTTTTGTTAATTTTTATTACATTGTTGATTATTAAGTAGATCATTATATTCCTAGTACAATAGTGACAGGAGATTTATCTAAGAGAGGAGAGAAATTATTAGGCTCTTGTAGATGAAAGTCAGATAGACAAGAGTGTTTCCAAGGGTCCAATTATATCTGCATGTGTCTACAATATGTATACAGTAGTAATCTTTTCCTTACTGTAGATCAGAGAGTAAGATAAAGAATTAACAAACGCTAGGTAGTAGGAACAATCAGACGCTGCATCATACATTGCCATGTTTACTTTCTTGTGATAATATTATTTACCTGTTGATTTAGTAATAATTTGGGGCAGTCATCAGCAGCCATTAGAGGATGTGTTGTCCCTCTGCTTTACCAAAATATATCAACTTTTTTATTTAATGTCTGTTTCCATGAACTTTTCCCTCACTACCGAGTTATTTTTACTGATGTTTCATGTAAATATTGGCAATATTTGTGGATGTAATCTATTTCAGGTACAGTTGCCTGCATCTATACCCGGTACAGTGGTTGGCACATTTTGCAGAGATGTGGCAACTCTGTGGAATGCTTATCTATCATCTTTAGTCTGACTACAAGGGCCATTCTGGATATTTTAATACAATGTCAACAAACACATAGTTGACTCATTTCACAAAATGCACCAGCCACTGCACCAGGTATAAGTGCAGGGAACTGTACCTTTCTTGCGTTCAAGAGTATAATGATGCATAGAAATTCTTCCCTTCGACAATGTGATGACTCGACACCTCCAAACCTCCCAAATGTCAACTTCCCGATACCAACTGATGAGTGTTACTGAGCAACACTAGATGACTGCAAGCATGTCAATTTAAGTTGAACAAAAGAGTGAACAAATTATTTAGTTTCTGCACAAGTTGGGTCATTATTTTGGAATAGTCCAGTTGCTTTGGAGAAAGAGTGTTGATTGTCTTGAGTTGCATACTAGAGTAGATGTAGGAAGGTAGAAGGATACAATTAAGAAATTTACAGACTGCATAAAATAAAGATACAGTAAAGGAAATAAAAAACTTTAAAACAGTTAACATTAAGAATGAAGTGTATCTGTCTCGGTGGACTGTAGTCTCACTGGGGCCAAAGGCAAGAATCATCATAGCAAAAAAGGGTTCCTTTCTCATTCTCCCAAGGTATGGCTTCCATAGAAGTGTTATACTTCTCAATTGTAAGCTTTCTGCTGGAGAAAGAGCACATCTCTCCTGTTAAACAACACACAGGAGAGATTCTGCAAGCACAGATGTTAATTCGTTTTAATAACAAGTACAATTTGTAAAAAGCATTTTTGGCACTTTTCAAGTTTCTAACAGAAGATAGTACAGAGTAAGGATACTGTAAGTACATGTATTGTCAATATTCACTAACATATACAATATTTTCCCTGACAACACATAAAGACATGAGGGACGCTGAAACAATAAAGAGTGATGTGAACTTATATATTCATAAAATTCCACACCAAAAAGTACCACAAAGGCACATACAATGTTACAGAAATCCATCACTTCTAGAAGTACAGTATATTCAAAAGCATGTTGATTTCAGTATAAATGCTGTAGATGAAAACTAAGATTTCTATCAATATAAAGTCTCTCTCCAAATTGAGCTACTTTGGCACTTCTAGCAAGTTTACCAATTGGCAGAACATTGCTTTGTTTTATAAACCCAAAAATTAAATTTTAACGGCAATGAATTCCTCAACACAACACTCATTTAAGTGTAGGCAACAGCCCTTACATTGCACTGTTCACCTGGCAGTGTTTGATGCACCATTTTAAATATAGATTTCCCAGTTGTGTAGAGCATAAGGTTCCCTCTTTACACAAAACAGATGTGTCCCTAAAAGCTTTACACCTCTCAGAATTAAGTAGTACTGTACAAAGAAGCCACTATATAACGGGAGATACATTGCTAGGAGGAAAACTGTTTGCATGACATGATAAAAAACAGTAAAAAATGTACCAAAAATTCCCTCTTCAAATTTAATTAACACATCCATGTATATACAGGAGCAAAATGCCGAGCTTAATGGCAAACACGAGGAAATACTACCGAATAACCACCAGCTGTCTGTCCCTCCTCTTGTCTACTCATGGCCCTCAGTACCATTTACCCAGTAGTACAATACTCCGACTACAAATAATCACAACACTTGACAAGTATTATGCATACTGTTTCATATACTGTATGTTTGTTTAAAAATAAAAATTAGTAGGGGCATTAAGTAATATAAATACAGTACTTGTAAGCAGAGCAAATTTCACCGCCAACCGTTAATGCTGCCAGCCAACCCTCCCTGCCTTCATATGTTAAATTTCTTGCCAAAGTTTAATATCTTTACACACTTTTTGACTACTGTAATAATAAAATAAGTTAAATATAAAATTACAGTAGCTACATCTGCACTTACTTGTGAGTGATAATCTCTATTGAAGGTGGTGTACAAACAAAGCATGAAATGGCTTCAAGCAGACCTTGCATTGTGTGGTATAAAATGGACTCTTAACTAAGCTGTCGTCTTTTATAGTAGAAAGAGACATGCTGTATTAGGGTATACCTAACTAGTAAATTCATACAGTAAATGAAATGGTGAATAAAACACCCCTCCAGCCTACTGTACATTCAAATACAGATTGAAGTGATTCCTAAAACAAAGCACCATTGTTATACAGCAGATATCTGGCATGAAATTATATCCATACTGAAAAATAGTTTAAGTCTTTGTAGGAAATTCCCATTCCATGTTTCTCTACTGACAGAAACACTGATTTACAATAAAGAGAATTTGACATTATACACTATGTACAATATACAGTATATATATATATAACAATAAATAGGATAACAATTATATTTAAATCACTCATCAATAAATGTGAGCTATGTACAAACTTTTTTAATGCATAAAAATTTACATGGGTGATGGATCTATAACTGTACAGTACAGGGAAAACTGAACACCAGGAACCTTTAGTCATATAAAATGTTCACTCTCTCTCTTACAAGACTTTACCCACAGTGATGCAGGATGGGTTTTGTCAGGAGCAAACACACGCACACACACTATCCCTTCATTCACTGTCATTCATCTTTCTGACTTAACATAACAGTGAGTAGTTAAACAATTAATTGACCCAAACCAGAGGATAACAGAGGTTGCTGTTTCACTCTGTCTCTTTATATAAACAAGATTTTTATGGGAGGTGGGTCAGGTGTTGGCCAAAATCAAGTTGGCTTATTTTTGGAATGTAGATCAAAGGTCAAAATGTTTAAATTTAAAAGAGTATATACAGTACATACCTCAACAGCATGCTGGAGAAAACTATAATTAGATACCTCGCACACATGTCAGGTTCAGTCAAACTTAATCAACCTGTAATTTGTTTTAATATTTTGTTGAAGAAGGAAATCTGGCCATAACCCCTTCCCCAACTGAACAGCCAAGATGTAATGATACAAGTATATGTATGTATAACAGACACATTACAAGTTAAACAGAGTCATCATAGCATATGGAAAGGAAAGGGCTAAGCCATGACTTTGATCTTTTTCCTACATTTGCCAAAAACAAACCTACTATAGTTCTCCCAAAGTCGGTTAACTAGTTCTTTAGATATTTTATTTAAACTGAAACAGACGACCACACCTTCTGACCCTGGATCTGTACACTGGTGAGCACTTTGCTAGTTCTACCTCATGATTTTCACCAATGAAGATCCATAATAAATACTCTTTTTGTACTTTTCACTCAATACAATAAATAATGGAATAATCCTTACAAACAGGCCTTTACACATTACAGTTCTGAACATTCAATGAAAGATTTGATGTTCTTAAATTTCCATGCTACAGCTTATCAATCTGATAACTATGTTTTCTTTTTTTCTCAATAAACAACTGCAATAATTAAATTCTGATCTTAGCAATGGATTAGTTCTCCATGCACATGCAAATGAGTATCATAAACACACTTAATACAGTTTATGTAATTCAAATACAATAACATGAAAACTATCATGGACATTTCTCTCCTTGCTGCTGCCTTCCTTGCATTAGGATTTCTGTACAACTTACAAGTATAATTATATATATATAAAGATCTGACTTGAGTAGTATGTGTTAGGCATTAATATCAGAAGAATCTGAGTAGAGAAAGCTTCTTAAAATATTTGTTCAGATCATTTTGAAGAGGTTTGAGTTAGATAAAACTGGAAGTCGGACGAGAATTTCTGAGTTGCTTTCTAATCTAAACTTGCTTGCCGACGACCTGTGGGGGAAAGAGTTAAGCTACAGTACAACATTCAGATTAAAGATAACAAGGCTTTTGACATGAAATCTGCCATTGTTCACATCCACAGCACACTCAGGCATAAATTCTATAAATACTACCCATAATATTTCTCATGGTCATCTACACATGTTCCCCCTCACATAAGCTTCCCATCAAGAGGCTTGTCACTGGAAACAAAAGTAGGAAAAGTACAAGATGTCATTTAGGATATCAAAACATGTGACCCTCAGTACGGGGTTTTCCGGCCTCTGGTTTTCTCCTTTACTAACACTGGATACACCAACTGCCCAAATGACTAATGAGATAAATAGTGTATATTAAAGTCATTCTCAGTCATATATTCTTAACAAATATTCAACTCATCTCAATAGTTCCCTGTGGTAGAACACATACCAGCAATAAATACTAAAGTTATTTAAATGGAGATAAAAAAAGAAGTTTATGAAATATTTAATGTTGAACTGACAACTTTATCCTTTATCTTCTCTATAATATACAGCTGTAACACTAAACAAAATCTCACTACACACACACACTTGTTTCATTATAGTGCCTGAATCTCAAACCTTACCCCAGGTGTCAATCATTCACTCTTACCCTCACTGTTACTTCTACATATCACCAATGACTGAAGAGTTTGGGGGAGACTATAAACTTAGGTATGCTAGTTAGTAGAAAATGTATGAACAGGTTAGTTATCATGTCACGTCAAGGGTTCAAGACTGGTACAATGGTGTTTTAGAGCCTAAGTGTGTGTGTGGATATGTTTACGGAGAGTCTACACATACACATGCTCACAAGGCTCCAAAGCTATCATGCCAAATTTGAACTCCCGAGATGACTCTTTATTTTACAGCAATAATTCAAGAAAGTCGACAGTATAAAGTACTTGACTAATTCTAAACAGCAGTACATACTTGTATCTCTGAACTAAGTAGCAACATGCAGCACTAAAACACATAATAAAAACTTGCCTCTATATATCAATCAATTTCATATCCAACTATAACTATATCATAACAAATTTACCATAATACCTGATTTACTGATTTAGACACACAAAAAAATCACCAAATCAAAAATAAGCAAAATTGGTTAGTTTGCAATAGGTCGATGCACAGTCACAGTTTTAACCACACCATCAACTATACCAGATTATATTAACTCTTCCCAAAATCTAAATCCTGAAGGCAATCTCTAGGCTATGAGAAGATAATTAATATTAACCAGATGATCACTTCAGTAATTTAACAGTGTAGTAGTGGGGTCTAGCTAACTACCTGTGTTCTAATACTAAGTTTTCTCTGTGAAGAACCGTGTCATTTGCAGTATTTCCTCTTCTACAGTTGCCACATAGCCAAAACCTGGAGCAGTCATTATCTATTTTTTTTATATATATACAGTATGAATTTGTGCTATCAATTATTTCATTTAAGAGAAAAAAAACAATTACAGATTAGATAAAAAAAAGACTTGTAAAGTATAAAATGGGGACATAAATAAATCTCTGACTACTCTAGGCCAAGGCATTGTGTGGAGTTCATACTCACAGCCTGTGTCAAGGAAATTTTGCTATCAGAGGCCCTTCCTGGAAATAGTTTGAGACATGAGTGAGATCTGAAAACAAGTACAGTTTCTGTATGTTGTGAGGCATGCTAAAGAAACAGGTGACAATCAGATAAATTGTTATAACACTGGGAACAACGAGAGGTGGGCCAAAAGGTCAGGTGTTTACAAGGACAAATGACACTGTTTTGAAATATGAGTCATTTCTTCCTCAGATATGCCAGTCAAATGATAACAGTTGCTTTTTACATCTGCCTGAAGGTCAACTTGAACAGGACTATAAAACAAAAATAATTGAAAAAGTAACAAGTGGCTACACAAGTAACACAGGAACAACACAAGCTGCAGGTGTACCCTATAATAACACACTCACTGAGACGTGTCACCACCAGAGGAGCCAACAGTTCATGGACATAAAAATGGACAGTTTGGAGATTTGAGTCACACAAGTGCAGTCTCTGTGAGTCTCTCTCTCTCTCTCTTATACAGAGCCATTGCCATCTGTCATACTATAACAACAATGTACTGTATCTACATCAAGGTGGTTTGTGGGGATCTCCCTCAAACAACATCGTTAAGAGATATTTTATACTCCTTTACACCCACTCTCCTCACAAGCTTTCTATCATTCCACCTTGTTTTTTGGACCAATCCACCTTTTTTTAGAATCCATCCACCTTTAATAGGATCAATTCACTGTTTTTAGAATCCATCCATCTTTTGTAGGATCAATCCACTTTTTTCAGGAACCATCCACCTTTTGTAGTATCAAACCACCTTCTGGGTAGAGGGGGAGTTGTTCTTCCAGCCTGTACTCCTACCTTTCCTTCCCATATACAGTACATCTTTCATATATTTAACCTTACAAAGGTCGCCATCCCAACTAAAGCACCTTTTTATTTAATCTCATGAATCATCCCTCCACTATTTCAGCGTTTCCTTGTAAAGTTACGTCTCCCATGTCAGTTTCTCAAAAGTCATTCTCAACTGCTTTCTCTATAAATAAACTTTCTAATCCAAACTCACAATATATGATTGTTAAGTTGTATGAAACTCCTTGTTATATTAAGAGCTGAGATGTATCATTTATTTATTCCTGAATGTCTCTTTTCATATCCTCTTCTCCTCCTGTTCCCTTATCAAACACACTGCACCATTGTAAACTTTAACCACATTCACTGATCCCTCAATGATCTTCTTCCACACCATGACTCAACTGTGAAGTTTATGATTCTCAATAACTCTCCTTCCTTCTATGTCCTACGGTACCTGAAATTTTCCTCATCATGCTCTCTCTCCATTCAATGTTTTCTTGTTCACACTCTTTTTGGACAAAAAAGTAAAAAAAATCACCCACTGAAATTTACACAATGATAGCATTTTGGGTTACAAAACAAATGAAATTATTTCGAGAGTTATTATGACAAGTAAGTGCCAAAATTACAACTTTCCGACCCCAGACTATTAATCCCCGTGGTGAGGAATACTGTACCTATACTATACTGTAATGTGGCCAATCAGTCAAGGAAAAGCATCAGTGTATGGATGTAAAAATGAAGGTCATAACATAGGTGGAGGTGAGTGAGTGACCGGTACACAGATACAAGGCACCAAAGAATATGTTTTGGAAAAATACTTAAAGTAAATGTTGCACCAACAATTTATAGGAAGGCTAACTCAACTATTACCTTATATTAGTGTACCTGTGCTTCTTCTACCTGTGTTTACTCTTCTCCAGGAAGTGTTAGTTTATATTTTACACTATTTACTCAATTAAATAAAGGTCTGGATACTTTACGAAACAGTAACTCTGAGGTGAGAAAAAAAAAATAGTAAAAGTCTCCCTTCCCAGGACCCTTGCCCTTAAACACCTACATATAACTTTAAGACCTATTGAATTTTTTGGTTTGGATCAGCGTTGTTTTGATCAACGTTGCAGTTATCAGGAACAAAACCCCAACATTATGCGAGGACTGCCTGTAAATATATCTGGGTGTCTTGAAATGATGATAATAGCCACAAATCACCATGTTGCCTCCACCAAGCACCAGAATAACCGCTCTGGATATTGGACATTCATCCTTATGTCTTACTCTTCCTTTACACTGTGGTAAATCAAAAGTGTATGATAACATATGTAGAATGATCGTCTTACAGTAAAACCTCTATTTAACGAACTATAAGGAGAGGAAAGTCCATTATATCGAGGATCCATTAAACATAAAAACCCCATCTAACGAAATATATAGCGATGAAACTCCATTACATCAAGGTTCTGTTAGCTGTGAAACCCCTATCTCATGGATTATAGGGAGAGAGAAGCCCGTCAGAGGGAGGTTTCACTGTATAAGTTCGTCACTCCCTCTCTTGTCAGCTAGAGGTTTCACATTACTACTGGTTCTCTGGGTAATTAAGCTGTTGATAAGCTACAGAATGATGAAGGTCTCGTCTGGTACGTTATGATGTACAGTATAGCTTATGGAGAAAGTTGCCTACTGTGTGAAGTCTTGTAAGAAGGGACACTACTCATTGAAAGCTTTTGGAGATTCTACATATATTATGAGTGTATCTTGCTCCCAACACAAAACTGACTTCTTTAACTGCACTACTTACTGGATACAGTACTGTAAATATGTAACCTTATCAACACTGCTGAACAAGAATTTAAATGCAAACTTAAACTTGGAGCCAAACCACTATCTAGCAAAACAAGCAAACAAACAAACAAACATACAACACACACACACACACACACACACACACACACACACACACACACACACATACAGGTACTCATATACAGCCTGAAAAACACTTGCTTCTGACAAGGCAGGTAAGACCAATAATAAATTTTGTTTTACTAAGAAAAGCAATACATAAGTTTGAAGATGTGCGCACATGTAGATAGATGCATACAAGTGAGTGCTCACAACATGACTGCAATTTGTGGTGCTTGATTGAACTAGATACGGTGGTGCGTGGTGCAAGTCTGAGCTGTCTAACAACATTTCAATTTTCAGAACAAAAAGTGCAAAAATATATTTACAAGCTAAAAAACAAGCCTGAAGCACTGAAAGATTCACTACTAAACGTACCTTTACATAGCAATGGTCATTCCGACGGCACTTTTTCTTGGACAGTTGCCGTGCGTGTGAGACGGAGAGGTGGGGCGTGACGTCATGAGTGGTACAACTGGCATACGCAGACTCGCATAGTGTTCATGTACCTCTGCCAGGTCATCCGTAGAGTGTGGTTACTGCAAAGAGTTGTATAAATCAATGAAATAAAAGGGCTACCACTCGTGTAATTTACATTTATATTATTTCACGTACTTTTGAGTAAGATATCCACATGAAAGCAAACATCTCAATACTGTACCTACAATCTCTTATGTCCTACCTCAAGTCTCCAGGAGAGTTTAAGTCTCACTTATCCCTTACAGTACTGTACATATAATACTGTAGTTCTTTATATATTACAATATTTATTGGGGATCTAACTAAAGATTTAATTAACTTATATTTTAAACTTTTTCTCAGTCAGTGTTTAGATCACTAGTAAAAACTACTGTACCTAATAACATTTAGAAATGATGTGGGACCATTTAATACTCCTATGATTATATAAATAAATATGCAGTAGAGTGAAGTACTTTTAACATACACCTTTCTGTGCCACTTTCTTACTCATGACACATATTCCTGGACTGTACATTTTCACAAACCATCAAGTCAAAATCCTCTCATCCCAGACATACAGTTTCAGTCACTCTCACATCTCCAAAAACAAAGTTAAGTCTCCTAACAATAGCATCCTACCAGGGAAATAGAACCTAAGTGAGTCAAGTGGTTAAGTAACACGAACTACAAAACCTTCTGCTATACCAAAGTGCATAACATTCTGTAATAATTAAACGATAATGAGTTGCTTAAGCTGACTAACTCACGATCAAGATAGATATGATAATTAACAGACTACAACTACAGTACAGTATATGCAAATGAGGTTTACTGATTGCATGTAAGTTAAACTATCTGGACGATTTAAACTAGAATACATTAATAATACCTAGAAAGCTGACTAAGTGTACTTAAATCACCCACACTTACATCTCAATTCAATTACAAATCATTTAAGTTCTTCATTTATCCCATTTCTCAGTCTGTACACAAAAGCTTACTTTTGTTGACACAGTGTAAAATCTATTCTATGCCTTTTCATACCTAGTTAATCTTACCTTCTTTACTACTCATTTTTTATTCCTTACTTATATAATCATTCTTTTTATCTTTCTCTCTCTTACTCTCTGTTATATTTCTTAGCTGTACCTTTAAAGTTATTCACACTATTCATGCACTCACAACACTTACTTACTACCCATTAACTCATAACAGACTCACTCACTCGTACACAGTACTCACAACTAAATTACTCATGCACTCAACTCAAAGTTAATCATACCCTCATAACTCAAGCTGTTCATTTTATCCATGTATTCATAATTCATAGTTATCTCATTTTATTCATGCATGGATAATTCACAGTTAATCGTGCACTCAATACTCATTGTTATTCATGCATATCTCGTAGTTATTTATGTTACTCGTAGGTACAGTCATGCACTCAAAACTCAAAAATAATCATGCACTCATAACTCACAATATTCATAACTTGTAATACTCATGCACTCAGAACTATAGTTACTCATGTACTCATAACTCACATCACTCATCCACTTATTACTCAAGGTTACGTATGCACTCATAAACCCCAGTTACTCATTTTAAGAGTGAATTCACAACTCATAGATCCTCATGCATTTTACTCACTGCTACTCATTCTAGTCACTTGTAACTCAGTTTACTCAGGTGTTAACAAATCATTACAGGTATTGACTCATAATTACAGTACAGTACAGTAGTACCCCGATTTACGCGGTCAATTGAACCCAAAGGGTACCGCGGAAAGTGAACAACAGAACATATGGGATTAATTCCAATAGAGACTGGCCCGACCCCCAAACTCCACTTTTTCCGACACAATACCTATGTTGTAGTAAAAATAACATCTAAATTTTATGATGGCATGCTCACACAATTAATATTTAAGAGAAATACAGTCGCCAGGTTAATGTCCATTCAAATAATGAACTCAAATCCCCCCCCCTCTTCCCAGCTCACTAGCTCCTACCTCTCTGAGAAATGTTTGGGTGAAAACTCTAGATTTTAACGTTTAGTAATAAATAATACCGCAGACTAAAGTTAGGATAATATAATTGACATTTCTGGATTCCTTGCAGGCCAGGGAATATTTTGAATGTAAACTTCATATGTTTTGCACAAAAGATAAAATATTTGCTTTGTGTAAACCAAATTATTACTTTAGATCTAAAATTTGTATGTCTAATGCAAAATCCATGATGTTTATATTCAAAATGATCATCATATTGTAAGAATTCCTGCAATGTAAATTATATTCTGGTCGAGTAATTTGTATGAATTTTATGAGCTAAAACAAATATCTTCAGTTAATAAAAAAAAATATTCTTCACAACACTATCTGTCAATCAAAGTACCCCACCTTGCCTCCCCCCCCTCCTCACACTCACGCCAGCTGGGTCGGTCGGTCCCAACCTTCCCCCCCACCTTCCCTCCCTACCAGATAAATGTATGGGTGAAAACTCTAGATTTTAACGTTTAGTAATAAATAATATCTAAGACTAAAGTTGGATAATATAATTGACATTTCTGGATTTTTGCAGGTCAGGGAATATTTTGAATGTAAACTTCATATATTCTGCACAAAGGATAAAATATTTGCTTTGTGTAAAACAAATTATTACATCAGATCTAAAATTTGTATGTCTAATGCAAAATCCATGATGTTTATAGGCTATTCAAAATGATCATCATATTGTAAGAATTCCAGCAATGTAAATTATATTCTGGCCGGGTAATTTGTATTAATTTTATGAGCTAAATAAAAAAAAAAAAATTATACTTCACCGCGTATATGAGTAGATGCACCGCGGAAAGTGAAAGTATGGTTCTGGCAAGGTACCGCGTAAATGAGAAATCACGGAAAGTGAAACCGTGTAAAGCGGGGTAATACTGTACTGTACTCATACAATTACTCATGTACTCATATGATAATAGCTTGAGGAGGCCAAAGGCGACGGAACTACCTGTAAAACCCCTGCCACGTTAGTAGTGTCGCACTGGATAACACCCTTCTCACATCTGACCTGGCCTGGAAATTGATCCTTGGACGCAGTAATGAGAGGCACGCAGATTACCGCTGTGCAGTGACATCAACACATGCCCAGTAGCCACAAAAAATAAAAATAGCTGCAATGGAGCAAATAAATGTCTACATCATCGAACACAATCTCGAGGAATGTTTGCCTTGTAGCTGGTTTAGAATCAAGCCAGTTAAAACGATCAAAAGACATATATGGTAGTTTTTACTGTACTCCTAGAGAAAAAATACTCCACTACATGGTAAATATATTCTGAATAGACACACCCGGTACCAGGTAAATACTCACTGGACATTCCGAGCAAATATTTCACAGTTTGTATATTAACATATTTTCGCTTCATTAATAAATCCTAATATACTACCAGAGGACATTAAAAGTCATAACAAATGTAAAATAAATAAATAAATAAATAGAAACAGAACGATGCTTGAATGTCTAGTTCTCTAGTAAGAGGTGCAGATGAATCAGAATTAAACAGGCATACCTCATAAGGCAAAGCACAAACTACCAGCTGAAAATATATTGAATCGAGATTAAATAAGTGAGAATGATGTTGTATACAATTAAGTTTCCTTTTAATGAATGATATAACTTCGTACTGGAAGAAATATTCGTTGGTATTTCTGGTACAGTACGATATTTTGCACGTCCAGTGATCTCCGCAAGAGGACGGTACATATGCGTAAACACTGGACGGAATATAGCTCCCTCGAGAGTGCATGAGCCACTGTTATTGTCCTCTCACCATCATGCCATCTACTGCATTTACTCATACACTCAACTCAGTAATTCATCTCATACATGCAATCTCAACTCAGCAACTCATCTCACTCATAAATCAGATATATATGCACCCATAACTGATATTTGCTCATTACCTCCAGAACTCATACTTACTCATGCTCTCATTACTATAAGTTACTCATACTGTACTCATACTACTTTCATAATTCATAGTTACTCACCTACTCATACTCATTTATACTTACCTACTCAGGCATTCATGACTTATAGTTACTCATTTGACTCATACGCCCATTATTATTCATTGTTATAGTTATACTCATGAATTATGTTACTCATGCTCTCATAACCAATAACTCTTCATATTTACTGATGCACCTACAATTCACAGACATTCATTTTACTCATGCAGCATAAAATAAAGCACATCGTCCACAACTTTGGTACGAAAACACAATCAACAAAAATCAAACTCCTCTACAACACAGTAATCCAATCAAATTTTCAGTCATATCTCCTCCTACATTAAGTTGTAAGCCCCAGCGTTTCCGAGATCTGTTGTCGTTGTCTGACAAGTTTCTCCGTACTTTTACAGGTAAACAACCATGCTCTGGGAGGGTGTGTGTGTGTGTGTGTTTAATTTTTGGACACGGGAGGGAGGCAGGGAGGGAGGGTGGGAGGCAGGGTGAGGGAATAAGGTGAAAAATAACATTCCTTTAAAGACATGACCAAACCACGTCTCGTTCCTTGTTACTGGTGTGTATATATTATTTTTAATTAGTGAAAAGTAACTGAAGATTTCAAAATTTTATGCATAACATCATTCACAGATTAAAAAATTACACTAAGGCATCCAAAATGTTGTCAATGAAGATGAAACTGATGGGGGTTATGTAGGAACACTCTCTTTACAGTACCTCCTTCCCACTCCAACCAAAATCAATGCCTGTGATAACACCGGTACCTAACCCCCATCCTATTCCCACTGAACGACGAGGTAGCATTTCTGACATGTTGACTACCCCCCCCCCCTCCCCCAAGGTCCCTCAAAAATAATACTGTATCATCGTCGCTGAAAACTCATGTCAGAGCCGGGAAATAAACTCTGGTCTATGAAATTCAATGCAACAATCATGCCCTATACAGTATAAGTATATCTCCTTACAATTAACACTGCATTTATCTCACTATGATTGATCTATAGGATTATCACATGACTCTTGAGTGCCTAACAATACAGTATATACACTTTGGAGTCCCCGTGTGCAGGTGCAGTTAATGGTAAGAGCTAATGTGCAGAACTATGTACAACTGATTTCTTTATAAACAGTCGAGAACAAAAATATTCTCAAGATGCAGAAAATTTTCTCACCTTCTTCCTCTAGGTTTTCTTGTTGGGGAATGAGGACAAAAGGAGTAAGTTTCAATGCAAGAAATTTCAACATGCAGTCATACAGAAGCATTAGACAAAATCATACTAATTAAAAGGAGATTATGCCCAAATATCACTGTAAAAGCGGTACATAAAAGCTGGAATTTAAAAGGTATGATAATGATAACAATAATAATCACAATAATATTCAATAGTGTACACATAACTCTGAAGGTATCTTATACTACAGTACTGTACATGGTGTTACAGGCCAGCAGCAGAAGATACTGTATAACAATGTGTGAGGTGAGACTAAGTAATAAACACGTGATGTGGACCTCTGTCGGGTGTTCCCAGTCATGAGTTTGTTCAAAGAAATAATAAAATAATGGGATTGTGCAGTTCTTCACGTTGCATAAAATACATCAGCCTCCATGCAGCATGTGTATGCATGCTCTGTGGGCATATAATAATTCTGCATTATGCTGCCATTGCATTATATATCTAAAGCAGTTACAAAAATTTAGGGAGCAATACAACCATGGCTGGTGCTCTTAATAAAACAAACTACTGTAGTATCTTGATATGGAAGGAAGTGGCAGGAACAGGTAACTGAGTTTTTGGACGGGGGGATTTAAGTAGTGCTTGGTCATTAAATTATTACATCAGTTACACTAATGGGGATAATAAATAACACAAGTAAGGAAATGAATGTTGGGTCGAAGATGGAGAAGAGAAAATAATAAATCTTGAGTAACAATTAAACGTGAAGTTCTCGTAAACACTTCAGACAGAGGCGGTGATGAGGAACACATCTGTGACCCGGTACTGTACAATATATCAAATGTAATTCCCTACAAACCATAGCTTTAATGACTTTTCTACCGTAAGTATCATCTCAACTGATGTAGACTTTGTGGATTAAAACCATATCCCTAAGTGGATCTCATATGCATAATACAGTCTAGTACTATGAACTACTATACAAATAAAGTACACATCACACACAATAATGCTTAACCTTGAACAAATGCCACAGCACTCTTCTGGGATCAACATCGGACAAAGGTCTATGTATCATGCTAATGTCTCATCATCTTATAGTGTGAAGTATCTTATTGTTTAATTGTTTAAAAAAAAATCCAATGTATAATGTGTTCAATAAGCATAGTTGAGGAGAACCCAGGGAACTAAGTCCCATTTCTTACAATATTCTGAAAGGACCAAAGGCTACAGATACACAAGTAGATTGTACACGGGCCTGGAGTTGTCTGTTGAACTTATCATAGGAATAAACTTAAAGAAGTGTACAGTATATATGTTGTGACAGCTAAGTGAGTTAAACAATATACAGTACAGTACACACATCCCCTGAGTTTGGGGAAATTCAGACAATGGGAATCATATATTAGGAAATGAATTACAATCTACAGTGTAAAATTAACAACTACTTATACTGTATGAATGGTCTACAGTTTGTCCTAGTTCACATTTCATACAGCTTAAGGTCATTCAATTGCACAAACATTTCATTCTTGCATCCCTGTTTAGAATACACCTAGTGCTGGGCTTACATTATTTAGATTACACTTTGTCATATTTCAAACCTTTCAAAACTGTGCAGTGTTTCACCCTTGTGCTGTGACTTGCCATTAAGCCATCACCTGGAAGTGTTTTGACAATCTGATATGGTTGAACAGAATCTTAATAAAAAAAATTAAAGAAAGTATTAAAGCAGCTGCACCTGTACAGTAAGTGCTTCTTGGTTGTCTCACTATAGCTATACTGTACTGTGATGAAAAATACCACCATGTTATAGGTACGCATTAACTGCTAAGCTGAAATGAGTTCGAGTAAAAATATGAACTGACATAATATTTATACTCCCCACATTCATGCCATTCCATCTCTTTACTGAATATGTAAAACGAATATTTTCCATATTCACCGCCTCGAAGAACAATGACGTAAGGCTATTTGCTTAAATAAACACTTATGGTTACTGTTTCTTCCAGAGTACTTCTGAGAACATTAATTGTCATTTATGCTCAGAAGACATTGTATTATTTAACACAGGAATAAAACCTCAAACATTAAAAATTTCCATTTAATGGCCATTTGTTACTTTGGAAAAAGGTAAAATTTAGCTAAATTGCTAACTTTATGAAAGCTTATTCAATTAATAATTATTTCAGAGCAACAAACACTTTTCATATTGTTCTAAAAGTAAAACTAAACAGTGACACTAAACCTTGGGGTGGTTGTACATAGCTTATTTTCAGCATTCCTATGATTAGTTTAGCATTAAATATTAAAGGGTTTGTTGCATTCTTAAGATAAATTCTATCATATCTTGGACCATAAAATTTTCTGTATGAATACATCACCAATCACATAGTAGAAGTCAAGGGGGAAATACGGTTCATTGTATGGAGATCTGCTTTATGGCAAACATCGTAGAAACATATATCCCTTAAGTACACCGGGAGATGCCTATACAGTACTGTATATGATCTCGCTGAGTACTAACACTGTCACGATACGATGACCAGTGACCAAAAGTTTGCATCAGTAGGAGATATATTCAGGTATGATCATGAATAATGAAGGATAGCAAGCAATACCTGATGGCTGGGGATGAAAGATCAAATTAACTGAGAATATCCCCTAAGTAACAAGAGCCATGACCTGTACAACCTGACAGTGTAAAGGACTGAGGCATAAACTGATACAATTTACTCCTAACTGGATTCCATTATTTAATTCCATCATTCAACATTATCATTTACTGTACTGTCATGTTTCGTTTTTTTTTTACATACTGAGCACCACAAATTTACTCTTCTATAAACTTATGGTTGTGAATGATGTGTTTAACTGTACAATATATAGAGTTTATACTGTATAACTGTTATGATGGAGTATAAACAGACAGCTTGTGGTGGCTCTGTGCACAACTCACAGTAGTTATTTTATTTATTTTTACTCTCACAAACATTCTTCTATCTCAAACAAACTCCAAGACCAAAATTCAGTAAGAGTTTCCTAAGATGGATGAGGATGCAACATACCATCAGACATTCAATAGATAATGGGCTACTTCTAAAGTTATACCAAAACCTTACATAAAAGATTCAGCTTAAGATCCCATTATCAAATTTACACACCCGGAGGCCCTGTGAAATACTCATCAAAACACAACATGACGTTTACCTGAGGAATGATTTCTGTAAAAAGTGAAGGTATATGCATGATGACCACAGATGGATGGACACAAGGTCAACTCAAAGTACAGATGATTTAAAATTATAATAAGCATTAATTGGCAAAGGTTTTATTAGCATAAATCTTTATCTGGGGCAATAGCTAAATAAATATCTAGAGGAATACACCTTTTCACATATCCGTTGAGACATTGTTACATAACTATTTGACAAATTTCATACCCGAATGACAGAACACATATCGAATGACGATCTAAAATAACTGTTGGTTCATGCTAACGGAAATGACTGACATAAGTTATGAAGTTGACATACGTAAACAATAAACCGACAGTCTACATATAGTTTGAGAATGTAACAATTGGAGAATGACATACCACCAACAGTTATTTTAGATTGTCATTCGATATGTGTTCTGTCATTCGGTTATGAAATTTGTCAAATAGTTATGTAACAATGTCTCAACGGATATGTGGAAAAGTGCATTTTTTAAATTACCAACATAATGTAAGAGTTGGTGTGGGGAAAGTGATCATCATATGGCATGTTAGGGTGTGGGAGTAGAGAATTCCACCACAGGGGACAGGATAAGTAAGCTGACAAACACACGAGAAGTAAAATGACTGACACGGCCAAAGACATGAGACTTAGGGGTCAGACAGAGAGTTGTACCTTCACCCGATGTGGTTATATGAAGGGGATCTTGGGTGACAGGAAGGCAGTGATGTAAGAGGTTTCCAGGATGAGGTGAGGGCGAGGAGAGTTATTTACTAACATCAAAACAAGAAGAACACTGTGGGGTGAGGTGAAGGAGGAGAGTTCTTGTGAGGATGAGAAGTAAATGGATCATGCCAGGAAGGTGTGTTTAAACAAGGTAGATTTTAAGGGACTTTTGTTGTGGTCCTATACTAACAGGGACCTCCTAGGGGACTGAGGCACCAAGATCTACAGGTAAATAGAAAGATGCCACAAAATCCAACAACGACATCTTTTCTTCAGCTCAACATTACTTCTAAGTTACTCTAGTTGCCTTTCTCTTTTAAACCTTTCGTGGTATCTTTCTGAAATGTGGCAAAACTGAAGTTGTAAGCTACACCAGGAAATTTATTGTTGTTTAATAAAGAAAACTACTGTTACACATACACACACCTGGACCTTGCTAATCTGTGCCAATGTGTTTATTTAAAATATTTATCCGATATTATGACATACACTACAGGTACTACATTTGCAGACAACTTATTCACTACCTACACTAAAAACATTATGTTCCTCATTACCAATAAGAAACATGTTTAATACAAGAATTAGTTCAAAGGATATTGTAAATTAGGATGCCATAAATAACAGACCTCCACACTGATCATCGATAAATACGCTTACATAGAGACCAGTCAGTCTTACCTCACCAAACAATGATCGAGACGACAGTGTTACAAGTACACTCACAAGTCTCCTGCACAAACTGACCTGCTGTTAGTGGTACCTGCCTACTGAAGTGAAGAGCTTCATAGTCATCAATTAATAGGAAATAATTTTCATGGGGAATTGGATTCAGGATGGAGTGACTATTACAGGATCTAATACTGTAACATCACATCCCTTACATTTTTTTGTATAGACGACAGAATATCTTCCATTATATCCCACTGACACGAGCCACTGTCTTGGTTTCACAACAATATGTTACAAACTGCATAAGACAGTTATAGTGACTCAAGTGAATCATCCATTACAGGTCATCATACCTTCAGAGCCAAGAGGTGTACTGTACAGTCTATGGTAATGTCATGAGAATATCAACCTCATAAAGAGTAAATACTTCCAGGTGTTACTTTGTTCCCCCTGAGTAATATAGTACTATTAGGAATACTGCACACAGCTGAATAGGAACTAGCTTAAAAACTAGTAATACTTTTGATATGCAAGATGTACAAGATACTCCTCCTTAGTGATACCTCCTGAGCCTGATATAAGCCAAGTTTGAACCAGTTACCCTTCTTAAAGCTAATGAAAAAGCAGGTTCAGTCACCCACATATACTCTGCTCAAAATCAAGCCCCTAACTCTCTCATAACACTGTCCATGAGCATAAAATTTCATGATAGAACAAATGATATTCAAACGATAAGTGGAACATTTACACTAAATTATAGGTTTCCTCTATGTCACTTGACGATGGCACGATGCCCAAATTCTATGGGGACGCCTCATTTAATATTTTATTTGGGTAATGCAAAACGATTTTCTTCAGCTCAGAGGTGACGCCGTAAACAAGGGATTAAAATAATTAGATTTCTCCAATATTCCTCAAATAATAACGTAGAGATGTGAAGGAACATAATACGAAGGTTTGTGGGAAGGCTAATTTGACACTGATGGACTGTACTGAGAGTCAGAAATGCAGGAGGTGGGTCCTTGAACATACACAGGTGGGAGGCTCTAATTGATGGACTTTTCCATTAAGGATAGCTGATCCAAACTCAGGCTACAATGAATACTGTACCGTCAACTGGGTAAAAAATATAAATATAACCAAAAAAAATCGACTATTGCATCACTTCATCAAAAGGTTGCACAATCTATCCCAATTACAATCAATTTCACTATTTAAAGAAGGCCTCATTACTGTTCCTCTTCAAAGGCTAGACAGCATCATCAACCACTCTTACCTCACTATGCTGTTGGCACATTCAAATATTATCTTTACTAACACAAAATAAAGCCTTACCTAGCCATGATGTCAAGTGCACTGCCAGCATCAGTATACACCTGAAGGAACACCTCGAGCTCTGTCACTTTCCACCTAGACTGACGACAAGGATCTACCACCTTCTCCACGGTGTCCACGAAGAAGTCTCGCATGTCACGGGAATTGTTGAGGGAACACCCGATGTTGATGATGCCTCGGGAGTACACTTTGAAATTGTTCTCAACTTCTGAACACATACGGTCCGGGATCTTTCCGCGAAGATGGCTTAAGGTCACACTGTTAAAGTATAAGGTCAACAAAGTCTATAAAAAGCGGCACTTAAATGATATGATCAGACTTTATTCCTACTGATTCTTAAGTTCCTGTACTATATAACATTATGATCTATTAATTTCATTTAGTTTTCAAAATACTTGCATGCTTTCTTATTTACAACACAGCTACATAATTAAGATTCCCATACTCTACTACAAGTAATATAATACAGTACAGTACATCCTGGAACCGTAAACAGAACATAAGTAAAATAATATCACTTTATTTTCCATCTTTCAATAATCTCCGAAGTAATGACTCCTAAAGAATCCTAACACCTGCTTCACGACTCATTGAAAAATATGTATGAAACTCATCTACAACACAAAGGTCTTAATACCTAACCAGCCCAGGAAACTGAAAACACTTCTTGGGGAAACTACCACTGAACTACACTCAACATCATCAACCACAGAAATATAAAAAAGCCCAAAACAAAATTCTACCACAGGACTTACTTCCGGTGTTCCTTTTCACGGTCTAATAAGAGTTTAAAGTCCCTGAGTTCAATCAGGAAGTCTCGGTCAAAATCAGTGTCATCTCGTCCATATGAGCCAAGATTGGTACTGGGGTTGAGAGGACCGACAGTCGTCCAGGTGGTCATCATCAGCGACGCACACACATTAAAGTCCTCAAAGGTGAGATAGTTCAGTTTACGTTTACTCGTCTCAAAGCGGTTGTTGACAATGAAGACAATAGCTGCATATTTCCTGAAATAATCCATTATATGTTCAACTGTAATAGGTAAAGGAAAACCGCAGTAGGCTAATAACTTTCTCGATTGTATCTAATTATTTATCTACCCAACACTCTTTACTCCATTACATTTCTCTAACAGGCTGTATAAAATGTCTTATTATACAGTATCTGAACTCCATCTGTCAGTCTCCTCCAAACTGATCATCTCACAAATATTTAACATCTAAAAAACATGAACCTTTAAGGCTTCTACCCTTGTAAAGTTTTTCTAAGATACATTACAAAGCTGTACAGTTCATTGTATTGTTAACTGTTCAGGCTCCTGCAGAGTGTTTGAGGGTTGTCTCTATATCCTGTAAGCATTAAAGAAATAGTTGAACAAATATAATCCTACAATATTTTGTTTACCTTTTATAGGTTTTGAAAATCTAACAGTAACAGTCAGCATGTCCTGAAATACCCCATAATAATGTTATTATATCTAGAAGTGACTCTTACACCATATAAAAAAAATATAAATACAATAATAATAAAAATGCCAGCACTCTTATGCCATATTTTCTGAGGCCTTAACTTGTAAACACTCCAACTAAGTTTAATAATGTTATATTTCCATACATGGGAATTATTGCATTAATAGATTTATGGCTACACACAGGTAGAGACCAAGACATCTTGAAGACACCGAATGTTTTCTTGTCATTAAGTTAAATTATATTTCATACTGATAAAAAAACTCTGCTGAATGAATATGGAATTAATTCAATATTATTTGTAAATCACCAACCAATATGATACATAAGTGAACTATCAACCTACACTTTGACAGAAGCCGAAACCTCAACACATTGAAAGTACTAAGTCTCACAAAATGACAATTAAATATGTACAGTCATCTGCACTTATACCTGGTACAGTGGCTGGTGCATTCTGTGAGATGTGGCAACTCTGGAATGCGTATCTTGCATTCTGGGAGTTTTGACATGATGTAAACAAAAATGGAGTTGCCACATCTCACACAACATACCGGCCACTGTACTAGGTACAGTATAAGTGAAGGCGACTGTATGTGACAGTTAAGCATTAATTTGTATTTATTAGAAGCATGAAAATACAAGAACAAAGAGTAAACTCACTTGGCAAGGACAGTAGGCAGGAGGAAGATTGACTGAATATTGGCGACGACTAAACCGTTCATCTCATCCAATTGTTTGTAGATCCGTTTTACATTATCAAACTGACGTCTAAAAAGTTAAGGACACATTATAATCAATGAAGCCAAGAGCTTTTACTAATACCGCATTGCAGTCACGAACGGAAGTCCTCTCATCTCTCCTGCTGATCCACGACCCGAGATTCAGACTCGTGAGCCCGAAGCAGTAGACACCAATGTACGTACTGTACTCTATTATTATGTCCGTAAATGGTTCAGATTCACAAGTCTGAATCTCGGAGTTTGTGGAGCATCAGAAGAGGCAACAGGATTTTTGCTTATGACTGTACATGTATTGTACTTGTACCTGTATGCACTGCTTCTGAAGACATATTTTGTGTTTGAATATAACCATACAAAAAATCAACAATTAAGTAATACAGCAAGCCCTTCAAACTTGCTTACCGGGGACATTTTTCATTTTTACTTGTGTACAAAGAAATGTATACAGGGGGTATTCCCTTTCCCTTTGTGTTTGCCCTTAGGACAAATATTTATTTTACTTGTATTGTACATAGGTGTGTGTGTGTGTGTGTGTGTGTGTGTGTGTAGACAGTACACACAAAAACACATACAAAAATATAATAATGGGAAAATACTGTCACAAATAATCAGAAACAAATGTATATTAATAATGTTGAGTCTACCCTCAAGTCTTCTCCGTGCTTTATTAATAACAAAGCACGGAGTGGACTTGAGGGTAGACTCAACATTATTAATATACTGTACATTTGTTTCTGATTATTTGTGACAGTATTTTCCCATTATTATATTTTTGTATGTGTTTTGTGTGTACTGTCTGCACACACAAACACACACACATATATACAATACAGGTAAAGGAAATTACTGTCTCTAGAATGAACGTCTCCCTGTCCCAGTCGTGAAAATGCTGGCAATTTTAAAACTACCTGCAGACATTCTTGGGTACATCAAGGGTGTCATCTGTGAATAATTGATGACAGCGAAATAAAAATCCGCGAATTATCCAAGCGCACTGTACTGCAATCCTATTATATTAAGATATTGATAAATACGTACAATAAACTCTTCATAAACTGCATCAATTGGTTTCTCGGTGTGTTGGCTAAGTTATTATCCAGTTATAATTATATTTTAATGAAGAACATTACAATAAACATGTCTACACATTTCAAATCAAAGAAACTTTCAAACTACAGCATAGTACAGTACAGTACAGTTGTTCTGCTTTCAAATGTTATACTTTATACATTTATTACACACCAGCATCCCTTGCTATCTAAATGGAATAAGTTCCTTGAAAACCATTTGGATATCATATTTTGGGATTGGGAATAACATAATACAGGGAAAGGAAAAAATAGGGTTCGGTTTCCCAATGACAAGAAAGTCCTCAATTTTATACCTAAAAAACAATTCCATTCATGAAAAAAAAATTTTTAGCACCTAACAAAATGCTAAACTAAATACAACACAATACTGTACTGTATACAACTGGTACATTACCATATATGAGGGCAGTGAGAGCTCACAACAGGGGAAGGAGAGGTGCCTTAAGTAAGAGCCTTACCAATTTTTTATATAAGCGAATACTGTATAGCTTTTGGATAGAGGTGTATGAACAGAACTTTCAGATCAGCAAATATTTGTACAGTATGGTGAGCAGTTATATAGTTAGGGATACCTGTACTGTAATATGTAAAACTAATCATTAACCTCTGTACTATAACTATCCTCAGTACCCTTATATGACACACCTTCTCCCTCCACCCATATAGAAGGTGAGCTCTTGATATAAAAAGTTCCTTGACACCACACAATCTCTTACCACATACAGTACAGTATTAACAAATTGCACCGTAACATACTGTAGTTAATAATATACTGCTCTTTCACACACATATACCTGTACCCCCTTCATTATACAGTATTCCATTTTGTCTCCAGCTTTTCTCTGCATTGACAACCATTTAACTCCAGTATTTCCTAAACCTCCCTTCCACTATTGCCTGCATCTTCTTTTCACACGAGTCAATTTTCCACTTCAAAAAATAAATAACTGTCCAAAAATAATATATTAAAGCTCAATTACATATTTATTTGTATGAGAAAAGATTACATGATTTCTAGATACATTACAGTATTCTACTTGTATAGTACAATAGTTCTATTCTTATCCTCTCCTCACACTGTTAGTTACAACAAGAGAATTACTGCACCTTTATTTTATACTTTCTTCCTGGCTCTGATAACTGTACTGTACCTGCACGACCGTAGCAACACACCAGTCTTCTCGGAGACATCATCGAGATCTTTCCGTGTTCTGCCAGAGAGTTTCTTGCCAATAATTTCACGAATAACTATGTCATCAAACTCATAATATCTGTAATAAATGAAAATGAATGTTAGTAATATTACCTTAGTACTGTACAACATATGTAATTTTCCTCAAATTATCAAGCATCTTATCACCTGCTTGTAGAAGATACAGTAATGAAGGCAAAAGCGTTCTACAGAAAAATGTTCTAAGTTTGAACAAACTAGAAGAAATTACTTTTATAATAATGTACGGTACAGTATTGTACTTCTCAAAATATAATTTTTTTTTTTAGAAAGACGCCTTTTACAGAAATGTTAAACTATACAACGTATAAAAATCTTAAACATTTAACTTTGATCTGAAATCCAAACAAAATATGAAGGTAGGTAACGTGCCATTAACTATGACATGTAACCTCAGTAGTCAAACAAACAAACTGATACATCATCACCACTTCCATGTGTCTTGGTTACCAATTTGAAGTACAGTAAACTTACCAAAAACTTCTCAAACGCTATAAGCACTATGCAATCTGAAAAATGAGCAAAGAATCTGAAACCATTCCGAGATGCCAAGCCACATTCTGCTCATTCTCACATCCATAGTGGCCAGGTGCTCGAGAAGTTTTTGTTGAGAGTACAGTAAGCCCTATAGGTGGATAACCGTCCAATCACCAACCCACTTTAACAAAGTGGGAACTGGGCCTTATTTGTATGACTCCTAAGTGCCCTCTTTGTTGGCAAGGTCACAACTCCTTCAGGTAATCAAGGATTACCATCAAGGTAAAAAAGTTCAATACATGTACAGTCCTGTACAGCATACAGTCTATGCTGTGCTGATTAACCGATTTTAATTAATCAATGAGCTACCTATACAGACCCCGTACCTGTAGCACAAAAAGAAATATCAAAATCCACCAACTTTGGTATAAAGTCTCCCATTAACCACAGCAAGCAAAATGATCACTAAACTTCTTACTTTTCAATGACCATCTTCTGAATGGCAGGTTCCAGTTGAAATGTCCATTCCTCTGCCAGCTTGGTGGGTGTCAATAGGAGCTTCTCCAGCATACCAAAGGTGCGGTAGTGGTCAGCTGTGTCGGAGGCGAGAAGCTCTAGGGTGGCACCCCAGGTCTCTAACTCTCCCCGTTGTTGCAAAACCGATACAGTTTCTCCCACTGTGGTCAAACAAATAATAAAATTACATCTATAAAGTGGCAAAACTAAAAAAATAATTAATTATATTAAAATAAAATGTAATTTCTGTGAATACCACTAAACATTTTTTCCAAAGATGTTTTACAAGAGGTGACAACTTTTTATTTTAATTTTTTTTTCTCTATGATCAAAAATCACCTGTAGTGGGCAGGGCATGATGGATGAGGTAAATTGCAGGATAAAACATGGTGAAAAAATGATCACACAACAATTAAAATTGTCTCTACAAGAATTTTACATGAAGAAATCAATTATTAAATACTCTTCCAAAAACTCTGCCGTCTGTTTGTTTACAACCGACTCGCTTGGTCTGAACGTTCTCTCGCGTCACAAAAAACGTAAAATTACACCTTGATGTTTCAACAAGCTTTCTTTCATTGGCACCAGATGTCAAAATAAGTACTTTCTGTTTAATATGGCAGGGGTCTGGGGGCTTATCCTAGAAGTTAGGTTAGGTTCTATTTGGCTCTATGCATTGTTGTATCGTTTTTATTACTTAGTATCATCCAAAGGACATTTATAGAAAAAAATTAAAAAAATTTGAACTTCTGGTGTTAGCCAGTTTTATCCTAATTTCCGTGGATGTACTGAACTTCACCTTTTTTAATGGATTATTTTAGTTTTGGACATCCAGGGAATCTTATGAATTTAACCACTGGAATCTGTAGCTTAGAAAATGTTAAGACCTGGAGCCCCCAGTTAGGAGGTTAAGTCTGGCCATTTGAGAGAGAAACGTCATAAAAGAAATGTAACTTAGAATTGTCTAAACTATTGAGTGCAAGGATAAAACTTCTAAGATTCCCGTGCTGTCCGAAAGTAAGGCTTTACTTCTTCACTTGAACTTTATTAAACCAGCTACCGGCAAGTTGGTGGTGCAGCGGTAACACTTCAATATATCAAGGGTTCGAGCCTCGGCCAAGACACACGTGAGAAGGGTAACTCTCACTACCAAACACCACAGGTTTCCCAGTCCCCGGTTTCCTCCTGTACTAACACTGGATAAACCTTCCAAACGGCTAGTAAGTTGATAAATGGTGAGTATGATATTAAAAACACAAAATTTTGAGGACGAATAGCAGTGCATAACAATTATTTCCGTAAAAGTTGTAGGCCTATATTAAAGACAACTAACTCTCTTACTATTAATAACACCCACCTGAGTAACCCTGAACCCATAGCTCATACACATCCTGGTCAATGAGAGTGTAATTCCCCACAAATATATCCACCTCTGGGAGCATTCTGGCCGTGTTGAGGCTGTGTTGAGGTCGTGTTGAGGCTGTGGTGGGGCCGTGTTGAGGCTGTGTTGAGGCCGTGTTGAGGCTGCAGACGACAGTAACCGACGTCGTCTCAACCTCAAGATTGTCGTACTTGTTTATGTCGTACTAATGTTTGTGGACTATGCTAAGTTATTTAGAGAAACTAATGGACTGTGAAGAGCTACAGGATGATCTATGTGAGCTTTAAGAGTGGTCGAAGACATGGCTGTAAAGATTCAATATTAGGATGTGAAAGAGAATGCACAAGGTCATTGTTACTATCAAGGTATAAAATGTTTTGTTATATTATTACTGCGAGTCAACAACGAAGGTCTTTAAATGCGCAACTATAATATTAACGAATAATTACCTAATTTAGATCATAGAAGTAAAGCATTCAACCACACACACACAGAAGAGAAATATTTAAGGTGCTACATACTCTTGATAAACACCGAAGTTTGTACTGCAAAAACAGTTTATAGTGATAGAAACAAGAGAGCAATATCCTTATAGCAAAAAACAGACCAACAGCCCAACAGTCAGCATGAAAGTGGTGGAATGATAGTCAACAAAAATAAAATCGATATTAATTCAATACTTTCCAGGGCGTGAAAATTCCCATTGAATGAGTTTATGGATTTTTTCGCCCAAGACAATGAAATAAGACTGTTAGTTATCGAATAATTGCCTTGTTTTCTTATAAATATTTTAAGGACTTGCAATTTTACAACAAAAAATTTGAAGTTAACTTTCCATGAGGGGAAACACTTCTTTATTACACGTATTTGTATGTTATCGTACCTCTGACAACCAAATTCTGTCAGCTGAGAGGGAAAACAATTGCTGAGGTGCCGCTTCTTCTACATCATCACAATTTAAATTCGTGCAAATTTGTCCGGTTTTAATTACACATAATATATATTTACATATATAATAAACTAATGGATTATTTTTAAAGCAAGATTTTATGGTTAAGTTTGATGTGTTGAGGAAACTTGGCACATATGCACCGTGTAACCAATAAGCAGCCTTCCCTCTCGACCAATCACATTCGAGGAGTGTACCGTGTAGCCAATAAGCAGCCTTCCCTCTCGACCAATCACATTCGAGTACACCACGCGAGGCAAATATGGAGGCCGTGAAGCAAGAGACCTGCAACAACTCTATTACTTTAAAAGGCTCTGCACAACTTGTCTCAGAGTTTTTTTGTAAGTAGTTCTATTATAAAACCTTCTAGGTGTATGTATTCTCGTTATTATATGATTGTATTCTTCTGGTATATCTTGTATTAAATCCTTGTGAACTTTAGGTAAGCTGTGTCTTGAACTGGAGTTGGTATATTCAGGAACCAGTTCATGTCCAGTTGGTAGGTTAGGTTAGGTTAGGTTAGGTCAGGTCAGGTCAGGTCAGGTTAGGTTAGGTTAGGTTAGGTTAGGTTAGGTTAGGTTCTATTAGCGTTTTGTAAATGTCGCCTCTTTTATAATGATAAGTTTCCATGCACAACATAAATATGGTTAGGTTATGTTTACAGCTACACAGCGATCGACTCACTGCGAAATATACGCCAGAGTCACAGTCAAATATAGTTCTCGTGTTCGCCGGTAATGAATGAGTGGCCAATCAGAGCGCACTCACGGTAATATAACGTAAGTAGGAACTTACCAGTCACGGCAAAATATCCACTCCATCCCCCGGCTAGGCAGTTAGGTAGGTTTGTTAGGTTAGGTTGAGTGAGGTCTTCTAACAATGCTTTTGCTGCTTTTTTTTTTTTTTTCTTATCAGCTAAGGTATGGTTAGGTTAGGTTTAATTTTTGACATAACCTCTTTTTTTAACACATTTACACAAACTACCTGAATAATAGGTCGCGGGTCAGTCGCCAGTAATTACCTTGCATTCTTCTTAGAGCTTAGATGTTTTAGCTCAGGTTTATTTAGTTCATGTTTTACTGTACTGTACCGTATATTGTAAAGAAAACTCTATACTAGTCTTGTAAACTCCTGCACAGCCTACCAGTGGTCATCAAGAGAGGAACTGCCATCTTTCCTGTGGGGATTTTTAGTATAATTTTTGTTAGTTTCATTTAATTTTTTCTTCACAGTATTATTAAAAAATCCCATAAAATATCAAAAATTATAGTGGAGACTCTTGACCATTGTTTATTGTGATTAGATGTGATACAGTTAGCAGTCAGGTGAGAATACATGTGGTACCTGGTGTAATTAGTAGAGTCGTGTAAAGAATGTGACTGATTGGTATGGTGAATGGCATATATTTCTTGACCTTTCCATGTTAGGCAAATTGTTTTACGATGATGGATAGTTTTTTTAATTTAGCATAAGAATTGTTGAGTATCTGTATAAATGTAATGTTTTCCTACTCCCTAGACTATGGCATCAACAGCATCCTGTACCAGCGAGGAATCTATCCCCCTGAGTCATTCACTCTCAAACAGCAGTATGGACTGACACTCTACACTACCACAGACAAGGGGGTGAAAGACTATCTCAATAATGTCTTGGCACAGATTAAAGGTGAGACCACAGTTTACTGATGACTTTTAAATGAGTCTTATCATAGTACAGTACTGTATAGTGTGCATTCATGGTCAGATACAGTACAACTTGGCCACTCTTTGGTGCTCTCAACCTCACCTCTGGGATACAAAGCCTGCCGCTAATTAGCTCTCACGTGAATACCTTTATATAACTTTCTGTAATGTTTTGTGGGTCCCTATGTTATTTTGGGGTGATCTCATGACCCCCCCACATACCCCTTTGTTTTTCAACCTTTCATGATGTGTTTTCATTATGTAATTTTGGAAAAAGGTACAAGAATGACTTAATTTGTTTATATAGACACTTATTAAAACTGTCAGAAGGTAGTAATTTTATCCCTGTGGTCATTTTTAGCGGGTAATGTTGAAAAGGATGAAATAATGTATACCCCCCTGATCACGTGAAGATTAACCCCCCAGCGTATTTCACCTTAAGATTTAAAGCCTTAGTGTTACCTGGGCGTTAAGTTTGATGAGATTAAGTTAGCATTAGTTGATTAGTCTAAAGGTGAAATAATCTGGGGGAAAGGGGGAGGTAAACTTCATCTGATTTGAAAAGAAATATTTTGGAAGACATAACTCATATTTTCATAACTACCAGACTGGCTAGAGGCTGGGAACGTGCAGAGGCTGGTGCTGGTGGTGACAAACGTTGACACAAAGGAGGTCTTGGAGCGTTGGGACTTTGATATTCAACATGATCCAAGCTATGGTCCACAGTCTATCAAGGAGTAAGAATGACAATACCATACCAGTGTTTGTGGTTACAGAAGATAACAGTGAAGACAGATTTTAGTTGATGAAATAGACCTTTTAAACTTGATATTATTCATTACCAGGGATTAATTGACCAAAATTGCATGCTTATTCATAGTTTTAATTAATTGTATCACACTTTATAGGGGGAAGGTGACTGGCAAAGACCTGAAGGTAATACAGAAAGAGATGCGAGATGTGATTCGTCAGATCACTGCTTGTGTCACCTTCTTGCCTCTACTTGACTGTGTCTGTAAGTATCAGCTTTATCTTGTAAATGTTTGAGCTGTTTTATTTTGTTAACTTAACAGGTATATGACTAGCCCAGTTGAAGAGAGACAAATGGCCAGAGGTGCATTTCCTAACTGGAGTAAAGGACTAGGATGGTATTGCCTTTAGGATATGGCACCACATTTTTTAACACTACTGTAGTCATGTATTCAAAAGATTAGATTGGGACATATTGGGACTATAGTCTTTTCACTCTAAGCCTATAATTGAGGCTTAGGGTCAGTTTGTAGCAAAGCAACTGATTGGCTGGAGAACAGACACCGAAAGAGCCACTGCGGTTCTTCAGTATTTAATCTATCATATTTATGTTATATTTTAATAGATAATAACTTCTGTGTTGATCTCTGATAATTTCCCCACTTGGAGGAAGCAAAAATTAGCTTGTGAAATGCACTGGAAACCATAAAGAACATGAACAAATAACTCCTCACCATGTGACATAATGCACTGCAGGTATTGCTGAATTATTATTATTTTCTTGAATATTGCAGGACAAATATAGCTTCTTTTTGTTGATTGAATTATAATTTTAAAGTTCTGTAATACATCATTTACACTCTGATCATCAAAAAAATGTTCCTGGAAGTATATATGTTGATCTGTGCAAAAGCTCAAGTGTCACCAAAAATATGCTTCTTTTGTCAGACTGGTTACCAATATAAAATGGTAGTTGAAAGAGGTAGTTGATTTGTTATTTGAGTCCCCAGGTTTTCCCTGAAGACTGTACAGTATTGGGCAAGATTAAGTCTTTGTCTGTAACCAACAATTAAATATTGGAAGAACACTCATATACATACTTAATAAAGTATTTTCTTCTACTTGCAGGTGCATTTGACTTATTAGTGTACACACACAAGAACGCTGAGGTACCAGAAAAGTGGTCTGAGTCCGCTCCGTGCTTCATCTCCAATTCTCAAGAAGTTCGTCTTAAGTCTTTCTCCACATCCATACACAAGGTGGAAGCCTGTGTGAGTTACAAAATTGATCAATGAGAATTTGTGGTTTCCTGAGAAATTATTAAAGTGTTCAGTTGCCGGTTACTTTCCTCAACTTTACGTGAAAAGAATTCTGAGGTGAATGTATCCTGTGGTATTTTGTATACAAATAATTCAGTGCCTTTTTGTTTGTTTGAGGACAGCATTGTGTTTGGCCTGCTGATCTACTTAAAGGACTATATTTGTGTAACAATCCCCTACAGTCCCTGATAATTACCTGCTTATGAACCAAGATCCTATATTTTTCACATTTCATTCACTTAAAAGTCCATATTCATGCTGGACCTAACAGTAGTACTTTTACTCACTGATAGAGCTTTAAACATGAGGTTTTCCTCGTCTTCCCTTCTTGTACAAGTTACTGTCTTTTATGCAAAACCTAAGTTAGTAAAAATATTGAAATTCTGAAAAGGTGTCTCGGGAGAATTAACTCATCAGTTCTTGCAGTTGAATCGCATTTGTGTGCTTGAAAATACAAACTGGTGTTGGCCAGTTTATTGTGTGGGTCGGCCTCATCTATGTGATTGGTACATTTTGGGGGAAGAAGAGAAACTTATAATTATCTGTCTACAATATTCTATCTTAACTAAGTGGGAGGTAACAGGTATTAATGCATTTTAGGCTAATAAGTATGTATTCATGCCAGTATGTTTTATTTTTATTTTAAGAAACCAATTTATCACAGATTTACTTATTTATTTTTTGTTTTTATGAAGCATAGATTCATAGATTATTCACATATGATGAGGTTGATTGAAGCAGTGTGTGTGTCCCCAGATATCTCCTTGGGCAAGCAGGAAGTAAACCTGTGTGTGGTGCTGTGGTAATTTTAAGTCATAATGTTTGAGGGAGGGTGTTATTAAATCCTTCAATATTTTTTATTTAATGAAAACATAGACCAGCCATTTCTACAGCTGCTCAATTTGGGCCAGTACTTATGAGAAACTGGACATGCACTGGGCAGACTCATAAGTAATTTTAATGATAAATCCATGGGAAACAGTCATTGGTTATAGATGAGAATTTTAGGTGGTGGTAATCACTAGTGGGTGGTCATTAGGTAGCTGGTAGTCACTGGTTGTTTGAATACAGTACTGTAGATGGGAATGTTTGGGTGATGGTAACATGTTGTGTCAATGATTTAAATTTTACTGTGTATTCCTTATGATTTAATGAACTACAGTATTCTTTAAAGTTCATTCAACGAGAAAAAAGGACTGATAATTACCCAGTGCTTAGATATTTCCTGAAGTAAAACAGTATTATTTTAGCAATATTTTTATTACTACTGTACTTATTCTTCTATGTTAACAAGGGTTTAAAAGTGTATACTACCATAATTTGACAGCATTTGTTGATACCGTAATTATCATGCTGTCACTGTAGACATTCATCTGTTTTGGTAAAATGGTGCTGTACACTATTTAAAGATGATTTGCTTGGTGATAGATACTGTACCATAATTATTTAAGGCAGAACACTGGGGCACATACTGAAACCTCAGATTTTACTTTGTGGGTTATGAAGCCCTGGAGAAAAGAAAGCTCTCTTAAATTCTTTTATGTAAAGTTATCATCAGCTTGTTACTTTTATTTTTTTTATTATTATTAGCCTAATGTGCAGCTGTATGATTCATGTCTGAGCAGAGGGAAACTTTCTGTCTTTGCTGGTGTTTGTGTGTACAGGTATCCCTATTTTACTCAATGTATGTATGGAGGCAGTGGACTGTAACTGCTTTGCCAACCACACCCCTCCTCCCAATGTGACATCATGGCAGCCACATGTCTCTTGAGTCAGCTGGCTGGGTCACTGCCTGGCTGAGTTATGTCACAGCACCCAGAGGATGGTTTGAGTGTGGAAGGAGTTATTGTATGTACATAAAATATGTGCTATTGTATTGTATGATATGCTAAGCTTCAATTTTATTATCAGAACATTTTTATTAATTTGCTTATTTATTTATTTTTCATTTTTAACGTATGCAATTTGAAATGTGTTCGAATTGGGCTCATCTTGCACTCACGAAATCATTAAAGTCTGAACCACATTGTTTATATAGAATTTTTGGTGTTAATAAATCACACATTTAGCTTCAAACCGTTATAACAGTCTCATTATTATTATTATTATTAGAGAGTACTGTATTCAGTGTTTACTGCCCTGTTGTTTGACCTCTGTGCATTGCTGTTATTCCACCTCCAGTAATAATTTCGTTTAATGTTAAATTTTCATGAACGCAACCCCATCGTTAAATGAGGGATGCTGGTGTAAAAAAAATCATCTGTACAATTCCAACACTACTGCTAATCCACCCACTCAGGTTGGTAGAAGCATACTGACCCCTGGTATGAAAATACAATTTCTAGCTTTGTATTTTTGCATTTCATTCATCATTTAATAGCAAATTTTGCCACTTATTTTCAATTTTTTTGTCCCAAACCTTTCACCAATCCTACATCTAGGTCCCCCTCCCTCCCCCCTTCATCTACTGGCTCTTAACAATACCGCCTCATGACCCATTCTCGGATGTATGGCCTGAAACAAATAGGTTCAGGTCTTTACACGCACTGATAATAAGTGATGACTTCTTGGAATTTAGGTGTGGCATTACCTGGCCTGTGACCTTATTTCTCACAGTAGATAATGCTGTGCTCTTTTTCCTCTTCATATAATACCATGAGTAATAACTTTCTTTACCTCTTGGTCTCATAAGCTGTCTTCTTTGCATGAAAGCGAGAGAGAATCTTAGGACCTGATGATTTTTTCTTTCCACTCATTCCTCCACCCTGACACCAATCTTTCTTGTGGTGCTGCCCATTTCTTATGCTTTGTGGGTTATTTTTTTGTCCACGGAGCATTTCTAAAATGCACAGTTTTTAAACTCCATAATTGTTTCAGTAAATGTTGAATCTTGACAGTAGAACCTGCATTCATTCATTTTTGCAATCTCTTTCCCATTATTGCACATAGATTAGAATAAAAAACAGCAAAATATTGATCATCTCCTTATTTTGTTCTTCGCTTGCAGTTTTGTCAGATTTATTGTGTTATGGTAATATTTAATTTCCCTATAAATTCTTATTCTACTCAGGACACCTATGCACCACCTTCGTACACAGACCTAACCTGTTTACACATAATGGGTAATGAACATATTTAAGACAAATGGTTTCACTCTTGTAAGTCATTTTCCTGAGACATATGTGTTTCCCTTGCACACACAGGTATTGGTTACAGTATCTTTTCATACCTGATGTGGTTATTTTATCACTATTATTCTTCAGGCCCATGATTCTCATATCTGTACATTGGTTGTCATTGTATTGCTTGTATTTAAATGCCCTTCATCTTTACAGTACTTTCTTGTTTGCTTTAGCAATATGTGTACATTTCAACACATACCTTAGCATCTGTTCTGTTATCGATATTCAATACTTTTCACGTACTCTGTTATGCTCCTGTAGTTTACATACATTTCAACACTGATATTGTAATACTCTTCAAATTTCCTACTTGGTAGAGAGATTCACTTTAAAGTTCTATAATATTAAGGGACCATGTGAACTGTGGTAAGCCTAGACCAAACGAAAAGTGGCATTTTCCAGTATGTCTATGTTACTTTGCCTTTTCACAACTGAAAATTTATATTAGTATTTCCAGTAGTGTCTCAGTTCTATGGAATTTCCTCTGTTATGTATTTTTCAGTTTGTGTTCATGTCAAATATTTTGACATTTACTTCAAGTACTATATACGTAGTGTATTTATATTTTATACTTTTTAAATACAAAAAAATTTTGAGTGAAGTTTTTATGTCCCATTAATATATATATATATATTTTTTTTCTTGAAATAATTTTTGCCACTTACTAGCTGTTCTGCCTGTTGGTCTATTCAGTGTTAGTACAGGACAAAACCGGAGACCAAGAAACCTGTGGTGTTTGGTCACACTGGATAACACCCTTCTCACGTGTGTCCGGGCGAGGCTCAAACTCTTGACTTATTGGTCCACAGGAACTTGTTCTCGGCCAAAACTGTAAATTTAGGTTTACCTGAGAAAGATGCCTCGATACTACATTTGTACTCAACATGGTTCTGGTGCTGAAGTGTCACCCTCAAATGGCATCCTTGAGTTTGATATACATTAATAAAGATGAATCATTTAAAAGCTTACTTTTCTCATAGCAGCCAGTGCAGTTGGTTGCAATGGCTCACATTTTGTGCAATGCAGAGGGTATGCAGTAATTCACGCAGAGTGATATGAAACAACTGTATGCATTGGAAAATTATAAATAAAACAAAGAAACTGATCATATAATTTATGGAATGTGATGTTACAGATGATGTTTTACCCCCATAAATGAGAAATTGAAAATTTAACCATTTTAGTTATGAGAAGAAAAATATATACAGTACCCAGTAAATTATTTAAGAAGCATTCACTTTGGTCTCGATTATCATCATCTTGTCTTATGGGTAAGTACAGTACTGTGCTGTGCTTCCAGTGACACATGTATACGTATATATGTACACACTGTCTCACTCAAATGATTATATATGAAAATAAGCAAACTACAATGTTGTGCTACACAGACCACCATCAGCAGGTTTTTTTTTTTTTGAGGAGGGATTCCATCTATCTCATAGTAAGCAAAACAAAAAGTACTCTATGTCATACAGTAACCACAGCAATACTAAAAATCCTGATTTATACTAATTAAAATATAAGTTAAGTTCTTTAGTAACAAATCGTTAATAAGGCGTTTCACTTCCCGGGGTGGCAAGGTAAGAGCTGTTAGCTTTGTCCTCCATGGGTACACCTGAGCGACAAGTTCAAAAGTCTAATATAGAGCCCATTATTGCAACCCTGTACAGACCCCAGAAACACCTGTCATACCTCGTGGACTGAGAATACAGCAGTCACCTGTCAGTACTTTCCATGACCCAAATACGAAAGATAAAAATAAAAAGCTTGCCTAATGAACTTGCAAATCCCTCAAAACCTCTTGTATTACAATAATGTATTGTGGAATACTTCAAGGTACTTCATTGTTAGTTAATTTACAGATAACTATAATGGATTTATGATAAAGTAAAAATTTTGTGCAAAATACAATAATAAAAACATAAGACAAATAATAATGATATAATGCACTGTATATATTTAAAACACAAAACAATGCACATAAACAAGACATACGAACTATACACACAATATTGGATTACTCTGCAAAATACACTAAACCTGTACTACTAATGAACTTAATGGTTTCAGAGTTGACATAATACTGTTTTTGGAACCTATGAATAATGATTTATACTGTGCTTATAGGCCTATAAATTTAAGGTTCAAAGCTGACAGGTCACTGATTTTTAGGCCCACAGACACAACAAACATCTTCACAAAAACAGTGCGGTATATACAAAGGTTCCAAAAGTAGGATCACACAAACTCTTTAAAGTAAACGTTTTTAGAATACAAATGATGCAGTATTATGGAGTTCTGGTCCTAGTCAAGGCTGATCCCTTGTTATAACTAAGCATTTTCAAAGAACCTACAATCTACTGTGAAAGTTTGGTAGTCAAGTACGTCTCAGTAGACTGATGAAGCAGTAAATGGTAATCACTGACTAGCCTGCATATCCCTTGTTCATAATTACCTATCGTTACCACCTCCAACACCGTGTGACCCAAGTCTACGTAAACTCGATAAACAATAGTATTATAATGTCTAACCAGTAATAATTATTAATACAAATGTGAATTGTAAATATCTAAAACACAAGACAAATTATAGCTCATCACAGACAATAGTTGACTTTCATCAGTTTCAGAACTGTATGCTAAGATATGGATACACAAAAGAAAACTTACTACAAGTATAGTTAAAATTGGCAATTCATACCACAGAAATAGGATACATACAAAGAAATTACATATCAAGGAAAGTTTTGATAGACAGAGGAAAAAGCTCTCAGTATCTTCATGCAAGAAAACATTAGTACAAATGACTCTCCACTCCTCATAGGCACATTCACAAGCATATACAGTATTATTAAATAAATAATAGATTCTAAAATAATTTTCAACTAGTCTATTATAAATATTTCTGTTTTACTTAACGTAATATGATGAGATGCAGTGAAAGGAGGAAAAACAATTACTCTTGTACCCACACCAAACTTATTGATTAATTTGGCCACTTACGAATCCCCAAACTTTAACCATTTATTCACTGGACAACCACCAAAGTCCACACTGCTATACACTATACTGTATATATACGTATTAAAGTTTTTTTTAACCAAAACTATTTTACCATTACTGTACTAAGCATACCCATATTACTTTTGGCTATTATTCCACTAACAAATGGCTTACAACCCCATTAACAAGGACGGTGATTTTCTAGTACAGTTTTTGATGGTAATAATGGTTCTGTTGGGGGAAAACCAATATCCAAGTGATTAAGCTCTTTTAGTTATGTTTTTAAACCCTGTTGCTGTTTGTGCAATAATTACCTTAATTTGGACAACACTATTTTTCCCTCACTGCATTACTGTATATACTGTACTGTATGTATCTTTTACTACTATGTACACAAGTAGACCTGAAAGTACTCACATGGATGGAGTCTGGAATCATACCATCAAATAAACTGCTCTTACTACAGTCAGAATCTAATGTACTTTAAATATCTGGATCAAGCAGTGATCAGTCAGTCGCTAAGCCAATGATTCTCAACTTGTTTTAATCAGAGGCATTAGTCTGTGGGCAAGAAACTTACAGAATTCAACCCCCAACAAATGATAATACAAAATGGATGAATGTTTTAACAGAACAAACATAATGTACAGTACACATAATAACATCTTGTATGATTTAATATCTCATACAGTAGCATGTTTTATTGTAGATATAAACCAATTTATTTAAATCCCAAAGAAAAAGGTTTATGGACACAATTTGAGAGCCACAGTTCTAGTCAAGTTCTATATCATACAAGAGGCAGCAACATCTCTTGATCTTAACCCTCACACTGGCTGCTGACACAGGTTGCTTTACTAAGAGTCCACATTGCCCAGACCTCCCTCCTGCTGGTTCATATCAGGCACAACAAATGCTCACATTGTACACAGTCCAAAAATTTCTATAGAGAACTCATTGATCCTGCTGTTTTATAAAGTAAAAAAAATCCAATTCTGGATGACGAAGCCAGTGAGTGAGTGAGATTTGCATCATCAACGAGTGAGAGGGTAGGATTTGTCCAACTGTTGATAATATGAGAGGGTTAACCTGATTCCTTACTGCACGATCTAATGACTTAACTAGTACTACTGCTGTTATACATACTGTACTGTACATATGGCACCTAAACCATGCAGTATGGAAGGGCCTAATATCTCTTGATTCAATAGATGCAGCCAAATCATTGATAAATCCTCAAAAGTTTCAAAGAAGGTACAAGGTTCCATAACACCTGAAATTGCTTACAGGGTATACTGTAACAATACCATTTGCCAAATACAAGTAAAACTAGCAACTGTTCAGAACAGACCAGTAAAATATATTATGTATAATTTATCTTATACCACAGGAACACAGGGAAAGGTGTAACAGTGTAAAGCCTCACACAGTACAACAGAATGGGGATTGATGGCACAGTAATGTGTCCCAGATGGTGACAGTTACATCCTGCTGTCACAGTCATTGGTATTTTCACTTCTTTATACTAAGCTCTATAATGACCTTATGTAAAGAATTATTACATCAAATAATATAAATTACATATAAATAAATTACTATAACACAGATGATCATCCTCTCAGTCACCTGCACTGTCACAAACCTCTAAACACTCTGGAATATTAGTCAGTCATACTGTTCATGCCACCATAAGTTTATCAGAGCAACTGCATATAGGAACTAATAAAGTTATGCTACTACTAAATCTGAAGAGCCAACATACACTAGTACACACAAGTTGCCATTAATCAAAAATACAACAGAAGATTTAGTTCAGGCTTTGTATGTGAGGGGTAGGGTAGGGTAAGAGTACTAAGGACTGTCGTCACAACATCAGTTTCATTTCTAAAGTTTCAACAAGTACTCAATGAAGTTACTGAGCAATGTGAGGCCCTAAATTCTGACCGTCATGTGTGTTGTCAAGTTTATTGAACTTTATGCATGATACATTTGTAAATCCACGATAAACAAAATTTCTCCTTTCTCAAACCACAAGTTGATTATTTTTAGTTATAGCCATTGTCGAGTCTCACGTTCCAATTTTTTTTACATTAACTTAAAAAAAATACTGATTCTCATTTCCTTAAACAGTAATTTCATACACCTTTACTCCTCCTACTCATTATATCTGGCAGAAATATATCTTCTCGAGAGACATAGAACTCTTGTCTCATTTCAGTGCTTCCCTCCTTAACCTGTGAGCAATGAGTAAGTGCTTCCCTGGTGACACAATCCTTCAGGAAACATCATGAGCACAAGAGGGTAGAAGGTGGGTGCACACTGACTGAAGCAAGAATCAATGATGTACTATACAGTATGCTTCAATAAGAAACACCTGATATGATATGAATTGTTGTTATATAAATATTAAGAATGAGGCAGTGTTGTATTGAACATAAATAAGTGCGGAAGAGCTGTGATGTCTGAGTTTCCGTGGTTATGGACTTGAAGTTACAAATGGCAGTGGAAGGATTCTGCAGTAAGTGTAAGATAGAGTCAAACGTGACTGGGTGAATGGTCTTACAATACTCTGAGAACAGACAAAAACAGTTTGTATCAAGAACTTTTGAATCTGTACCAATAACTTAAATGTTGGTAGAGACTGATGTGGTGAATTTTGCTAAAACTTGATATGGTTAAGAGTTACAACAGGCACTGGATCCCAACATTTCATAGAGGATGTTCCTGTAATTTCTTCTGCTAAGTTACTAAAACTACGGTTATAACTGTGACCCTACGGTGATCAAAATGTCACTATAGCGATCAGGGAGGCACACTACTGATCCTTACTAACAGGTACAGTAACTTTGAGGGTTGTTAAAAGGAGTGTTGATGACTCATGCAGGGAGAGTGAAGCCATTTACAAACTTTATGAAGATGGGCACTATCTGACACGTACAACTAGGCGTGGTTACTTCATCTATACTCCGGTACATTCTTCACGTTTACATCACACGTACCTCTTACTTATCAATTTCAAGTGGAGTGGAAGTCTCCTAGTCAACCAGATGTGATCCTAACTAAGATACTGTAACACTTTGCTGTGAAAAATAAGTCTTACAATGAAGGGAATTATCAGGGACAGCACAATCATCTTCTCAATGTTCAATTTATTAATAACATTTCTGAATCACTTAAGAAATGTTTTATGTTCTCCCTGGCTGAAATGTTCAATGTAAGACAGTTTCTCCATGTGGCACAAGTCACTTACTCAAAATTCTGAATTCTTGACCAATATTTACAGTGATACCATAGCCATTCACTTATGCTATCTCAACTTTAAAACATTTCTTAACTTCACTTGTCTCTCTCTCTCTCTCTCTCTCTCTCTCTCTCATATCTCTAAACAAACAAGTACTTAAGGCTTTCCATTTTGTCTCTTTGATGATCCTACTTTGGCATTCAGTTCAAGGCAACACAGCTGTCATTCATTACCAAATTACAGTACTTATACTACATATGATACACACTCTCTAATGAAGAACTAGCTATGCCAAAAAATGTGCTTATCGTGTGACTAAGTTTCTTTGGCGACCTCTATAGTCAATACTGTAATATGAATGCATGACTCTTGGATAATTCAGTGGAAAAATTTTTACTACTAGTCTATGGAAAATGGAAAAAATTTCCAGAGATTTAACTATACGTATATATATATATATATTAATCTATCTACAAAATCTTCCCTTTTCTATCTTTATTCAAATGGTCTTGCCAATTCTCGCCCATAAAAATTCAAGTTTTCTTTTTAGCCAGAATTTTTTTTTTAATCAAAACAGACCACAGTTTTCTATATAGCCAAACAACTTAAGTACAATTTACTCTGCCACATATCTCAAAATGTTATCTCATGGCACCTAATCCTGTTTTTGTGTATCAATGTTTCACTAAAATACTTCTGGTCATTATTTGGCAGTCTCCTAACAGCCTTATCATTATTCTAAGTTGATATTCTTGTTTTTTTTATCCCATGTACAGTTGCTTGCACTTATACCTGGTACAGTGGCTGGTGCATTTTGTGAGATGTGGCAAATATGAGTTTGTTTACATCATATTAAAACAACTGGAATGGCCCTAAGGAACCTCGCAATAGTAGCCAGATAAACATTCCAGAGTTGCCACGTCTCATAAAATGCACCAGCCACTGTATCAGGTATAAATGCAGGCAACTGTACCATTAATGTGTAATTCCACTACTAACATGTCTTTGTCAGTAAGTTGTCTAACATTTCATCATCTTACACCAACCTTCCTTAACTTTACTTATGCTTGAAAATGTTCTTCATGTATTGAAAATGTGCAGCCCCCTATTATCTTCTGCTCTATCAATACATTTCTTATTTAAGCTCCCCCTTAACACAAAGCTCCCCTCTCACTGCATATTTTAGCTCCCACTTAACACAAGGCTCCCCTCTCACTGCATATTTTAGCTCCCACTTAACACAAGGCTCCCTCTCACTGCATATTTTAGCTCCCACTTAACACAAGGCTCCCCTCTCACTGCATATTTTAGCTCCCCCTTAACACAAGGCTCCCCTCTCACTACATATTCACTTACTAACTTCCATTTTGATGAACTGTCTCAAATACCTCTCCACTGTTGTTCTGATGACTCCTGACAAAACTTAAACTACCTACTGGGAAGACTACCCCACAGCAGACTGTACAGTGCCTGAAACAATTCCTCGTACACACAACCTTTTAAGGGACTAGTGAGGAAGACGAGGCGCCCCGGGCCAGAACAGGACGAACAACAAAGTGGCCTGAGATGGTCTTTATTAAATCATTATATTGGTATCAAAATGACTAAACTTTTAACTGCATTTTTTTTATTATGTTGATTATCTACTTCTCCCTCGGAGCGCCTCATATGATCTCTGGTGAAAAAGAGGTTCCTTTGCATGCTCATATGCACTCACAGTACTGTACTATATATCACCACTGTCACACCAGCCAAAACATTCATTTTCTTTACCAACATTAGTGTTTCCATTACACGTGGCTCACCTCCATCTTAGTACTGTACTGGTCACAAATTTCCTTCTTTCTCTTTTTTTTTTTATATGCAGCAGATTGATGATTAACAAAATTACAGGCATCAGAGCTGTCAACTACAAATCAAGCCAGAGTTGTCATCTCTGGCCTAACAGGAAGTTGACAGTTCTAATGTTTATACTTAAAAATAATACAATACTACAGTACCTCTTATCCTCCTTTAACTTTTGACTCGGTGAATGGCAAAAAAAAATTAAATAAACAGAGAACATTAAGTTTCAAGTATAACAAAATAGTAACTTTAAAGATTGGAATGATATAAATCACACGGTAGAACAGTACGGGGGAATGTGAGGAAGATGATGTAACACATTCACTAAAGACAAGTGACTGCTGATACAAAATGATAACAGTTCAATGATGATATGTAATATAAATTCTTCTTTGCATAATATTTAAAATTTTAATTCGGCAGTAACTCGATCGCTGGGGACACAATGAGGAATACAATGTAATGTTGATTCTACGGAGAACACTTATCATTTAACCTAACGCATCATACGTTAGACTCCATTAGGTTAAATTTATAAATCATTCCTCGCAGTGTTGCCAGCTAGAGCCTCTGCCTCATCACTAATGTTGTGTCTTCGTTTAAGTCTCTCCAGTCATAAATCTATAATGTACAGTCGGGGGTCAAAGGTTCACTACCTCCCTAACTGAAGCAGTATCGACCCCAAATGAGATAAAACAGTAAACCCGCACCAGAAGACAGCCGGGAAAAGTACCGTATGTTCGAAGACTCATTTCCATGACTCGGTTTCATCAGCGAACCTTTGTCCGCGACTGTACAGTACCGGTAACTTCAATATAAAGTTAACTTGGATTCTGTTGTGTTCTTCATTATCTAGTTTAATGATTGTTCAGTCACATTAGAAGTATTTCCTTTAATTTATAAAGTATTACAGAATTTACTGAGTAATTTGGTATAAAAATCAATTACCTGTACATACTGCAAAGTTGATTAGAGAACAATTCTTTCCACAAAAATACCCGCAGCTGATCATCTTCACGCCGACACTGTGTCAAGGATGAACCCAACCAGTGTAAAAAATTTCAAACTTCAGCTGTTTAAAACTTCACGGAAACATTTCTATACAAACTGATATTTTAAATGTTTCGTTGGATGAGAACTCCAGTGGAAGCCTCCCTGAAGAAAATATATAAAAAGCATAAAAAATAATCAGTGAAGAAGGGCAAGATGCAGAATACCAGAATACGTAGTGTGAAGACTTACGAGAATGCCTCAGTGGACGGAAATGCATGGAAAATCATAACACTTGGAGTTGTAATTTGTGTTTAGGGTTGTAGTAATACCTTGCACTCACTGACACACAAGGTAAAGTATTACAACAGAGAAGATATAACCAACCTTGCAACTTAACTTTGTAGGGCAATTTATGTGACGTCTGTGGGATGTACTGTAAGCGTGGGATATATATGCGTGTGTGTGTGTGGCATGTGTGTGTGGCGTGTGTGGCATGTGTGTGTGTGTGTGTGTGTGTGTGGCATGTGTGGCGTGTGTGTGTGTGTGTGGCGTGTGTGTGTGTGAGGCATGTGTGGCGTGTGAGTAAGAGTGTGAGAAATAAACGTGATCACATGCTTTACAGGGTTAGTGGAATGTGTACATGAACTGTGCGTGTGGTGTTGAGCGCAAAGTGATGAAGACAAAAGGGAACATTAACCTAATCCATAAAAGTTTTAACCCTGATACAGCACTACAGCTCCTGGTCTCCAACTGTGCGGCTGGAGTCAGATAATTTGCATTGTGATAGGACGTGTTCAGATTTTAAGAACATATTAGTCAAACAAATGGAATCTGCTAATGCCTTTCTATTTACCATAACTAGTGCATCCTTCTCGTCATTAAGACCTATATGTTCCAACTTGTGGAGATTAATAACACTATGTTACAATATGAACCACTCTCTCAACATCAACTCTACTCTCATATGTAAACAACACTCTTAATATTGGAATACTTGACCTAAAACCACATCTTGTTCACATTCTACTGTCTTGCTGACAATCTACAAAATTAGTTCTAAACCATAATACAATATGGCATCATCTTAGCTCTCAAGTCCATGAAAATCCATTTTTTTACTAAGCTTGTTTTTATTCCCCTGAAAATCAGTAGTTACTCTGATAGTAAACTCTGTTTCACTACAACTACAGTACTTTTGTTTTTATTCATTTCTTTTTTACATAAAATGTTCAGCATTATTAGAATTCTCTAAGAGTGGAAAAATTCACTCAATAACCCATCAATAATACTGTTTCCAAGCTACAGTATCCACCGGACTTTAACCACAAGCTTACAAAAAAAAGCTTCAATGAACTTGCATTTAAAAAAAACTAAACCTTTACCATGATATCTTATCAATTCTTTATCTTTAAATTTGATCACACCGGTTAATGTTAGAGACCTTGCTGATGCTAGTTATCAGGAACCTTCCCAGGGACTGAGTGTTCCGTCAGCAAACAGTAAAGGTGTGGTGGGCAGCGGCAGGTTTGAGGCACCTTCCCGGCAGCCTCCCCGCTGCTGAACCTCTGGACACACGCCCTGAGCCTAATGATATAAAACACAGTCAGTGTATATATGTGGACATTTGCAAATTTAAGATATGAGGAAGTGTGAGAAGGATTTCTACTTGATGTTTCAACCCTTTCCAGTCAGTTTCTATACTGTACTTGCCTTACACAATTCTTCTTTATGAATTCCTCTCTTTCCTGAAGTTTCTATAGCCACTGATTCACAAATTCAATATGCTTGCCCATTACAACTACTTCCTGAAAGGGATATTTAGAGGCAGGAGTCACTACTGATTGTATAAAGTCACAAGTTGCCCTTTATCTGGTTACCCATACTGGAATCACAAGCATCACACTGAACAATTGTCTCCCCATCTGCAGTGTCTCTCCTGCTACTGAAGCTAAGTACAGTACTTTCCTCTAATATTCTAGTGCTATAAGTATTAGTAGTAGAACCTGTCCTCAGCATTATAGTACAATACTGGGTTTATACCTTTGATGTTTATACTCTACTAACAATCCCATTTGATTTCAGCCATCATGTTGGTATGGGAGCCAACTGTACCCACATTGTATCAGGAAAAAAAAATTATTTGACAGTGAATAACTCAGTCTAGCCCCTAAGATGCCTTGGTGAGGCCTCAACTATAACTACAGTAAAGTGTGTATCAAGTGTTGGTTCTGGGTTCATTGGACCTCCCCCTCCAAGCTCAGGAACCAGGCTTCAGGACAGTCAATTCTTTGGCTTCACTATTCTCTACTTCATATAAAATCAATCTGAAGATCAAATAACTAATTCAGTGAAGGAAAATGTTATACAGGTACTTATCTCCCCAGTGACAGACAGACACAAAACATATCCCTAATACCAGTACTTGTCTCATAATTCTTCTCTCAATTACTCAGTTAAACATCTGATTTTGTTTTGCATGTGACAGTTTAATTATGTTATCCACAACATATCTACAACAACTTATTTTTAAAGAATATTTATACAACACAAATATACGTACCTTATTGCCACTAATGAATTCCCTTAATTTGCGAATGAGAATCCTGTTTGAATCACTGAATTTCTCGACGCTGGAAAAGACAAAGTCATATCTAGTATCTTAATAAGGTAACCATATGGAAATAAAGAAAATTATTCAAAAATGGATGTATTAATGAATAGCTTTATGTATATTTTAAAATCACATTATAAAGAAAACTAATTTATCCTTAATGTAACTGGAGATACATACCAATGAAGTGAATCCTATCTACATGGTGTGAACTTTGCGATTCCAATCAGCACATTTTCCTTCTATAACCTGCTTATAATTTACCAACACTAACTATAAAGGAAAACATTCTTAAACTACTAAGTAATCTCATTAATGATGAGACTTATAATAAAACCCAAGTATCTCTCTAAATCTCAACAACAAGGAAACTGATTTAGCCATTTCTTGAGTCTTTCTTTCCCTTTTTTATTCTCAACAGCTATTATCATAATCATCTTCATCATCCAAAGTAAATTATCTTGGTTTCTTCATCAACTTATTTAATATTTACCTAATATGTTCACCTTGTATCAGTACCAGTATATTCTTATTTAAATGCCTTTCTGAAGACTCTTTAAACACATCTTATTCACATATTCATTAATTCCGTTATCAATCTTCCTTATTTCTATTACGGTATAGTGTTTTAAGTTGTTAATATCTACTGCTCTTAATGGACTTATTTTTAGCCTAAAGTCTCCCCCTCCCCCTCTCTCACCCTCACTACTGACCTCTCCTGACTGAAGAGCTTGTGTGAGATGATCTTGTGGGACACCTGTTGATTGAGGGAAGCATCAAAGAGAGGAAGACCAAAGTGACATTCCAGCAGGTGCCACTGATCCATGGAAGGTCCGCCCAGTTGTAGGGTCATGTTCTCACGTACACTACTGAAACACACATGTACAATTGAGCTAAATGACTATGACTTCTTATATCATCATGTGAAAAATAAAACTTCCTCAAAGCAATTACAGTATATGGGGAAGTATTCACAACAATACAATCTCGCATAGTATCAATAAAATATGTGACTACCTGCTAGTTATGTTAGATTAGCTCGTGTTACTCTTGATATACGAGAATATTTATCAAGTTCTTAATATACAGAGGCAAGTTCTTTGTTAATTTGGTCCACCTGCAGAAACAAAGCTAATTTCTGAAGATAGGAAATTGACTATTGTGCTGTTCTGCTTCAAAACCATGTATTGGTTACTCTTTCCTGAGAAGACATACACAGTCTTCAATATAATGGTATTTTCTATAATACCATCACCTATAATGTACAGTATAGATAATGATGTTTACCCATCACTGGTGGAGAAACAACCATTTTTTCTGGGAGCACAGTATGTCTGGTAATCTCTAGTCCTGAGCTAAACAACACCATTACTGTCACAGTACTGTACATCTACTTTGGATAAACTCTAACAGTCTACACACCTTCGAGCATCTGAATTCTCCATCTTGTCTAGCACAATGCTGGAAACATCATCAAAGCTGACCACCTGAGGAATGGAAGCACCGCTTGAGTCTGCATCAATGCCATCAGAATTGCCAGTGCTATTACAGCTGGCAACACTGTCTGAGGTACCATCTGAAGCAACCTTACTGCATTCTGTGATACTGTTACTGATGGCTGAGGGGTTGGTGATGAATGATTTGTGGGGCGTGCTGGAGGACCCCTGTGGCATGCCGGTGGTGATCTCGGCCGCAGTGAGGGTCGTCACGCCAGGAGTGTCAGCAGAAGGGAAAGCCACCAGTTTGATGAAGCCAAAAGTATGTTGGAGGTCCAGCTGCTTTGCCAACATCTGGACAGCTGGGTGATTTACTATTTCTAGAAAAAATGCAAAAAGATAAGTACAATGCTCGAAGAGTGAAGCAAAGAACAAAATAAATATATTTAACCCTTAATATATGGGGTCCCATCTCTGGTGAATAAAATCGTCCCCATAGTGAAGGAGTCAAGACAAGCATATGTAATCAACATCAGATACTAGAGTCAGTTTATTCCTGCTGAACATCACACTCTACTGAAGACTTACTGTTTCCTGTTAATCCCTGTACTAAATGTTCTCGTGATCAGATCATTGTGGGATTCTTACTCATCATCATCATCACCATTCTACGGCCATTTCCCCGTGCTTGTATAGTCAAATATGCATTCGTAACTTATACTGTACAATTAAAATCTGGGGTTGGCACTAGTAATCCAGAGACACACACACACACACAAAATAAATGACTGGTGGAAAAGGAGAAAAACCTACAACACACACACACAATCTTCTAACAATAGCAATGAATCTTACAAAAAATAATGACAGTACCATAATGACTATGGCTTAAATATAATGATACAGAATAATGAGACTGTTAAAATAGGTTAAACATAATACTTACTAGAACTCTCCAAGGGAAATGGGATATGCTGGATACAGACATCATGGTACCAGCCATATGCCTGAAACATTTTATATTCAAGATCATTAGTTCTCAAGACATATGTTTACAAAATTTATGAACTAATATTGATATGCTCAGGTGAATGTTATTGTGGAAGTTGCATCAGAATATTAAGATTAGACTTTTGAAGGATATAATATGCATATAATGGTTAAAACAACCATCAATAAACTCATGAGCATTTTTTGGGGAGGTGTTTCCAAGTCCAACAAAAGATGATTAATTTACCACCCTAAAGAAATTTTTCCCGATTAAAAGTAAAATTAGAGAGACAAACGGACAGACAGAGAGATATCCACACACGGCGTCTCTGGTCACTCACCTGAATGAAGACGGGTGAGTGCATCAGCGCCTCGTTGACAGTAGTGAAGAGGGCCGCGAGAGGGACCACAGTTGGGTCGTGGCCCCAGGGAGTAACCAGCACCTTTTCGTATCCTACCAAACATTCAGGCAATCGACGTAATCGTTCGCCTAACCAAACAGACACCAATGAAAATACAAACACTTCACAATCCATTTGACAAAATAACATCAGGTAAGTCCTCGTGTAATGTCGGCCCGCTTAACGTTGTTTCGTATAACGTCGCGTTTTTAAGAACGTAACCCCGACGTTAAGCAAGGACTTACTGTAGTACATTAATTTAATGATCATATATAATAATGTGGGGCCATGTGGAAGGGAAGTACCAGAGCAGGACACATATTTTACATGAGTAAGAATAAATGAATGACACCAGATAAAGGTTTAAAATGTGTGTGAGTGTGTATGCTGTTGTTGCTGGCTCCATGGATTAAGAAGGAAACAAATTAATAAAGAATCTTATACAGTCAAGAGGGTGTACATGACACACCTAACCCCCTAAAATGAGACTTCCAATTAGTGGCCTCAGGATTTCCCATGAGTCCTATATACTGAACTTACCTGAGTGTCAAATGTATATATAATTACAAGAGCTACCAGTCCTTCAGTTTTGTTTTGTGTATTGACTAGACTTAAATCTAAGCTTCCATTACATATGTATAATTATGTAGATGATAGTAACTTACCCTGAGGAAGCAGTAATGATGGAGGGCCTGAGCTTGTAATATGATAGATGAAAAGCTTGAACCAGATAGAGTTGACCTCTGGGATGGCAGGTCCAAAATGGGGTGGTGTCTCCCCCTCTATTGCTGAGATTTCATAACTTAAAGGTGCCATGGAGACCAGAAATCTGTGCACACACAACAAGAATCATTAAAATAGCTTCAGTATTGTCACTATCACTGACAAGGTTATTAAATGCAGATGTAACATAACTATTCTGGAGTATCTTTTATAAAGGATTTCATTTTGTTCACCTCCCTCATTTTGTGTTCATGTGCTCCTAAATATCATTTTTTAACCTGTAAGTATTTGTTCAGACTACAATTCAGTATAAGAATATAAAAACACTTCAGCTGATGTTGTTTAATGACACTCACTGATAATTCTTTTTGAGAAGACGGGCCGTCGTCGCTGGGTCAAGATTACTCAAACTCTCCCAACGTATTAGATCCAGAGCATGAGGGACGTCCTGGCCAGGAGAACACAGATCACGGTTGTGACGAAGGAATGTGACAGAAGTTCGGAGTGTAAGAGCATGTTCAAAGTAACGCTGGGCCTCCCCTTCAGAGTCTGATCTGTGAAATAATAATGTCATGTTATTGTTGACAATACTTTATTGCCTGTATTACAATATAAAACTGAGATAAACTTAATTTCTTGGAAACAATTCAATCATCAATAACACATATATTATCTATTTAAATAACTTCTTAAGGCCATCAAACCATCTCCCCAGCCATTTTCTGTTGCAATCAGTCTAACCTACTCTTATTACATTAACAATAAAGAAAAATTACACAGAAGATGAACCATTACTTTGTAAACATTTGCCTGAGTAGTCCTCTTATGAATCTTTTAACAGGAGAAAATTTTACCCCTCTAAGTCCATTCAATATTTAGAGTACAGTACTGTGCTAAAAATGAGAACATTATCTAATTTAAAGAAATTAAATATAAATGTTCTCCACTGGTAAACGTTGGAGGTACCTTGTGGAGCCATAACCCATCCACATACCTTTGTATCTTGTCCAGTTCTGTGAGGAGCGAGTCCAACCCTTCATCCAGCATCTTCCCCACCTCAAACATGGTAACAGCATGACTCTTCAAACCCTAACATAAAAAGAAAGATAACATTGAGTTTCAAATCCGTATAATATCAATAGATTATTTTTTTTTACTATAACTGGTGATTTAAAAGACCTAATGAATGCAAAACCCATACCCTGATTCACTGAACTTATTAACACATGAGTGGACTACAGTACATCACAGGAGGTACAAGAGACCATCCACAGTGGAGATGAATTGTGTATGAAAGTGAAAGACTAAATGATGATTAAAGCCTCAACTGTGAATTAACTTTGAGTAAATGAAACATCAACTAAACACTCATACAATCCTGAAACTGTGATAAACATAAGTCATTTAGAGCGTGTGTATGAACCTAAAACTTATTGTCGTGCTAACTCTAAACTTACACATTAGTTCAGCAATTTATAATTAGTATGAGTTATTTTTAAGACCAAAGACACAATAGAAATTCCTTCTTTAAACCCATTCACAAACAGATTCTAGAAGCAGTATCACACACATTGTGAAACTCAAACATGACCCATATATTCTTTCAGTGTTATGCTTTAATAATAATAAAAAAAAACATTACAGTATTATCAATCCCATATACCTGTGACAAATTTCCCATCATAAGGAAGGCCGTGAGAGTAGAATCATACAAAAACGCTATCCTCTTGGTTTGGCCGCCGAAGGCAAAACCTGCAGCCAGGGGGTCGTCAGTCGGAGTTCTAGGAGTACATGCCCCCACGTCATCATTCTCCCCCAAGGAAGTCTCTGCCAGTGCTGACTCTAACTCCAACAGCAGTAAGTCATCTGCTGTTGTAGGCAACCTGTAAAAATCACATAAAATATCTTAAAAAGGTCACATGCATTATCTTCAGCCCTTCAAACAAGTTCAGATATTTATTACCAGTAGTCTGACAGTGTTATCTTGATGAAAGAAAGTGACAAGTTCAAGCACATTCATACATGCTAACACCACCACACAATCACTAAAAGAGACAAATATAATGTAAGAGATGTGCAGGTAGCCAACATCAAGAGCTACATAGGCTCTCCTTTCAGTCCACCTAACCAAACCTAATTCCTGGTGAAATAAATGGGGTGCTTAATCTTCAGGTGATCCAAGAGATGTTCTGCTATGCTACTACAGTATTCTCCCATCATAAGTCACCAGCAGCACAACCATTCCAATAACAACTTGCTCAACTCACTCCTTGTTGGCACATACCTTTTGCTTCACCGCTGTGTCCAACTCAACACATAAAAAATCCAGGAAAGTTTGACAATGCTTAAGTGTATCTGATGGTGATGGTAAAGTTAACTCATGCACAGCCTCTTTTGGGATCCACTGCCCTGCCAAGGTCTTTGCATAACCAAGATTCATTTCAGTCCACCTGTCTAAGTATCATGATAGGGTACGGTCAAACTACAGTAATGAAACACAAGAGGGTAGAAAATTGATCCTTCAGTAAAATTAAAACTGAGGAGAAATTTACTTCTTTGTAGTGGGAGCCATGGCAGATTCCCAAGACGGGTGCATCTCCAGAGTCGATATCTCGGCGTTCTTCTTGTGAGCAAACCCCAAGCGACAGAATAGCGACACAGCCACCTTCACCAGCGCCAGGTCAATCTCCAATACTTTTGCCAGCTGTATGACGTAAGAAAATGAAGTTACCTTAAATCAGTCCACATAATAACACGAATTAATCGAAATATTGAACATATCACACAATGACACACACATAAGTCAGGTCAGGTCAAGTTACATTAGATTATTTTTGTTAGGTTAGGTCACAGTTTAAGTTTGGACAGGCTAAGCCACATCAGTTTAGGCTGGGTTAAACTTGGTTTGATTAAGTGAGGTTAAATTAGGAATCCACTGTTATGAAAACATACCCAGGAATATATATAAAGTATAAAACATAATAATAACAAAACACCACAACATCAACGTACCTCAATCACCGGTGTATGCTCATCAATCGACACAAAGATCTTGTACATGAGGCTCTCCAGGTAGTCCCCAAGTACGCGGTTCATCACGAAGCCTTCCAGCGGGGGAACAGATATACAGTCGCTGTCACTCATTGGCACATCAAGGTACACCAATCCTTTCCTGTACAGTGGAAGGAGAACCAGTCATAAACCTTCTTATATTGTATTGTACCCTTTAGCCTCTTGAGTACGATGACATAGCCACTTAAGGGTCAAGTCTTCGTCCTCAAGGGGTTAAGTCAAGTAATTTACTGTACTCAAGGGGTTAAATCATCCTCAAGGTGTAATTAATGGTACTGAAGGGGTTAAATCACTCTCAAGGTGTTAATTCATTACACAATACTCAAGGGGCTAATTCACTGTACTTAAGGGGTTAAATCATCATACTCAGGAGGCTATGTCATCATATTCAAGAGGCAAAGTGAACTACATTAAATTCATACCTAGGAAAAAACCCTCTACTCACGTATAAAGACTATGTACACATTCCCGATCCAAATCTCCTGCTTTCTGGGAACCAACGTCGATCAGGGAGTCAATGACCACCTTCTCTCTCTCCTTCACCAGACTCTGAGAAAATGAGGGTTTATTTATTTTTTTTGACCAATTAATGCAGTGTTGCCAGAAATAAGACAAAACTTCAACAGACAGAGTAAATATTTTTTCTGGTGGTACTGCATCGTGTAGTCTAACCTGAGCTCACCTATAGTAGCACTTTATTTCCCCCCGATTCATCCACTCACAAGTACAGTAAGGTTCCCCCCCTTCCATAACAAAGCCCCAAGTCTAATATGATTTACTCCTGGTACTTCACATAAGTCAACATCATCCATCAGTTGCATCACCTTTTCCAGAAATAACTCACTGTCATGCTCTTAAACTATTGTACAGTGTATAAAAAAATATAAATTAACACCTAAAATACAAAATTCATAACAAAATACATTAAAATACAACAGCTTAAGAGATACATTCATTACACTACTCAGTAAATATTCCTATAAAGTAATAACATATGTGATTCAACACCCGCGTACAACCAACCTTGATGTCCTCTTCCGTCACACACCCGACACACACCAGCCACCAGGGCTCGATGGTGATCTCCGAGGGCAGCGCAGGTAACAAGTCTCGTACATTTTTTTTGCGGAAGAGCTTTCGACTGGAACGGCACTGGTTCATGAGATCTATGTACTGGTTCCGTCCTATTCCTAACAAACGTAGACCTGAAAGGAAACGAATTGGTATTTTTTAATGAAGGTCTTGTACAGGGTGTGGCATAGGTCGTGAATGATAGGAAAAATTAACATTCTCTCTCTTTTCGTTTTTAAGTGAGGGAATAAAGAAAATCAAAAGAGATGCCAGAGAAATTAACACTAGAGGAATGAGTCAGTTTGTTAATCATGTTTGGGAAGCTAGAGTTGCTACCCACCAAGCACTTGTAAAAGAACTCATTTGACAATAACCGTATGCCCGGGTATTATCGAATAAATTACGAGTGTGTGTGTTTGTGTGTGTGTGTGTGGCAGTTTGCAAAGAAAAAGTAACTACACAAACACAACAGTAAGAAAATACATAAATCCTCAAACCCTTATGCCTCAATTGTTGCTGAAATGACCATGTCCAACTGGCTGACTAAGTACGGCAAAAACACATCATATAAAATCAAATCTTCCTCAGTCCCGGGATCGATAATACTTACAATCGGCAGCAGTGAAGTTTGGAAGGGAGTCGTAACTCTTCTCCGCCGTCATAATATCTGTGAGGATGGAGATGTAATACTGGAAGGGTGTGACGCGCAGACCCTTCACCACCACGTCTGACAGATGGTATGGGTACATCATCAGGTGAGACCGACTGTACGCCAACACCTCCTCGTAGTAATTTCTCTCATTCTTGACGATTTGCCGCACTGAGGTAAAGGAAAATAATGGATCTCTTCACGTCCTTTTAATTACATCCAAGAATATTACTGTCTGAAGCAGGAATATTATTAGTGACGTGAATGTTTGGTAATTACATGAATTAATGGAGATACTGTAGTGAATAGGTCAAAGGGATGGTTCTATAACAGATGACGCTATAGCACAGAGACCAAATATGGAAAACACTCATTAATAAACTTCTAAAAACAAAAAAAATCATCAATATTCACTCGCATTGTAACCTGTAGAGACAGAGACCTATCCCAGATCACTTCATACGACTACACCAATAAAACTGACACGAATACTGAAAAAAAATTTATATATTCTGCACATAAAGTAATCAACAGGCTTACCACCAATAGTTATAGTCTATGGGATAAAATAATATAAAGGCCTCGCTGAAGTCAGGAGCTACCAGGGTGAGTCAGTACCAAGCAGGTGTACTGGACTGAGGTAGTTATGGGTAATTGCTTAATGTGCTCCATGGGTTAGCTCGTCTGTCAGGTCACTGCTCCTACTTTACACCACTACTTCCTATGTATGTACTTTCTTCCTCTAATCTCCTATTACTTCCTTCCTTTAATCTACTACTACTTCCTTCCTTTAATCTACTACTACTTCCTTCATTTAATCTACTACTACTTCCTTCCTTTAATCTACTACTACTTCCTTCCTTTAATCTACTACTACTTCCTTCATTTAATCTACTACTACTTCCTTCCTCTAATCTACTACTACAGTACTTCCTTCCTTTAATCTACTACTACTTCCTTCCTTCCTCTAAACCACTACTACTGTGCTGTGACCTAAACCACATCTCTCCCCCCCCCCCCCACATGACTGTTGTAGTGACACACACACACACACACACACACACACACACCTACCCAGGTTTCCCCGATACCGCTGCTGGGTCTTGATGCTGTACTCTGCCACCTGCTTCTCATACTCCTTCTGAGAGTTACCCAGCAGCTGAAAGAAGAAGAAGAAACAAGTGAACGTAATGAACTGGTTAACTTCCGTCATACAGAACCTGACACTTGTACCAGCTAAGGTTACTGATCTTGGACTGATGAATATAGACACCGTTAATTTGGATCCCCTGAAGATTACGAAGGTTAGACATCCCCTGAAGATTACGAAGGTTAGACACCTCCAGCTTATATCACCTGAAGATTAACTACCCTGAAGTCAAATTGCACCTAACCAAACCCAATCAGATAAGTGCTTGGGCGGTTAATCTTCAGGTAAAATAAGCTGACGTGCCTAATTTTCCTCCTTTTTTTTTTAATGCAGATAAAACAACTCTGATCTCAAATCATTCCCAGCAGTGTAAGGAACATCGTGTGTGTGTGTGACTATACCGAGCAGCTGAGTCCTCTTGTTGACACAGGTGGATATGCTTAATACAGTAACACTAGAATACTGCACTGAGTCTCTGTTTAACCTACAGTGCACTATACAGCCATCTCACTGATTACATGTATATATAAAAAAAATATTACATCATACTTCTGTTACAATTGTAAGCAAGTAATATGCAGGTACTGTAGGTAAAAAAAAGTATTTGTTTGAAGATTATTGACCCTAGTTTATTTGGTTAGGTTACAGTATATTAAGTTAGGTTAGTGTTAGGTTCGGTTAAGTTGTTAGGTTAGGTGATATTCAAGTCAAATCTTTAGTTGCATTGTAAACATTTTATATCAACAGAAACACAATTTTCGAAAACAAAGAAAAAATCCTAAAAACAACTTTAAATGTTAGTCACAGACGATAATAAACAACATGTTGTAATGGATCAGTTGTTTACACCACACACTTCATCAAGCAAGTTAATGAAACACTGTAGCTACTGTACACATACCATGGTTACACAACAATGGGCACAGTATTGTTGGTGCTACTAGAGTATGCTGCCTTCCAAGCTGGTGTTGGTCAATTGAGATATTTGCATCTGTAGCATCCATTAACCTAACCTGGCTGAACCTAGGTTAGGTTAAGGTTATGCTAAGTTCGTTAAGTTAGGTTAGGTCAATGGACGCTTAGTGTAAACACAGTATCCTGGTAGACCGCATACTATAGTAGCACTGTACTGTATTGTTCATTTCACAATTACTGTATCAATCTCAAGGGACAATACACAGCTTCAGCTGCAGTGCAGCAAGAATGCAACCTACAAGAAGTACTGGAAAAGTACTGTACAGTATACTGTACTTGAAAATACATTACTGTACAGGATACCTATTGTGGGTAAAAGTAAAGTACAGTTCTGTTACTGAGGAAAATTTACTCCAATACAGTATACTGTATTGTAAGTACAAAGTGACCAACTAAAATGAAAATTTAATACTGTTTTCTTAAAATAGTATTATTGCTTGATGATATATTGTATATCTGTTCTTAAATCACAACTTAATTTTACAGTGGCACCAGAAAATCAGGTCACACAGTCCCAGGACACAATATATAGCTACAGTATATACCTTATAAATGTACATCATTTTCCTCAGCCATGAATAATTCCAGATACATTTCCATTATCTAATGAACAGCTAGAGTGGTTATCTTGCTAATCATTAATGTAAACAGAAAAAAAACTTCTAAACCATCACAAAATTATCAGTATTCAGGACAAAATACAACTCTGTCATAAACTTATCAAGTGACTAACAACGTGACAGTGTTGACTACCAGAAACCCTGACCACTGGACAGGGAGAGGGAGGGGTAGAAGGAAAGGGAGAGGGGGAGGGGGAGAAGGGGAGGGAGAAGGAGAGGGAGGTAGACTGGCACCTGTAGTCAGCACCTGATAGGTCTGAGTTAACATCTGTAAGCTCAGGTCAGTTAAAGCCATTAATAATAACAGTTAGTACAGACTAATCAAGGTTAACACCAGTGGGCAGTGTGGCACTAAGGGATTTTATTCTGACTAAAACTAATGATTTTATTTAGCCGAGAGAAACCCTTGCCCCCCCTAGATGGTTGAAATGATAACCGTGGTAACATGTTCTTATTACCACCATGCTATTGTACTATTCCAGATGTTACTAAATGTTACATAATACTTCCTTGAGATAAATGTATACAGTAGTATATATCAGGTGCCTAAAAGAGAGCTCAGGTTCTCAACTGGTTCAGCCATGTTAATATTGTTATTATTATCCACTCTGTATCTGTGTTCTTCTGGCTAAATAAACTGTTTCAATTCAATTCAATACAGCTCTGGTCAACACTCGCTATAATTTATCATCACTAATATAAACAAACATACAGTATACCATTACATACAGTACAGTATATATCTATCAGTTGACCTGTTGGACCAAGAGAGGCAGTTCTTGATTATACTCAGCCAGGATCACCCGTGTATCTTTCCAATCTTTAGTGTACAGTAATCCCGTGTTTTTCGCGTTTTTCTTTTATCGCGGTTTTGACCATTCGTGTTTTTTTTACCTAAAAAAAAATATATATATATATATATATATATATATATATATATATATATATATATATATATATATATATATATATATATATATATATATATATATATAAAATATCCTTTAAAAACAGCAATTTGAATTTTGTGCCTTTTTCGATATTCCTGTGTGTGGTGCGGCAAAGAGGCGCCACCCTTTCCCACCTCAGACACCCGCTGCTCCGAGAAGCCTCAGTCCACACGTGCCTACCGTACTGTGAACGCTACTGTGATTACCTCTTCTGTTTGTCCTCCCACGTGGCTCCGGGACGTAAGCCAGCCTCATCAAAGGCAAATATTACTAGCAAAGACTCTAAAGTGACCAAGAGATCAAGAATAGTGACGACCTTAACGGAAAAAAACAGTTTTAATGGACAAGCTCAGAGGTGGTATGAGCTATGGCTCGAGATGTGGTGAAGACTGACAATTCATTTGTGTCTTTTGTCAGAATACAAGTCTTCAAGTGGAGGAATGTGGGTGGAAGAGGACTGGCTGGCTGGCGTGACTGATTGAGGATGGGCAGACGTTGGGACAGCAGGTTGTCTTAAAAGGGGGTAGCTAGGTTAATTTAGGTAAGGTTAATATCATACGACTCTTTTGTACACATCCATCATATTCTTTTAAGACAACACAAAACCAACCTAATCTAACCAAACCAAACCTACCCTAAACTTACCTAAAACGTTTGGTGAATTTACATAAGGTTAGATTTGGTTTAGGTAGATTGTTTCGCCTGTTTAAAAAAATTGAACCACATGATATAACTGTTACCAATATAAATCCTTGGCCATACGACAATGATAATTCACTGTGATATTACATTATATTTCTCACAAACTTTTAAAACTGTCGTACTGAAGTAAATTTATCGGAATAAGGAGATAATGAACATCTACAGATTATCAAATGTATAATAAAACCACATAACCACTATTCAGTATTACCCAAGCCTGTAAAAAAATAAAGTGGCGACTCTAACATCATCATCTTTCCATTACCTTAAAAATCTTGAAATATTATATAATAAGACAATCCCTGTGGTAGCCATAATGATATTTTACTATAGAAATTACTGTCTTCTACTGTCCATTACTGTACACTGGTATACCAAGTGAATATACCAAGAAATATACTTAAAAGATTATATCAACCTGGAGATGAAACTTGACAAAATTAACAGTTAGGAGTGGTATAATAGTCTACCATAGAGTATACTTAGTTAAGATATATACGTCTAAGAGATGAGACTTCTGATAACATTAACAACATAAAGTTACGAGTGAACACAAACTTTTATCTCACCTGCTTCACATTGGTGGGTAGTTTGTCCCATGTACAGTTTTGAGCAATGTATGTCTCTATCTCGGACGCCATGGTTCCTCCCGGTTAATAGTTGTCCACACCAAACACTCACATATTGTCTTCACTCTCAATTAAAATTTATATTATTTGAGCTTCAATGTTTATGTGGAGGGAAGTATAGACGCCAAGGAGACTGTGGCGGCCATGGTTATTTTATAGATTCTGATCCCTTTTGTTTTATGTAATTTACCAACTTGTAAAGCTTCTATATTAATTGTTTTATTTACAGTTAATAAGAAAAAATCATTTGAGTGTTAAGATTATGTCTAATTTATCTTTCCGTTTCCTAGATTGTAAATCTTTGAAAGATTCCAATGTCCTCTAATTATAGATTGATTTTTAAGTGTACAATAACAGTTCGATTAAAATATTCTACAGATAAAAAGTTTTCCATAATAATACCTTGAGAATGGTGTGTGGTAAAGGTGTTCATAGCAGGTCAAGGTCATGTGTCAGGCGAGAAGGGATCGGGGAAGGAGTAGGATCAACGCGTGGGTTTACACCCCAAGGTCACCATCGTCTATATATTCAACTTCCAACGCTCCTCAATTTTTCAATTTTCATCATATTTATTTTATTTTAATCTCTTTTTATTAAACTTCATAACAAGCTTATATCATTTATAAAGAAATTCGAGTCTTTAAAAAATACAAGTGTAAGATAATAAGGTTTTAGAGACATGTGTGAGTGATAGTGGTGTGGGCGACACTAAGGCATCATATTTATTATGGTGTATGACGGCAGCAACAGCAGTGTTACCTCGACTCTCGAGTATAGAAGGTGTTGGGGCGCGGCGCTCCTCTTACCGCTGCAATGGCACCGGACGTATCACATCACTGGGAAGAATTTTACTTGGGTTCCCGGAGATTCCAATTCATTGCCGACAACTTCGGGATGCCCATTGACCAGGTAATGCTGTGAGGTGTGTGTGTGGTGTTGTCTTGACGCCGAGACACTAACTTATGAACAATTTTAATCCATGGGCGAGGCTGTGGGGTGGTCAAGCACCAACTTGTTGCAGCAATTAAAACTTTAAATTCAAACGCCAGACAAAGGTATCAGTGCTGTTATGGCGCGGGTAAGGGTGTGGTACAGGAGACATGAACTTGAGTGTGAGGAGGGTGTTGTAAGTGTGTGTGTTTGTGAGAGGTTGTGACGGACAAAGGGAGGCGACTAACAATATCCCCTGGTGTGTCACTTGACCGTGTCGTAGTCCCCACTTACCTTTCACCTCGCCCTACACCACCTACCTTCCCCTACACCTCCCCTACATCACTCACCTTTCTTATACCTGGCGAGTTAAAGCTGAGGTATATCCGTGTTTCTCGCTTACTACGCAAACCGTTTCTGTATAAAAAACTGTCTCTCTGAGTTTCGTAACTTAGAACAAAGTGGGTTTGGTTGGTATGATATATTGTGTATTTTAATGTTCATGGGCGTGGTTGTTTGTTAATTCACAGCTTAATAGTGTTGGTGTAAAGGAGGATAAATTGCTCTAATGTGTTTGCATTCACTTTTCCAGGTGCACTTTTTTATAATGATTTATTGCCACACAAACAGTAATGTTAACCTTTATAAGTGGTGGTAACATTGGTATTATAAGAACTGTACAGGTGCAGTACTTGGCAGTTACTAATATAAGTAATAGAATCCATTGTTGGCTGCTGATGACCACACACATTTGAGAATGGTTATGTAACCCCCGTGGGTCTATTAAGACTTGTTTATAATGTATCAGGTCACAGGATTCATTTTTCTCGTAATGTTTGTGAAGCCTTCATGAGCGGCTGCAGGACGTGTTTATAGTGTCTCTGTGCTGAAACATGAGTGTCACACCAACTGTGACCAAGTGAGATGATCTTAAACATTGTTGAGGAGTTAACTGGCGGGACACTGATGTCTTGGACCTTTAGACACTACTGCCCACTCTCCAGGAACACTATCATGCCAAATCTAAACCCCCGAACTGACTCCTGTCTCCGTGTTATTCCAAGATAAACAAGAATAGATGTTGGTATGCAGTTGGTACTTGTTTGGGTCACCAAACATCAGTAGTCATTATCATAGTGATGTTGTTTAATGATATAAAAAGTGATAGCCAATTTTTGTCTTTCACTTCACCATCGTGGAAACAACAAATCCTCCAGTGATAAGTGGAAACTGAATCGTTGGTCTGTCTGATGACAGTTTTAAACCATGTTTTTTTTGTTTGTTTTTTATATGAAGTCGGTACTGTTTACATCCAAACGTGAATGTAGTGATCACCAAGTTAGGTCATTAGGTGTTACTCTTAGTTTAATGTTATGACCTCCAGCCAAACTGTATGGCAAGCTCATTCTACTCTCAACACTCACTGTTGAAAGAAGTTCTGCTTATGTTACGTCATCACAAAGTGTTGAGGCAAATAACAGACACGGACTGTGAAGTGTGATTCAGCTACTGTACAGTGCACCAAGAGGGAGTGGACGTGGTGTATTAAAGAAGCAGAGTTATCTCCCATGTGGTTGAAACTGGCTAGGTTTGATTTAGTTACATAATCACAAGGTGAAGAAAGATTGGCAGCCAGACAAGAGTCAGCATCACAGATTCGTCTTCAACAGGCTAGTGCTGCGTCCAGTTGACCACCTTAGTACTGATGAATTTTGTGTTATAAGTCATAATGAGGTGGTGGGCAGGTGATATGTGAACTTATAGTTACTTAGTCATATCAAAAAAATATACATGTGAATGAGAATGTGTGACCATTGTTTAGTGTAATGTGAGTGAGACTGTTGCCTGAACCATCTGTGAAAGCTAACATGAGCCAAACTAATGTCATTTAAGGATTCTATGTTACTAGTATATATTTTGATGAATTTCTGTTAGATTAGATTAGGATATGTTCTTGTCACTTGTAATTGAATTAATGTTGTATGTAATCTCACACATCGATGCTCCCCGTGGTATGTACAAGTTCCTTTCCTACAGACGTTCTCAAGTCAAAACACATACCCTCTGTGCATGCTGTACTTACAGAACAATGTTTAAAATCCCACTATATCATAACTTAAATCTTTACTACATAAAAATTCACTTAATTTAAGAGAAAATAAGAAATACAGTAAATGAAAGTAAAAAATAAGTCACAAGGTAAAGGTTGTAGGCAGCTACCAAACAGGGAGGTACTACTGCCTGGGAAGATACTGAAAGCATAATGTGTTGTCTAATGTGCCTGGGTGAGCTAATCCCTGTAAAAAAACTAAAAATAAATAAAGTATAACTTTATGGGACCTCGTTCATATAGGCAGGTGTTCGTAACTCTGGGACCCCCTGTAAATGACACCAGTATGTATATTTTGTGCAATTTTAGTAACGAAGTATTATCTGAAAGTTTCCTCTCAAAATTTAAGCTACATTACCAAGGGTTAGCCCCATTTCTTTTATATTTACCATGGTTTTTTATTTATTATAGGATGCTATCAATCGGCAAGTGTGTGAAGGTTAGAAAATACCAGAAAGGGGTGACTGATAAAGGAAGGAAGCATAGTGCCTATATTGGTTGTGGAGACAAGTGGCTTATCAGAGCATTGACCCTCATCTTGACACACTACTGTTCACTTACATAACTCATGACTTTGAAATGTGACCTTAGTGTTTGACCAGACTGTACCACCACTTGTATAACTGTACTGAGAATCCACAACAGCAAAAAATTGTCAGAGATAACTTGTTTGGAATAAGAGTTGTGAAGTGTTGTAATAACCTGCCAGAGATATGACTCAAAGTGTGAGCTCATTTATGGACAGCTTAATTAACCCTGGCACATGTTCTGGTATTTTCTAGAGCACATGGATGCTCAGTCCTTGCCAACAGCTTGTAATAGAGGCATGACTGACCACTCAGGTAGCTAGTCAGCCAATCAATGACAAAGAGTGTTAGTTTAGATGTGTTAGGTGTTTTGAAAGGGGAATGTGCTATGAATAGTACTGGAGCCCTAGACTCAAGTTAACATTTATGATTTTTTCATTTTTTTTTATTCCCCCCAGAAAAATCCCCAAATCTTTTTGAAGTAAATCTCAGCAATTCTTCTCATCTTACATTTTCTTATTTTACTTTCAATTACTTTGTTTCATTCAAAAAGCTTTGTTTATTTATTTTTCAAGTGAAGTTCATTACTGTACCATTACTGTATGTGAGAAAACTTTCATTAAAATAACCCTTATGAGTGTAATAACCCCAACTAATAATACATATTAAACTTATGGCACTGTACAGTACAGTGTAGTACACCTGTACAGTACTACAATTTTGGTGCAAAAGCAGTGTCACTGAGATAGTTTCTAGAGTATTCACACCTTAATTTTTTCTGATTACTTACCAACAACACTTGTCTCCTGCCAACTATAGCTACAGTAAGAAAATTGTGAGAATATGTCAGTTTCTCACCTTAAGTTATTGTATCCACCTGTATAGCTGTACTGGTATGAGGAATGATTATAGATGAGGAGAGTAATTATTGCTCGGTGGTACTGTACTGTACAAGAGCAACTCTGGGGGTTTTGAAGAGGATTATTTTAATTTTCCATTAAAAGTAATACCAGTAGCAAGCCTTTAATTAAATTCCTGTGCTTAACTTTTAAAAGATCCAGCTTTCAAGCCTCCCGCATTTCTTTCCATTCACTAGATGACTGCCAATAATTTATTTGGTACGATTCACTCAGTGCTGTGATGAAGTTTAGGCCATTATTGTATTCCCCTGTGAACCCAGATACAGTACTAAGGACTCCACTGCTTGTCATCACTGTACTGTCAAGATGCCAAATATTCAAACATCCGCCTTTCATGTTAGGAGGTGCTGGACAAGATGTACCTAAACATAGAAGGCCACATTCTCAGCAGCATGACTATATTTAGCATTGCTGTCATGTGTCTTCTCTTGCTCCCCTCCATTGCCTTTACTGCATTATTGAGAGAAAATCCTGTTATGAATGTGTGATTTTCAATGGAGTTTTTTGTACTTCTCTTCCACATGCTGTACTCATTAAATGTTTTATAATTCACATGAATAGGAATAAATTGATTCCGGTTTCAGAATCTGTTCAGCTGTATTTAGTCAGAGTACAGTTATCCTTTATGATATCTCAAATAGCTGATTTAATATGGCATCGTTTATGAGTCCGGCTCAGTACCTGTCGTCAAGGGAGTCTGTGATGCCTTTTGTCTGCTGTACAGTACATTATTTTTTTCTGCAGACAAAATTCTGTACAGGTATTTATAACTACGGGCCTTATTATGTAAGGGGGACAGTTTTAAAACATTAGCACAGACTATTATACTCCACATGCTAACCCACACAGGTGAGACACATGAAGCTTGGCAACTTTTGAATGGTGTCTTATGAACTTGGCAGTTAACATCACTTATCATGCGTTGTTGTGAACAGAATCAAAATACAGTGTGTGCTGGGTTCTTGTTTTGTGAGTACAAAGCAGATCAAAATGAAATGTGCAATTGGCATTTAATTAATATCTGGCAACATTCGCTCAGCCACACCTATTGTGATAAACTGTAAGGCTAGTGGGTGCTTGGTCACACTATTCTCATGTTATAGGGATGTGTATTTACATGGCGATAGGTGTATTAAACCAGCCATTACTTGGTGTCACAGTCATATTCACATCCATCCTGGTGACTGCAGCAAACCTTGCTGACACTTGGCAGTAATCACCAGTCAGTTGTCACCCACAATACTGTACAAATTTATTGTGTTTATCAAAGCAGGAAGTGAACTTTTTTAGTCTTTATACAGCGTCTTTAAAATGTTTAGGATGTGTATATGTGATAAACTGTGAGGATTGTTTGTATGGAGTTATGTTGGTCCAGTGTGTCTTGCCAAGTGCAGCAGAATGCTTCACATGTCAAAGCTCTATTAATAGACACTGAAGGTAGGTTTATTAAGATAAATACATACTCTACTGTTCAACTTTTTTCTTCAGTATGCTTATGGAGAACAGTACAATATTTATATTACTGTACGATGAACTGCAGTACTGTATATGTATTATCTTCTTATTGACATAGCTTACCTTTTTTTTAGCTAGACTAATTTGTTTCTCTTCCATTTTATTTTATACCCACATACCTGGGTGTGATTCTGTACACACATGTTATGAAACAGGCAAAATAAAGTGAGTACCTGTAGTATATAATGATGATGAAAAATACAGCACAGAAAGTGTAATTCATAATACTGTACTGTATCCTGAAGGTGTCTTGTGGTACAATCATCTTGACTTTTGGTGTGATCTTCTCAACCAAGAAGCTTTAATAGATGCCCTGGAGTCTCACTCAAGTGAATGGTGAAAGAGGTCTTATGTCCAAATTTTAATGCAGTACGGTATACCCAGATTCTGAATATATTGTATAGTACTGTATATAAATACTGTAATGATATACAGGTACTGAAGTGAAACAATATATTAACTAATCTTTTGCCAATATTTTAACCTTGATACAAACAATACATCCAATATGATACTTGTGTACTGCACTATTTTAATGTGTGTGTGTGCGCATGCGTGTGTGTGTGTGTGTGTCAGTCAATAGATATCCTGTTGACAATAAAAGATTACCACATAAAGGATATCCTTCCCATTTAGGTTGTTAACAAAACATGATATTAAAGTATTGACATTTTTCATTAAAAATATCAGGGTGGGGGGATGATAAGTTTAATATAAGTACAGTATCTAGGATGAACTGTATAGAAAATATTGATGGCAGGCAGCATTTATAAATTAATGGGCAGAAGGAGTGTAATGTTTTTGTGTTTTTTGTTTCTAAATTGAGAGTAGCATTTGCAGTACTATACTGTATGTACACACTTTTAGTTACTCTGATAACATTGTTAACTTTACTATTAATAGATAAAGAGTATGTGGAGTTAACACCATTCAAAGATAAAGAGGAGAAAGAATAAAGTAAACAGTAAATTGAGGAAGTGTGGAGGTTGGAGGTGTGCACGAGGGGGACCACTAAAGGTGACCTCCCCTCTCACACACTTACATTGACCACTTTTATAAACCATCGTTGTGGTGGAGAGCCTGATGGTGTACTGTACATAATGACTTTGTTGATAATGTAGGAGATAGTATTGATAGTTGTTCTGTTTTGTCTTGTCAGCTTGGTGTGTGTGTGTTGGGTGATAATATTGACTGCTTCTTCCTGGTGTATGATGGCACACTTCTTACCCACTGTCACTATAAGGTTCATTTAAATATCCTTCACATATAAATGGCCTAATGTAGTTCTGTTTGTCCTGAATATTTTCCCCTTCCTAACAATTTGAACACCAAGGAAGTCATGTCAGGTACTTGTGGGTTCTTTTGTCCAAGCTTGTGTAAATGATGGATGTTTTTTTAATTATATTTCATGTTCCAAGTTTCATGTTCCCTACTATAATGGGAACCTAGGTATTGTGCCAGCTTAGTAGAAATAATAATCTGTTTTTAAAGTTTTGTACTGGTTTCATAAATGCTTTAAGTGAGTACTGCTGGGAGTGTGTTAGTAAAAGCACCATTGATATTAATCTTTGAGAATGATGAGTTAAATGTCTCGTATGTTTTTTTTTGTTTTTTTTTTGCATAGTTGAGTAAATAAATGCTTCAATCATTGGTGAGCGAGTCAAGTATTTATAACTAGTCATTAAGGTCAAGCTCTTTTGTTTCCTTCTGGTCTACCTTAATAAAATATTATGTAGACTAGTGATATAATTCTTGGTTTATATGTATGGTATTTGTATATTGTATGTATGCAGTAGTATGTGTGTATGTACTGTATTTGTGTGGTGTTCATTTTAATACAGTACTTGCAGCCACACATACACTGTTTTTGTGAGTACTAATTGTGATGTGTGTGCGTCATGTCAGCACTGTTAACTAGACCTCTTACTATTTGCTGCGTGTCCTTTTTTTTTTTAATGTTCTTGCTGTGTTATTGGTAGATGTGGCTGCATTTGACACTGACTCCTCCCCCCCTTCTGTCCTCTCTAGGCCTTGCAGGATCTAGTATATGCTTCTTCTGTGGGGCCTTCTTCTAAATACCTTCTAAGCTTGTAAGTGTTGAACCAGGATGTGTAATCTTATGCATGGTAAGTCAGCAAGTAGTGGTGATAGTTTTCATCCTGTTATCCTTTTTCTCTTTGTTCACCGGCCGGTATTAGCTAATACCTGTACCCTATTGTGTGTGTTTGCTGGTGGTTACTGTACTGGCACCATTAATTAAAACAGAACCGCATGTAGTATTAGATATAAAATGCCCGTTAACTTTATCCTTTAACTATATACTCATTTATATGGTAAGCTGCTCATTGACTATATAGCTACAGTGTATTCATCGTGTAAACTGCCCATTAAATGACGTATTTATATTTTGAAGAACGTTTAAAAGGGTTGTACTGTACTTTAGGTAGATGTTCATTAATACATCACAGAGTGTACACCTTGCACATTGTACAATGGAGGAAAACAATATACATGTTTTTAACCCCTAAAAAAAAATGCTTCTATTTTTTTCTGGTAATAAATTTTCAGATAGAGTTCTCCTGAAGCTTATTCTTGGGTTTACTATTTTACCACTGTAATAATGTTGTCTTAATATTTTGTGTTACTCACCTGGGAAGTATTATACACCTCAGTGCACACCTTTGCTTTGACCATCTTGAATATATGCTGACGTCTCCTTGGCTTTGCATTTTTTGGGCAGGGTGTGCAATTATTTCACACACACTCCTACACACCCCTACATTGTTATATTTCTTGTCATGTACACTTGCTGTATGTCCAAATAAAAAGTACTGTACCAAAATGTCCTTCATGGCTGCCAGTTTGACATTTTACGTACTACTTGAGAAAGATAATGAAAACTGTACTTTTAAATATATTTTCCATGATACTGGCTGGTGTCTTTAGTAGGTACAGTATTCTATTGCCTTGGCAAGATGTGATGCATGATGGAGTTTTCACTGTATTGTACAAAAAGTAGACTGTGTGATGTAGCTCCATGCACTTCCTCTGTGTTTCCATTACAGTATTTTGAGTCATTCCATATTTCTTTAATGAGCATGAATTATACATTTGGGTTATATTTTTAGTCCATCATTTTACTAATTAATGATGCTTACGAATGCTTTTTGAAGGTGTTGGTCGTATAGCAGTATTGCACATATCTCTCACCACCGTGTCCTGGGTTTGATATCGGGAAGGGTTAGATGTGAGAAAGGTGTTATCCAGTGTGACCATACCAAACATGGCAGGTTTTCTACACGTGCTCTGGTTCCTCCTTTATTAAAACTAGACACTGAACTTCGTAACAAAGAACAGACCTAATGGCTAGTAAGCTGATAAGTGGTGGAAATGGTAAATTAAATAAGATATACATTACATTATTCTCATATGCTACACGACTTCCCATAAGTACCTGTTTATGTATCCGAGGACATACCCTTTGATTAGGCAACTATTGTACTGTATTGTCAACAACCATTAAACAGCTGTAGCAGGAGATATAAGGCTGGGGAACGTCAGTAATGTTATCTATGGGACATCCTTCAGGTAAAAATATTGACAGGGAATCTCTCTACACTTGATACTCAAGCCATGGTGGGGTGGGGGATCGTTTTTGGCACATGGTGAAGTCAATATTATTTAGTAACAGAGGATATTGTTTTACTTTATATATTTGTACATTTGTCTTGTTATTGGAAGAGTTGGAGGTCCTAAGATGTCTGCCCAATTTGGAATAGTATGATATATTGACTGTGGATTATAACACAGTCAAAGTTGGTTGTAGAGTAATATTTGCATCCTTTACCATACAGTCCTGTGATACATGACTTTATCTGAAATGCTTTCAATTGAATTATTGTATGGTGAATAGAAATCACTTTATGGAGTTTACATTCTTGTGGTACACCGTATAGTGAAAATAGTCATCAAGCATTCGTATTACCTTGTGCTTACATTGTACTCTTTTTAACTTCTCAATGATGTACAGTACTCAGTTATACCCACTGTGATACTAGATTTGTCTTGAGTACTGTACTGAAGTGGCTGAATGTACAAGGGAATCAGATAGCCTTCCTGTTCACCTGCATTTCTTAACAACATAATTATTCTCCTTGTTCTACTTACAGTGAATAGTTGAAATGTGTTTGTGTGGGGGGGGGGGGTATTACTCAGTGGTATGGTTCTTTAATACTCCACCAGAGGTTTCTAGTTATCCAGTTGACCATCATTTGTGGCTTGTTCTTTTATTGTCCATAGGTGGTTTCTTTCTAAGTAACTGTACAGGTTTTAGTTGTTCACTAGGTGTCTCTAGTTTTCTATCTGTTTTTTTAAGGTCTCTAGGTGTCCCAACAGTGGTTTTTAGTTGCCTGGCAGTGGTTTTTTGGTGTTTATTGTTTTCTAGTTAACCACCAGTGATTATTAGTCCTTTCATTAATCATTCGTGGTTTCTGGTATTTTTAGTAGAGATGGTTTCTAATTATCTATCTTATCACTTTGTACATGAAAATAGACTGGTTTTAGTTCCCTAGTTGATTACTAACTGTGTACATGAAAATAGACTGGTTTCTAGTTATCGAATTGATTACTGACTGTACATGTAGTGAGAGTGTTTTTTAGTTGAGGCAGGAAGAGCTGTAGAGTGTGAGAGCAACAAGTTACACACATGTGCCTGGAGAAGTGTTATCACCAATGGCACAAGTGTAGTCATTCATAAGTCAGTGTTGCATACAGTACTTTATCAGGCTAGAGTTAAGGGTCGCCTGAAGGTTAGCCATCCACCCCACCCACCCAGATTATGTCGCCCTTAACGTTAATCTAACATAACATAACCGTACGGAACCTTACCTAGCCAAACCTAACCTAACCTAAACTAACCTAATCTAACCTAACATAAACTAAACTAACCTAACCTAAAAACAAGATTTATCACCCTAATGCTAACCTAACCAAACATAACCTAATCTAACCTAATTAACTGAATATAACCCTAACTTAACCCAACCTAATCTAATTCCACCCCTCCCTCCCCTGCAACATTATGGTCTTTAATCACCAGATGCAATTAACTAAAGGGGACTTACATGAAAACTACCAAATTAATAAGATTCAAAAAATACCTCGTAACTTCCTACCCTATATCTGTTATTATCAGTACCGTAATTAACGATCTGTACCACACTTAACGATCTGTACCACACTTAACGATCTGTACTGCATTATAAAGTACAGCATTGGGGGTCGCAAGATTCAGTAACCGAGGATGACGGCGGCATTTAACGACGCACCCATTGAGATTTTCTGAGCCCAGCCTGTATCCTGTCAGCCCTTCCCTCTCATTCACTCACTCATTCAATCCATGTTCATAACTGTAATATCCTCCACCATTCACTGTTACACCCATGGCTTAAGGCCCCACTTGGCTGAGATGGTTATTCGGGCAAGGTCACTCATATGGTGTGAGGAGTAGGAAAAGGAAGGCACTATAGGGTACTTATACTTCCTGCCATAACTTTTACTACCATTTAAGATACCTAATACTCCACTGTCGTTGGTCTATAGTACTACCAGACATGCTCCATTATATTGTTCCTTTATATCTCGTGTGGTATGGCTTCTATCAACCTCGCCGGGAAGGTCGGAGAATCTATCCACACTGTATGGTATGAGACTTCACCCCCCCACCCCCCCCCCCCACACACACAAATGAGCACCTGTTATCATTTGTCTATAGGTGTTAATGTGTGTGTGGCTAGTCAACCTCCGCACCTCTCACAGTATGGCGTAGGTGCATGGTGATTGTTCTTTTTTTATTTTCTATGTTTGGTTTATTTTGATATTTGATTTTTACTCTTTTTGTCTTGTTAAATTACTCTCTCTCTCTCTCTCTCTAATTCTCTCTCTCTCTCTCTCTCTCTCTCTCTCTCTCTCTCTCTTATTCTCTATTCTCTCTCTCTCTCTCTCTCTCTCTCTCTCTCTCTCTCATATATATTAGTAACAGCCATCTCGTATATATTTCAGGTCAATTTTATCTTGGGTCAGGTGATGGCTCTAGTACTCGCCTATATTTTCCGCGTGTACTGTCACCCCTCCCGCGTCTCTGCCACAACACGTCACTGGGGCTCCCTGGTCGCCGGGCTGGGCATCTCCTACTTCTGCTTTGGAAGGTACGTCGATGTGTATCATTCCCTCGGTAGTTTATGCCGGGCGAACACGCGAGGGGGAAGCGTGGATGTGTCTGAGCCTTAGTTGATGTACTGTAGAAGTGTGGGATTTGTGGATCGTGCGGATGTTACTGTAGTCTCCCTTTAGTCTATTTCACCTGGGATATGGGGTTAGGTTAGTGTTAGTTAATTGTAAGGTAAAGAATGATCTGTGGGGTGATTAATCTTGTAGTGGTTGTTATACTTTACTGGAGTATGTAATGTTGCTTTGTTGCTTACACAATATAGGTATGTCATTCACACACACACATGGACAATGGTCACCACAGAGATAAGGGCCAGCACATTCAGGCACACACATCCTCACTGATACAAGACACCCCTCACCAAATCTTCGACCATCTTTTTATTTTGTTCTGATTCTTGGTATATAAGGCTGTATCAGTATTTATTCCAGCTGACTGACCTATTGTTACTGAAATACAAGGTCATCTAAGACTGACATTTAGTAATATAGTTAACTTGGTATTAAACTTTTACAGGATCATCTACAGGTGTGTTGGTGTGTGTAATAAACCATTAAGACTTTTGTTGGTGTAATTGTTAAGATGAAGCTGTTAAGGACCATTAAAATGACACCAGTATGACCAGTGTAGGTTACGTAGATATGCCATTTTGAAATAATAGGTCATCTTTGATAACGTATTCAACAAGCAAAGGTTAGCTGGAACTAATACTCAAGTTATGTAAGTTTCCCCGTGTATAAACCCAGTTTCAACCATATTGGGAATGATCTTCACAAGAATAGGCTTTTATTGACTGAATGGCTGAAGTGTTGTGGAATGACATGCAAGCAGATAAGTGGTCTTAACTGGATATACCAGTTTTACTATGAGGTAGTTTCTTAGATACTGTATACCATAGTGCCATTATCATCATTGTGTTGTGTAAGGTGTCTTGGTAGCCTATCACACTAAGTTTATGTGTAGATCTACTATCAGGGGTTTGATTGGTGACTGATAAATTATCTTAATGAAGTGTCAGGGAGGATGTGACATTGAGAGAATTTGTTGTTATTGTGTTTAGATTTGAATCATCATCATCATCAACTTCATATGTTATTATCATCATCCATCATTATCATCAACTTCATCCATTATCATTCTCATCATCGTCAATAGTTATTAGTCATGTTTGGAGAGCCAGTGAAAACAATGCTAACCTTTCAAGAAGTACAATAAAAAATTCTCCTCGTCCTTCTTTTAACAAATAAAAGCTAAATTTCTGTCAGACATTCTTCATCTAATAAAATTCCTGAAAGTGTCACAAATTGTCCCACTTTTGTACCTTCTGCCCTTTCACTGTATACATTTGATAGAACGGTTGGCGACCAGTTCACTCATCATGCGAGGGCCAGACCAGCACTATTAGAAAGTAACAGTGGTAGACAGGAGCTGAAATGTTTAGGTCAGTAGATAGAGAGTGAACAAGTTGCCCTGGTTTGAATGCAACAAGTGCAGCCCTGTGGTGTAGTGAAGGCATGGGAATACAAATTACTGGTTACATTATCTCCAGTACACTGCTGCTAGTTATTGTTATGTTTCTCCCGTGATACTGGACAGTTTATCCTACATTTGTTTAGTTATGACCAATATTTCCCTGATATTTGGCAGCTGAGGCTTTTGGGTTATCTAAGTAAGGGGAATTGGGATTTGAATGTATAATATTGTTTGATGTGTTAAGTGTTAATTTTTATTGTTTATCTGACTGTTAATGAAAACCAATCATACCTTTAACCCACAAGTAGATGCCAGATACCCTGTACTGTCTTACCAAACATTGAAGGAATTTTGGCTTAATCTGTGCAGTTTGCTTGTTTGTGTGACAATTACAGTAAGGTTGTAAAGAAGAACATGGTGTGTGTGTGGAACTGGCTGAGTTACCAGTGAACCTGTTTTGTTAAGGGGATCATCTTTTTTTTTGTAGTTTTTTGTTTTGTTTTAAACCTTTTACATTTATGTATTGTTCCTCACTGAATATTGTTAGTATATAGAGCATGCCATTGTTATTGTCATAGATAAGCACAGTCAGAGAGAAAACTGCAGTAGATGAGTAAGAGTGGGATCTAATATACATAAAAAGAAGGGAATTATGATTGAAAGAATGTTTTAAGTTTGGGAAGAGGTGGGACATAATAGTGGTGGTGATGTTGTTGTGTGACAGTGTCTAAAGGGAAGCACTGTGTCTGTCTGTCTGTCTGTGTGTGAGCTGTTAATCTTTGTACACTACAGGTATCTCAATAATATTCTCCATGAGTAACCAAGACCTATTGCCCTATATGTACATTAAAGTATAATATTATATAAGTGTATTTGTGGATAGTTTAATTATATAGTGGTGATAGATATTGTGTTATTGTAATCTTAAAGTGTCTGTGTGTAAGTGTTATAGGATCCTGTATGAAGTGATTTCTATTTGGAAGATTTAAAGTAAGAATTTGTTTCTATGACAGCATCTGACTATCACTGCCATGCCTCTCACTCTATAGAAAATTATGAATAAGTAAAACAAAGTAACAAAAATTTATGAATGTTTAAAAATTAAAGATGTATTGGATAAGTTTTTGTTCTTGTCTATTCTTAACCAAATGAACTCTCTCACACACGTCATTATTGTCTGCAGTAGCCATGTCTCTAAAGTGGTGTTAGGTAAGTTGTAACGTGATCAAGTGTTTGTTGTTGTAAATTTGACGACTGTATGTTAGTGCTGTACTGTAGAAGAATGTTGATACAGTAAACAGGTAGCTATTTAAGGTGCTAGAAACAGGTTCTTCTTCTTTTTTTAAGTGAGTATCCAAAGTTCACATGTGATAAGTTTGAGTTAGGTGATTGGTGCCATAATTTACACTCTGGCTGTGGTCATCAGTCCCATTAAGGGATTAGGATCTTGATATTCCTTTCAGTACCTGTAGGGTTAATAGAGAGTACTGTACTGTATAGTGTTAGATGTGGAGTAATGTAGTGTACAGGTCAGGTAATGTCAGAGGCAGAAGTGTTCTAGAAAAGTAATTTGGTCAATATTTAAAAATTTGGAGGTGTATAGTACAAGATTCATATTTGTTTACCCAACTGTAGCTGGGCTTGTGGCTAATTGAATACCTTTCCTGGGTGTCTGACTGACCCACCCAAAAAAGAGAAAGTTTTGCCCTCAGACAGTCAGCCTCACACCAGAGTACGGTACAGTAGAGGAAGGTGGCCAGTGGTGGCCAAGTGTGAACACACCTGCTGACTACAGTACTACTTTATTACCCTTGTTATGGTTCACACTTATACTGACTTTGATTCACCTTTACTATCTGAGTGATATACAGAGAAAAAAGAGTATCTATGTCTATTATGTGAAGCTATGTTATGACTAATTAATGGTTATTATTTTGGAACATGACCACCACAGCTGTGTGTTGGATAAAGCAACACCTGGCAGTAGGAGTTGTGTTGATTATCACAATTGTGTGTAATTAACCAGTATGTGTGCTACTACCAGAGCTCTCACACACACACACACACACACACACACACACTGTACTGAAGATATAATCCAATATCCAATAAGTACTTTATAGTGAATATGATTGTACAGTATACAGAATCCCTCCCTCTATGACACAAGGGCTGTGACCTCCCTGGGTGCTCAGTATAGACACCTGGTACTGCACACAAGTTGTCATGGTTGAGGGAACTGAATAATTCCAATACTGTTCGAGGAATAAATTACCTCAGAATGACCCACAGAGAACAAACATGATAGATTTTATGGTTCTATGTAAGAGTAAGAAGAACCTGCCATGCTGAGACAGTAACATGCTTGACCCCAGCCAATTTTTTAGGTTACCAAGTAAAATATTTTTCTTATGCTTGACTATTACCGGTAAGCTTCATCCAGGTAGACAGTGACCAGGCTGTTGCAATAGCAGAGATTAATAAGCCTCCATCATCCAGTTGTAGGCTTATCAGAGTGTGTAGCATGGCCTTACTGATTGGTGGTAGTTATACAGTACAGTACTCACATCACTCTCCTGTATTTTGTAATTAGCACAGAAAATGTTTAGTGTTTGTATTATATTATGATAAACTTAAGAATTTTCATAAAACAAAACTTTACTTGAATTATGATAGTTGCTGCAACTCTTCCTCTGGACTTGTGACACTCTGCTGTTAATACAACTGATTGATGGTAATTTGTTTGTTTTAAATACAGTATACTGTAGAGGGGAACAAATGATACAATTAAAAGTGTGGTTAAGATATATTGCTTGTAAACAGTCTATCTTACATTAGTATTTCAAAGAGCATTACAGTACAGTACTGGTATATATTTACAATTATTAAAAAAAAATAATTCTCAAGACTAAGAAATTTGCACATGAAATTTGATCTCCCAGTCAACCACACTCGCACTGATTACATGTACTTGTACTGTGTTATGAGAGAGATAACTGTACTCAAGATGAAACTGTGTTATCATTACTGTGTTGTGAAGCAGAGTACATTTACAGGCAGGTGTTGTTGGCACTGCTGCTGGTGGTGGGATGCTATGTGCTGATGCTGTTGCTTCCCATCACCCTCATCCATCACATGTCTTTGGCAGCTTCCCTCACGTTCTTATCCACCATGCATATACAAAGGCAGATATATGAAGATGGAGCCTTTGTCATTGACGTCACAGGTGAGTGAACTTATTTAACTCGTAGGAATTTTTTTTTTTTTAGGTGATGTGTTTAATGTACAACTGCAGCACAAATTTTGGCCTAAAGTGAAGTGAGCGGTTTTGAGGTTTTTGGATCGGTGAAGAGTGGACACATGGGACTGAGGTGTATACAGTAAATGTTTTTGTTGATGTCACTTCCTGCAGAGAAAAGCAGAAAGGTATATAATTAATCTTCTTGATGGAATTTCGAGTTTTTCACAACTTACGGTAAACTTTGTATCCTATATTAACTTATCCTTTGTACTTTAGATCTCTTGCTTGGTAATCATATTTCACTATACAGTAATGAGGACAAAAATTATCCCCTCTTGTGATATTTTTGTTCTTGGAGTTTTTAAGAATATTACTGATAAGAGCGCCAGCATCTGACCCAACCAGAAATTTAGAGAGAGAACATGGGATTCTGATTAGAGTAGCCAGGTCCCCCGTTCACAGTGATCTTAATCAAGGGTGAAAGGTTACGGTATGTCTGAGATTCACAAAAGTAACATGAAAATTAATATTGGAGATTATGAAGGAACATAGACTGCTTGTGTGGGTTGTAGAAGGTAGAATGAAACTATAATTATTGAGGATAAGTATAGAATGAAAATCAGAGAATGATTCACTTATAAACGAGAATTCTCCAACCAAGTCATTCCCTGTTGTAGTTCCACTGTGTAGGTCTTTCTTCCCTCTTCTGGCTCTCACTCTCTCTCTTCCTCCCCAATTCTCCTTCCTCCTCTTCCAACCTCCCCCTCCCTCCCCCTATCGTTCATGAGGTGTGTTGGCTCTATGATACAGGGTGGAGCATATAACCTTGACTTGTGTTATCTGGTAAGTTACATAGTACATAGTGTTAGACCAGTTGTCATCTGAAGCTTATCACAGACCTTGGCAGTTACATGCTGGCCAACCACACCAGGTCAATGGCTGTTACAGTGTTCCAACTTGGCTGAGTCTCCTATGCTTAACCTGGCCTGGGTGTACTGTATCTTGTTCTATGTTTCAAGTAGAACAGTGGTAATTGACCTTTATTGTCTCTTTAACCTAACCTTACCTCTAGTTTTTATCGTTTCTAAAATATTTTGACATTTTTTACTTTCTTTCTTTTTAGTTTTGGTTGTCTAAAGTCTTCCCACATTCATACGTTTATCATCTTACGTTGTCTTCTGTTATTTCTGTACCTTACGCTCTCTCTCTAACTCTACTCTTTTCTTTATTAAAACAGAATTCAATATCCTGATTCTATACTAAAATCATCCTTCACATTTTTTTTTCTCATTTTTCTTTTTACACATTTACTCCTTCATTAATCTTATTTATTGTCTTAAGTTTCAAAGGTAAGATTCTCTCTCATAACCAACCTTTCCTTTTTTTATTCATTACAGTACATTAATTTCTATATATCCTGCAATCTGTTTGTCTATTTATCTTTCATATCCATAATACTATTTACTGTACTTCTTTTATATTAGGAATTGAAAAAGTGAAAGTGTTTCAAAAGCCCTCAAGACTGACGTATTCAAGCATACATTACTCGCCGGCAACAACCCCCCCCCATACTGTTGTGAGATTGATATGTTATCATTTGGTGTTGACGCGGCTTGGCTGTTTGATGTCTCGCCCTCATGAGACCTCTCAATCAATCATCAACTCCTCCGTTATTCTAGTCTTGTTGCCTTAGCCTCTCACTTCCCTCCTGAACACTTTTCAACCCGACCCTGTGACCCCCACGCCCCTTATCTTTGACTTTCACTCCAATCGTTTATATCCTCTTAACACTTCTCTTTGGCCTCCAGAGGAGAGGTACAAGTTCTCCCAGTTGGGCTATACTGTATATTATTCATGCAGTGACTCACCTTCTTGTTTGTACCTCCTTCATGCAATTCTCAAGTAGTTCCTTTCAACAGCCTGAATTCGAGTATATTTCAGGGCGCCATTTCCACCAAGTTCCTCTGTGACTAACATAGAAAACTTTGATCTACGAAAATTTTCTTCTAGTGCTGCATATTTACCTCACATCTGCTACATTCACCTGGATTATAATTTTTTTTTTAGGAGGGGTTTCATCCTCACTCCCTATCTATCGTGTACCCCCTCTTCACCTATCTTACACAACCCATCGCTATATATTTAGTGCCTTAACCCCTTCCTCAAGTAAATCCTCCATGTGTATGTTCACTTCACACACGCACATGCTCTTCACTTTTTCTTATTTAATAGTTTCATTGCATGTAACAATAGCAACATGCCATCTCACAGGCCACCTCATCCCCAGTTCCCCTTCCCAGTGAGGCAAGCTGTTGCTAAACCGAATCTTGACTTAACGTTAAGTGAGAAAGGGTGCAAGATTTTTATCTCCAAACAGAATTAACGTTACGTGAATTAATGTTGAATGAGGGATACCTTTACTGTGTTCATCTAAACCTTCAATGTCATTTTTATTGTTTTGTCATTTTCTTAATCAAGTAAAGTCAGTTTAAGCTTAACCTAACCTATCTATGGCTTCATCACCTCCAAAGTAAAGTCATTATTATATAAATTTTATAATTATAACATTGAATTCAGTAGAATTCCTTGGTAACAAATTGTCCAGTGACAAATTGTCCGGCCACCCATAATTACACAACAGTTGGTCATCTCTCAGAATTGACACCTCACAGATGACGTTGCCTCAGGGATTGTGCAGCTGTACAAGTTTGGCTTTGTTGTCTTGCTAATTGATCTTGTCAATATAGTATTGATTTTGGCTTTTGAAAGTAAAAAAATTGGAAACAGATTTGTGATATGTAGATTTAAAGTTGGAAACAGATTTGTTAATCTGTCAATTTTTCGTTTTAAGATCATAAAGTTACTCCTATCTTATCACAATCTGATTAACACTGTTCACCATTGACAGTGCCGCTGCATCTGTGTGAGAGGTCATTGCATCATATATCTTTGGGGCAGTAGATCAACAGTTCTCCAGGGCTGTTAACATATGTAATTTAAATCCCCTCCCCTTTTTTCTCTCCATCTCTGTCTCTCTTCTCATATTTATACCATTTTATGTCAGTTCTTATAATTTGCCAATATAGCTTCATATACTTGTCAATCATGGTTAAAGAGTAACCCATCACCAGGGGTTACCTATGGGCTTGACTTGGTACAATACTGATTGGTCTCCTATCAAAGTGGGTAGGAGAGTCATTGGTAGATGGTGTTAGTCTTCACTTTACCTGTCGACAAATAGGTCAACAGGAGGTTTACAGGGATACAGTGCCCAATTACCCATCCATTGAGAATATGTTCCATTTGTTAATTTAGTCAAATACTTAGCGGATTGATATCGAATTTAATGTGTGTGTGGGGGTATTTTATCAAGCATACCAAGGCAAATTGATAATATAACCAACATTTTTAACTTCATTCCAGCCTTACATCAGCTTAATTGATAATCACCGTCATTGATAGTGTTGGTTTTTTTTAGTAGTATGACCTCATTTTACACTGTCATCACACACACACACTTTCTCAATATGAGTCTCCTCCAATTTTAACTTTTGGCTGCACAAAACTCAGCCTTTGTAAAGATAACTGTTGCTATAATGGTACTTGTTATTGTCTCTACTTGAACATTGAACTAAGTAATTTTTTTCCCCTCCAGCTTATTGACTGAGGAAAGATAAACACTGAAAATGAGAGAGAGAGGAAGAGAGAGATAATAAAGAGTGCTTGAAAGGATAGAAATGAAAAGTTCATTGTAAATGCTGTGAAAGAACAAATGACTACTTGACTGAGAAATAGTCACAAGTTGAGGTGATTACTGCACTGTCTAGCTTGAGGATTGCTTTTGGTTGGTAGTTTGGCAACATATATATTTTAACCTCGGGAAGTAGAGAAGACAGCTTTTCACAGGTCATTCAGTTTTCTGGAATGGTTTAATTTAGTTGTATCATCTTCTGGGTAACTTTAAAAGGCTTAATATGCATGAGGGTAACTTATTATTTTTATTATTTTAATATTTCAGACATCTGTAATCTCATCCAATATGAACCTCAAGTGAATTTTATCTGGCACACATCTGGTACAATATCAGTCCCAAACATTTCCAGATCTGTGTCCCAGTGACCTTGTTTTGTGTATTATGGTTCATCCCAGCGAATTCCTAATCGTTCATGTGTAATTTCAGGTCCAATGATGATCATTGTGCAGAAGGCAACTGCTCTGGCCTACAGCCTTCATGATGGATTGTCAGGGCTGAAGGATGAGCAGCTCACCCCATTGCAGCGTGAACTAGTCCTCAGGTTGGTTGTGTCCCTTGAACCCACCCACCCACCCCTACCCACTCACCCCTACCCACCTCAGATGTTTTTAGCTTCATAAAGTAGTGTGAAAGTCAATACAGTAGTAGTTATATTATTCCCTTTCCTGGAAGTTTGTATGAGTGCTGGTGCTGGGTGGTGTTGGCTGTCCTTCCACCACACACTTTCTCTGGTACACGGCTATCTTATGGGAATGTTGCAGCAGTAAGAGAGGGTGGATGACAGCTGATATAAATAAATGTTTCTCATGATTCCAAACACCTTGCAGTATACAGTATAATGGGAGAGGACTTACAAGACTAATTGAAAGAGAGAGAGAGAGAGAGAGCACTGTGTTGTATTCATTCTCTCAATTTATCACAAAACAAGGATGGTAAAATAGAGATTGATGGTGAGTAGTGTAGAAATGTTTGGAGATGAAAGAACTGCTTCCATGTCAGTAGGAAGGCTTACCACTGCTGTTTAAAGTTTTCATTTTTTTATTATTAAACTGAGTATGCTGGACAAGTCAGCCTCATATCACATGTTCTTTCACTCATTTTTATGTGATACAAAGGAATCAGAAAAACTAGCCATAAAATTCACAAATGAAAGAAGCAGAAGATAGAAAGTTACATTCATATTAACTCAGCTTGATGTGATTTGAACCCAAGTTAAAAAGCATTCATCAAACCCTAGTGATCATTAGAATTACCAGACAAACCGTTGATGTATTTTCTTAACAGGAAGAAGCCAAGTGCATTAGAGTACTTCAGCTACATGCTCAACTTCCACTCGGTGCTGGCTGGCCCATTCTTCATGTTTGCAGACTATCAAGACTTCATTGAAGGCACTCACTATGCAAAGCGTGCTCTTGACACCACTGCTGCCACGGTAAGAACCTCAATAAGTACAGTACAGGAGTTTTTATTGAGGAAGTTCACCATCACTCTGGGTGTCTTCTATGATTACTGTAGCATTAAGTTTATTAGATTAGATCAGTCATATCTGTTGATTGCTGTTATAAATTGGGGGATATGTATCTAAAAGAATTTCCAACATATAATTAAATAACACTACTACATATTTTAAATGTCTGCATGAATATAAACTGAAAATGCAGTGAATGTGTACAGTACTTAGACAAAAATTTAATGAAAATCAAAACTTATTTGTATATCATTTGCCACATCCAGCTGCGTCATAAAATTTGATGAATGGCCACCATCTTTTTGACAGCCTCCATGCATCTCATCGCCTCAAACTTAACATCAATAGGGGAGGCTTTACAGGGTTTCTTAACTCTTGGGGGTATTGCTGCTGCTCATTTTCACTTTCCGGTTGCTTTCCTGACATCTCTTTAATAGGGTAAATCATATGGAAATTGCTGGGGGTTCTGTCAAAGTGTATACAATAAGTCTTATTTTGCTTTGATTCTTAAGCCAGCACAGCATAGTACATAAGTGGGTTCTGGTTATATTCATTATTGTACAAACCATAATTGTAACTTTTTCTTTGACAGACTTCACTAGACAGCAACAGGAACAAGAGTCCTACAGACCTGAAAACAATGGATGCTCAAAAGACAGCTTCCAGGCCTGAAGATGAACCTGACCCAACCAGAGTGTCCCTCTACAAGGCTGGCCTGTCTCTCATCTGTGCTGTTGTCACTGTCTGTATCTTGCCAAACTTCCCAATATCCTTCCTCACACGTAAGTCCTCATAGATACTCCATCTACTCATAATCTGTCTGAGATGCTAGTTGTAAATATCAAGCTCTTTATTCTCTGGGTTGATAATATTTCACATTATTCTTTTGTTTTTTCACTTTTTTCTTATTTGTTGGACATGTGTGTGTGTGTGACATTCATCAATATATCGGTCACATTCATTCCATCACCATTATTATTCTTTTCCCCAAACAGAACCTGGCTATTTTAAGTCTTCATATCTCTACAAGGGCATGTACATAGTGGCCGTGACGTCATTCACTCGTCACGTGTACTACACCGCCTGGCTCGTCGGCGACGGGATCTGCAACATGTCGGGCATGGGTTTCAACGGCTACAACAAGGACGGTTCTGCCAAGTGGGATTTAGTCTCCAATGTAGATGTAGTGGGTGTGGAGGTAAGTCACATTGTATTTGACTGAGAAACTTATCAGGTAGGAAGTTTACTAGAATACACGCCTATATCGGGAACTATTATACACTGGCAGTTTAGCCACACTTACACTGACTCTGGCAAACCATACTAAAGACTTGTCAATGTCATTTATTATTATGTTTGAATAGTGGAGAACATTGTGATTATATTAATGTCATATCTCATGAAAAGTAAGTTATATTCTGATCAAGTGAATGAGAAACATTGAGTTAAGGGAGATAAAGTGTGTGTGTTTGCTTTTAATTCCATCCACCCAGCATTATAGTAAGGGGGTGGGGGGCTTGACAGACTGCATAACAACAAGTGAATGTTATGTGATGCTTGTGTGCCCTCCCTCCCACACCTTTATAGTAATTCGTTGGCATTACACCCTGTGAAACTTGGCTACCTACCCATCCCTATGTTACATTCATCTGGCTATACACTATGTGATGATTCTCCTGTCCCACCCCATCATTATCCTGAATGATTTAGGGGACATTGTTGCCTCTATCATTGTTTTTATTTTGGTTGTATGCACAATAATGAATTTTAATCCATCTCCTTTGATACAGTCATATGGTTCTCTTCCATGTGAGGATATCTTACCCCACCACCCACACATCATACTTCAACCATTCCTATTTTATCTTGTGCAAGAGTTTTACAAAAAGAGCTTAGTTTAATTTTCTTCTACAATGTCCCTTTAAAGACTGGGCTGAGCCTGAGAGACACCCTCGAAGCATGGAACAGTGGAACAATGAAGTGGCTGCGCTTCATGGTGTACGAACGTGCCGGGGCACAGAAGACGCTGTTCACGTACATGCTCTCCTCTATGTGGCATGGCTTTTACCCTGGATATTATATCACGTTTGTCAGTGGAGCTTTCTTCACTATTGCTGCAAGATATGTAAGTATTGTTGATCATTTTACTCTGAAGAATAATATGCAATGATGACTTAGATATCGTACAAATCTTGCAATGATTTGTTCTGTACCGACTGATATCTTGAACCGGAAGCATTTATAGTCTCCCCGTGTTTTAGGTGCGGCGATCTGTTCGTCCGAGGGTGATGAGCCACGGGCCAGTAGTGAAGTTGGCTTACGATGCTGTGACCTGCATCACCACACGCTTGTGTCTTGCCTTTTTCACTTTCCCATTCATTCTACTGAGATTCTGGAGCAGTATTGCTGTCTACAGGTACTTAGATCTTTTAAAGTTATCCACACTCTTAGTTAGGAATGAATGAGGTAGTACATTCCATCAGGTACATATTATTGTTTTAATAGACTCCTCTCCTCATTGTAACCATTTTATGACATGACAAGTATAACATGTGGTACAGTACAGTACTTGACTTTTCTCACATGTAACCTACACATCTCAACACAGACTTGTAAATTTTTGTATCAGGAATAATGAAATGCTTAATAGTTGTGTAAACTGATATACAACTTCTTTGTTGAGGCACCAATCATGAGCACACTTTTATATTGTGTCACTCATAAAAACAAACCCTCTACAACATACATAAAATGCTTCAGTTCTGTCATGAAGTTAGTGCCGCATATTCTTAAGTATAAATTTTCCCAGTGATCCAAAATTTACACAGATATAGAGGTGAACTGATGACCTAACCTAACCACTGTACTGGTTGTGGAGGCTAACATGCCAGTACACATGCTCAATAAAGTATCGTCACAGGAAAGGCTAGGTGTTGACAAATCCCACTCCCTCTATGATATTTACTCTGTTTTTAACTGATTGTTTTACACTTGTACAACCCAAACAAGCAACTTATGTCCCCTCCCACCCTTTAGTTACCAAGGGGTGAGTATGCTGTAGTGTGGAGCCCTCTTACATCTTAATATTGTGACGATCCAATCAACACATAAAAATCTTAAATTAGTTCATATCCATCCTAGTCCACACAGTCTGGCAGAAGATATGGAATAGAATTACAGAACTGGATGATGAAATAGTGAATTGGAAATGAAGAAGACCCACCAATGGCAGCCAGGAAGTCAACAGTAAATTACCTATGAGATTTGGTATCAGTACAGGAATTCCCCACTGTTCAGTATGTTGTTGTTCCTCACCTTTAATGATCGGGTTAGTACTGTATTGAGTATATTCTCCCGACATTTTAAATTATTTATCACTCTCTCATCTGTTTTGGTGACCTCAGAGCAGCCCTATACAGTACTTAGAATACAATAGTTTGGGGAAGAGTTGAGTTGCTTCAGGAATGAGTGAATCAGTTATCATGTCTTTTTGTACACTGATAATTTAAAACCTATGAATAGAGTGACAGAAATATGAAGTATAGGGGAGTGTATTGACATGTGTAGTGACCGTACTGTATGTAATGGATGGATGGATGGATGGAGATTTTCCTTTGGTGGCAATGAGATTTTTAGATGTAAGCAACAGCATCTTGGTCATTGTTGGATAAAAAAAAGTATACCCCTGTAATATAAATTTATGAATTGTTTATGCTGCTGTAGTTGATTTTTTAATTCGACTTTTCCTTTTGCAGAGATATCTACTTTATCCCAGCCGTCTTGGGGGTACTTGTGATAGTACTGCTACCAATAGTCCTCCCTCCACCGTCACGATCCTCATCCTCCGCAAAATCTTCTGCGGAGAAATTGAAGCCATCCGTCAAGTTGGAGGACGCGGGGGTGAATGTTACAAATGGTCTTGAAGGTGGTGCCACCAAGCTCCTCAAGGTCCAATAAGTGCCATGAACTGTGGTAACTCACTGTATGTCATGTTCTGCATTCTCTTCAAGTTGCCATTCATTGTTCAGTGGTTGGTCACTGTTCACATAAGTTCTCTTTCCTAAATGTGTAACTTTGTTCGTGTTACCTAAGAGAAAGAAGATGACGATAAAATTAGGTAATTATGACAAATTAGTATATAGTTTAAGTGTAGGTAATTAAGGTTTGTAAGTTTTTGTTTGTATTTTGCGCCTTCTGCTGTCGTTACATGGCAGGTTAGCCCATGATGCACAGTCTCCCTTCTCTGCAGGTTGCCCCAGATTCCTTCATCAACACACTTGTGCGTTTCAGTTATTATCAACATGAATCTTGGTGTGACTGACACAGGTGTTTCATGCATTAGTGTACCTCATTGTGTGATCTCCCTGGTGAATTATCAACATTATTACACACTGTTTGATTAAGCTATCCAGTTTATTGTGTCCTTGTTCTCTTCTGCAAGTGAACTTCAGCATCGTTGTAACATCGAAAATGTATAATCACAATAAGTGTAATCACGAAGTTGTTTCCTTCAGCGAGTCAGTCGGTCTGGATTGGTGTTGACATAATTGGCCGATGAACTTAACAGAACTAGTAAAGTATTATATTTATCCAAGATACAATCTGGAACTTTGTTTTGTTTCATTCTCTGTCTTGTCAACTGTTTTCCTCTGTCCCGCTGAAGACGTCTCGTTGGCACCAAGGAACCGGTGGTATGATGGGGAGTCGTACGTGTTGATCACTCCGTATGAATAATCAATCGTCATAGAATTCAGACTCATTGGTGATCATTATTTACAATCAATAGTGTTTTTTATTTTTAAATCTATATCTTACCTTCCTGACTAAATTCCTCAGTGTGTTTGAGATTTATGCTAATTAAGAGTGCCAGTGTGAGCAAAGCCTTTAACCTTATGAAACTCTTGTATCTGTCTGTCTCGGTCTCATGAGATTGTAACTGCTCAGAATTTGGCCTTCAGAAATTCTAATAATCATATCTAAATCCTTGTAAGATTAGGTTTTTGGTCAGTTTTGGGGTTGGAGAGTATTTCTGGTATATTATGGACCAAATCAGTCTTTAAAATGCAAGTTTAATATGTAGGAAAGTTGGCAAAGCTCACATGTTTTACCAAATTTGTAGTGTGTAGTGAATAATGCGAATTTATTATTTTTAAGGATTCACTGAACCTTGGCTTGAGTGAATCTATGCTCTTACAAAGTTTTGACCTTACTTACCCGGTATATGAAATAATGAGTCAATATTCACAAATATACTTCCTGTATAAAATATATACTGTACCAATTAGAAGAATACAGTATATTGTGTTATAAGCACAAGTTCTGGAAGATGGAAGGCTTCATGCAAATTGCAGTGATTTAATTTTTAATAGTTATAGTAATCATCAGACAACTATACAGGGTGATTCAACAAAGAGTACATTAAATTGGAGGATGAAATTCTTGGATAATTCTAAACCACAATGTCTCTATGGTAATATGTCAGATTCTGCATAGTTTCCATGTTACAATACATTTAAGATGTATTAATGAGAGTGAATTTGAAGTGAAACCCCCTGTGTTTTTGTAATCATTTATTCACAGATCTCTATAGTGTGACCCCTCTTTGTTACATCCTAAAGGAAATGTTCTAAGTTGCCCCCTTCTGCCTCAATGCAGGCCTGTACACGTCGTGCCATTGATTGTCTGACATGTCCCAGATTGCCTGGACTATGTTTAATTTGCTGACACGTATCATGAATATTTGGGCATATGCAGAATCTGACATTTTACCATGGAGACATTGTGGTTTAGAATTATCCAAGAATTTCATCCTCCAATTTAATGTACTCCTTGCTGAATCACCCTGTATAGCAACTTTTTAAATTACAAATACTGTTTGTTTATTTTAATAGTAACATTAGTTATATTAGATACTGAGTTATGTTTGCCATTTGTTTGATATTGTATTTTACCAGGCAGAGCTTTTTTTGTAAGATTGGTTTTCAGGTGTGGCTCAGTATGTCAGCTCATCTGACAGTGTTTGTGCCTCATTTAAGAACATTTTAGCTTGTGACCTCAGATTAGTAGCTACAAGATATATAAGGACATCTATAGTACCGGGTATAAGAAAAATATATAGTTATTTTTTTCACTTTCAATTATTGTTGAGTGAGACATGGTTCCTATGTTTCTAACAGTGGCAGTGTCCACATCAAGCTCTTGTAAAATGCTCAGGTTCTCTATAAATTACAGGTGAGGCACTTATGTGGCCAAATGAAGTTTTGGAACATTTCCCTCTGGGGATTTAAACCTGTTCTTGTAAGTGACAGTGTTTTAGGCAGCCAGTAATGCAAATGTTTCACTTTGATCAGTCAGTCTTCAAAGGAGGTGGAAACTAGTTATTGGCCTCTTAACCACCCAGCAATCCTTTCTACAGTTAACTTGTATTAAATTGACTCTAAAGAAAAATTGCATGAAAGCCCCAAGAAATTCCCTGACTTCTCTCATATCAATCATTTGTAGAAAAAAAAATGGCTGACATCAAATGGATATTATTATTTTTTCTTTTATCTCGGTTTCTGTAAAAGTAAACATAAATGTGATAGTGAATTTTTATAGTGTGTCAGTAGAGTGAATATTCAGTGATGGCTCAGCTGCACTGTAACCACTATTATACTACCCCTCCACTTTTCTCACGTCTCAAAAATAATTACTGAGAAAAAATATTATGAATATATTTGTTTATAATCACTCACTTTTGCTATGTAAGGATATCATGTAAATTTTGCCAGCTCACTTTGCTTTATCTGTAGGCTGAAGGTATTGTTGCTTGCACTTAAACCTGGTACAGTGGCTGGTGCATTTTGTGAGATGTAGAAACTGTGTGGAATGCTTATCTACCATCAATAATGTGGCTACTTTTGCGAGGTTCTTTAGTGTCATTCCGGGGGTTTTAATACAGTGCCGACAAACTCGGTCTTTACATCTCAGAAAACGCACCAGCCACTGTACCAGGTATACTGTTAGTGTTGGCAATTGTACAAGATATTGCCTGGGACAGAATGTTTAACGCAGCTGATGTTATAATTAATTCCGGTGCGACCTTTGGCTTTTGTGGGCATTGGAAAAATACGTTCACTAAGTTGTGAAAGTTTTAGGAAAATCAGTTTATAACTGGAAGTGGATCACTATTTTGTTGGTACATATTTGGGATTGTTACATGAGGTGGGTGGTGACTTGTGTTGATAGGCTACATCCTCTTTATTCCTCACTCACACACTGACATAACCTCTCAGAAACAATAAAGCCAAATACAGTATAACTCACTGACTTGAGTGTTAAATAATTCACATCTATATTATGGTGATCACTGAGCAGGTAATGAACTGTACTATGGCTTTATGATCGGAAAAGGACAATCACTTATTTCAAATTTATTATATATTTTTTTTAGTTCATGACATTGGACAATCACCCTTTTCTCAGTAAGAGTAGTCAGTGAGATATCCTATTGTGTTATTGACAATCATCACGGAAATGAATAATTAACAATTTGCAAAACGTTCTCAATCACTACCATGTTATTACGTGGTTAAACATTAGCTAATCACTCATTACTGACCCAAGAATTGGTCTGTCTCCTTTTGACTCAAAAACAAGTTTGCCACATTAATCAAGAATCCAATCAGTTTGTTCATATCCATATTTGATAATCAGTATAAACCCAAAGCTGCCAATTATAACTCATTTTTAATCAAGCTCATTATCACTGATTCTCTGCCAAACCTCTCATGCCTTTGTCAGGACAGCCAGTTATTACATACCAACTGGTCCACAAGTGTAAGGGGACTAGTGCCATCTGTATGTATCTCAGTCTGTCTGTTTAATGCATTGTTTACATATAGTGTGCTCATATTCACCATGGCAATCGTCTGGTATTATCTTAGGTCAGGCCAAGATTGTAGGTTTAAAAAGTCTTCACCCACTGTGAGTTGGCACTGCCAAGTGCAGTGGTCACCCAGAATGTAGAACTCAGCCCTGTTTGTTACAGCTTACCAGCAACAAGGCACCACAGCTTGATAACCAGTCAGTTTACATTCAAATAAAATGCCGACCAGTTATTACTGATACTGTATAAAATGTAGCCAGTTGTTGCTGACTCAGAAGTAAACAAATTCTTACTAACTCAAAAACCAGTGGCCGTAAGAGCCAACACAGGGCAGAATGTATTGGAAAAGTTCAAAGAAATGGTTGTGCTATAGCAAAAATTTTACTTGAAAGTTAAAGCAATGTGCTGATGTGATGAAAATGTTAGTAAACAGGAGTTCTCATGAATTGTTACCTTGACAGCCTCCCTCTCATTATGGTGTCTGGCTGTGTACTTCAAGGCAGGTCATACAGTGGTACTGTGTAGGACTGCAGTGACAGGATTCTCCTTGATAGATTCTCACACCTCAACTTGGGGTCATCTGTATTTTAAACCAGTCAGTCACAACATGGATAATACTGTACATTGATGGGAAAAAAGAACTCTTGGATTTCCAAATGTATACTATAGGTACCATGGCTGATGTGATGTATCGAGTTTTCTTTGTATTTGGAGAATACATATGAAAATTGTTCTTGAGATTTCCTATTTGGCCAATTGAAAGTAGAGTGTCTTCTAATAATGTTTCCCCACCTTCTTTCTGCTTATTTCATCACACCATTGCACATACAGATACTGTACTCTACTATAGATATTCATAGTCTCATTTTTATATACTGTACAAGCTGTGACAAAAATTACCATCACTAATAATGTTTGGTAATGCCTTGAAGGATAAATACAGTGATCCCTCGGTTAACAAACGCCTCGGTTAATTAAATTTCGGTTAACGAATTCCTTACAAATTTTTCCCAACATGTTTTCGCCTGCTCACCAGCTGTAATATTAGTCCGCCAATACAGTAATCGGTTTTAGGGCTTAAATTTGTTACCATTTGAGTAAATATCAAGAAGGTTGTAATATTCAATAATTTTCCAAGTCTAATATTAAAGTTTTTGGTCATTTTAACATAATTGAAGTACAGGGAACTAGTTTTTAGCGTGCCAAACAACCACTCACCACACCCAAAATGGCGACAGTGTGTGTTCCTGCTCAGTGGAGGAAGCTTCTTGCTTGAGACTCTCTTGAACATAAACTATTTCTACATTTTTACAGAACAATTATTGTTCATTCTGAAGTTTATTTAAAGAAAATAATCTTGAATTACACCAAGAGAACTAAAATTTTATGGGTGAAATGGTGGTATGGGGTGACTTCTCTTCCACCCCAATGCTTTCTCTTCTCCCTTCTCCTCCACCCCCATTCTAATTCCCATCATCATCATCATCAACCAGGAGCCTTCTACATACACGCCTCAAAGTAATTGTACTTTATGCATTTATTTTTAGTTTGTATGTAATTTTCGGTGAGCTGGAACCAATTGCCCAAAATCCCATTGAAACAATGGTTTCGGTTAACGAATTTTTCGGTTAACGAACGACCTTCTGGAACGAATTGTGTTTGTTAACCGAGGGACCACTGTACTCTATTTTCATGTCTTCTTCCCAGAAGGTTTCCTTTACTCTTGTTGTTGAGGTTCATGTGATGTGTGAAGACTTGTTAGAAAAAAAAAAATTGCTCAAACTTAGGATAGCATCTCCAAGGTCTTAAGACAAATATGAAATGAAATTCAGATTCCAACAGAGTCTGAAAATGTAGCTGGAACTCAAAGTAAATTTGCATTTGTGTTGTCAGTTAGAAATTCAAGAGAAATTTCATTAAGATGGTTTTGTTGCTTGGGAATACACAGGCAGTTTTACAGCAGCTTGTAATGACTGTCTAGGTTCTCCAAGTTTGGAATTTTGTCTTGTTTTTAAGTGAAATGACCCTTAAATTTAGATGTATCACATTCATTAACTTGTTACAAGGAAAATAAATTTCTGTGGACATGGAATTAGAATTAATAAGAAGTACCGCACTATGTTCAATATTATTTTTTAAGTTCACAAAATGAGCACTATGAAAAATGTGGATGGTGGAGTCATCCTGGCAGAAATTCCTCTCAGTTTTAATGCCAGCACAATATTAAGAACAGTGAATTTTGAAGATTTGTTAGGTGTCAATTTTAGGGGCCTACTCGGTCATGTTGGTGCTGATTGCATGTACATCCAAGGGAGAATTTTTAAATGCATTCTTTTTATATTCATATTCTTGTAAAGCTTATACGTAGTTAGTTTTGTACGTAGTGCCTCTAGTCTTAACTTTGTTTACGTTGTTTTCATTGTAACGGTCGTCTTGCACGGTGAAGCTGTCATCTTGAAACTATTTTGTAAAATGTAGAGTACACTAATGTACTGTAGTTACCAAATGGAAAATA